CAAGACGTGACCCACCCCACCCCCACCATTGCTAACGAATATAACAAGCTATAAACATTTAAGCCTTATCTAGCTTATTGTAGATGCCTTTGTAATCTTTGCAGTCTCTGGATCAGACCCCTTTACCCCTGGTTTGAAGACTGTCTTGGCTCGTACACTGTCTTGGTCCCTCGCCCGCTTGGGCCGGGTCGACCAAACCGGCGTGACACATGCGCGTTTCGGGCGTTGCCTACCAGTGACGAAAGGCATGGCAGAAACAAAAAAATCGGGCCACGGCTGACACACCCTACGGTTATCTCCGCGTGGCATCTACGTGATGTATGTAAACCAGGGGTCCAAGTGAAACAGGCACCGTACTTACGCTGACACCACCATAACATAGTAATTTCCCAATCGCTACTTGTGGTCACTTATCATCCATTTTGGTAGGGGCTCAGGTCTCGCTGGCGGAGTTAATTGGCCAGTGAGAATCCTGGAAATTGCGCTGGGAACGTGGGATACGAGACCAGACTGCGGCGAGAGGGGAGGGAGGCGGGGGGAAGACAGGGCTTAACCACTGGGGCTTAGACATTCCACAAAACAAGGTTTGACATTACTGCTTGAAGCCGTATTTATTTCCTTACCACTTAGAAATACCAGGAGTCGAAATAACGACTCACGGTGCTTAGAATTACCTTATTAGAGAATGGCTGGTCAGTAGAAAGGCGCTTTTCCTGCAGATAAGCACTGCTGGCCATCGTCAACCAGTGGCGCCCTACCCCACAATTCGTCGTCTCTCGACAAATTTCACCCCTCAAACAACAAAAAAAACCAAAGAATTTACGGCAAAAAGACGTACCTTTTTCCATTTAAATCGGAATTGTTAGTGTAATTACATTCACTGCTTCCCTACCGCCGACTTCTGCTCCCCCCTTGCTGGCTACATCAGGCCTCGGCATAGCAAAATTTACAAGGTTGGAGCAATCGTCTAACCAACTTCACTCCTGCACACAGTGCACGCGCGCGAACAAATATAGCACAATCTACGCCGAAGACGTAAACATCGCGTCCAATTTACACCCCCCCTTCCTAATTGCCCGCCATTGCTCTCTGCCATGTCGTGGTTTGAGCCATTCCCGCTTAGCATCTACCAGGAAGAAAATGAAATCACGGGCAAAAACCCCCCCGAGGTGTGTCCCACCGAACCGTTTGTCGCCGGCGTCAACGTCCGCTGTGGCCCGTTACTCCGCCTCTTTGGCACCCACGAAGGCAACCAAGACAACTACCGGGGGCTGATCCTTTTGGTGGTTGATGAAACTGAACCCATGCCTGAAGTGACGTTTGATGTTGGTCCGCTGGTGGGCGAAGGCGAGCCCCAGCTAGAACTGGGAGAGTTTGTCGGTACCAAGATTGCCGTCGAGCTGGGGCTTGTATTCTACCGTTATTTGATTGATTTGAGACTTGCTACCTATGAACAGTTGGTCAAATATGCTGTTAACGGTGTCCACGTGCTGCTGTACCTGTTCTTTGTCCCCGCGCTGGCGATGCTGATGAACGTGGTGCTGTACCTGTGTAACGGGATGTCTTTGGGAACTGACACTAAGGACTTTAAACTGTCGTTGTGGCTTGACGTGCTTAATAAGCACGCCGACTTGCACTACCACGTGATGCTTGGTGGCGGCGACCAGCTCTACTGTGACGGGATCAAATTGGCGCTGCTGAAGGTGAAACAGTGGGCGGAACTGTCGAAATACTCCCGCAAACGGCACGTCAAGGTGACCCCGGAATTGGACTTGGAAGTCGACAACTACTACCTCAAGACTTACACTAACTGGTTCGGTAAAGGGTTCCTCAAAGTCAAATTGGGCACGTTGGTGCTGTCGGCATTCCCCCGGGCATTGCTGATGATCCCGTCGGTAAACATTTATGATGACCACGATATCATCGATGGCTACGGCTCCTATAAGGATAAGACGATGAGAGGCGATTTGTTCCAGCTTCTTGGTGCCAAGGCATACAAGTACTACATGTTGTTCCAGCAACACGTCTCGTTGGACGAGCCTCTGTACGGCAAAGCCGAGCCGCTGTGGATCTTAGGTGGTGTTGGCCCCTATATTAAGCAGCCTAACCACCTGATCTATATGAATTTGGGTAAAGAAATCGCGTTGCTTGGCCTTGACTGTCGTACTGAGCGTAAGCTTGACCAGATCTGTCTGAGAGAAACGTATGGGGTAGTGTTCGACCGGTTGGAACGGGAGATCCTGAATAACCCTAACATTAAACACTTATTGGTGATGTTGGGGGTGCCCATCTTCTACCCCAGATTGGTGTGGCTTGAGAAATTGCTTTCGCTGACGGCTTTGGCTCCGGCAAGAATGATGGCTCAGCGTAATTTAATCAACAAAGGGTTGGTCAACGAGTTTGACGGTGAGGTGGAAGTATTGGACGATTTGAACGACCACTGGTGTGCTGCCGACCACAAGGCCGAACGCAACAAATTGACGAAGCTGTTGATTGAATTTGGCGCCGCTAAGGGGGTCAGAGTGACGATCTTGCTGGGTGACGTTCACTTGGCGGCGTTGGGCCGGGTGAAGCTGAAGTTCCACAAACACCCCACCATGCACCGAGTGGTGGAGAATAAGGATGTCGTCGTCGAAAACGCCAACGTGCTCGAGACTCCCGAAAACGACCCCCGGCTCATCTTCAACGTTATTTCGCTGGCAATCATCAACGGTCCTCCTCCCGACGGCATGGCGACGTTATTGCAAAAGCGGCTGAGAATCCACACGTTCGACAAGAACACTCAGGAAGACTGTGTGCCGTTGTTCTTCTGCGACGTCAACGCTAAAGATCGCGACAACAACCGCTTCTTAAACAAGCGCAACTGGCTGGACTTGATTTTGGCGAAACAGCTGCCGTTGGCGGCGGAGTGTAGCGAGACCAACCCCGTGCGCCGCTTCCCGCAACCGATTTTGCCCGGGTACCAGGACCAGGTGGAGCTGGCGTTGGCCCACCAGAAGGTGAGTGCCGAGTGGGTGAAGTATCCGTTGTACCCGGACTCATTGGTCACTCGTTTCCGTGTCGAACGCGATCCCAATAACTTCAATGCTGCCACCACTTCCTACGAATTGTACGTGCCGCCATTATTCGGCCAATGGAAGCTCGAAAAAGCCCCCGTCAAACACGTTGACAAGTAATTGAAACAAGCAAACTGTCTACCAAAAGAGGAAACACTCCTAATAATAACTAATCTCACTAATGAAAATGTACAACCTAATTACAGTAATTAATCTCATCACTCCGATCTGATAAATCTCTACTCAGCCTCAAAACTGCTTCCAAAGTAGTATAAATTACCGAGTGGCTGTGTCTATTTAGATAAAGAGGAATTGCTATGTATTTTAGGTTGATTATCTGGACTGCTTCCGAGATATCCCGAGGTGTTGTTCCGATTATCCGATTTTGTGTACCGATCGAGTAAAAGTTAGCCTGCGAACCGCACACACACTGTACTTTAAGTACGAGAAAGCAAGAGTATGCGTCGCGGAATCACCCCCCATTCTCGTATTTACAGTTAGCCTCAAGTGACCACCTACCCTTTCTACCATCACAGTCTATTTGCTCTGTAGGCTCTTTCAGTATCTGGGTGTGAAGCCCTTCTATTTTTCACGTGTGCCTCGCCGCCACGATCGCGTGTACGCTTTTGTGAGCGTGACGGAATTTCAACCGGTTCGAAACGAATGTGGTTTAACATCCTCAGATCGAGATCTCAATAGTCCAATCAGCCAGCATCGATAACACTTATTTATACATTTCTCTGAGTAATCCCCGAGTCGTTAGTCCCGGTTGTGCTTCCCCTCTTACTCCCCGAGTCGAGTCAAGTTTACCTAAACGTTGGCGGCGAGCGTTCTCCGTGTAAAGCGGCGTCGAAGTAGACGCAATTCGGATTCGGTACGCCTCGCGGCCACCGCACTAGCCACCCCCCAAAACCAGGAATAGCCCAGTTCCTTTAAGCAGTTTCTATGGGAACTACCTCTCTTCTGACATGATCGGTAGTCGCCTGTTACAGTCGTCCTACTTTGGTCCAGAGTCACCGGAAGTTTCCTGGTGTCGTCGCGTCCGCTACACCGGTGCCGCAAACCTTCGGAAAATTCCGAACTGTTTAAAACTAGCGATGATTTTTTCGGTGTGCACTCCGGGGTCCCCTGCTGCCTAAATAAAGGGTTGATTCCCCACCCTGCCCACCTCCACACCCCGCCGTTTCCTTTGCTTTTTTTTGCCAAATTAACCAAAACATCAAAAGGTCCGTTGGGCGATGAAACGCGTGAAGCCCGACCCCGACGACACCGACGCCAAAGACGCCTTGGCCAACATCACCAAGATCCCCGCGTGCCAGCGGTGTCGGGTCAAGAAGATCAAGTGCGACCAGAACTTCCCCAAATGCCTGAAGTGTGCCAAGATCGGGGCCGACTGCATCGTGTTTGACCCCGTCGTGGCCCGTGAGGTGCCGAGACTGTACACGTTACAGCTTGAGGACCGGGTGAAGGCGTTGGAGGCCCAGTTGAAGCAGAGCGGCATCGAGGTTAATTCGCTGGAACCTAATGATGCTAAGCGAGCTAAAGTGGTGGGTAATGGTCTGGTGGCTGCTACTGAGGCTGTGGGACCCGGGGATGGCATGGGCGATACCAATATCTCGTTTTCTCGGTTGATGCTGACGGCAGTGAGAGTCAACAATAATAAAAAGCTGATCCCGATTTTACAGAATCCAAGCTTAGGCCGACGAGACCTGACTACGGTGGGTAACCAGCTGATCCCGATATTACCAGCCATCCTCCCGCCCAAGATTACTGCCCTCGAATTCCTCCAAGTATTCTTTGCCCAATCCAACTCCCAGCTCCCTATTTTGCACCGAGAAGAGTTCTTAAAGGAATACTTCCTCCCCATCTACGGCCCGTTCAATTTTGCCGACTTTTCCCTCGCATCCAACTATACAGAGATCAACGCTGACTACATCATGGACCAGCTGTCGGCCACCGTTGGCGCCACTGCAGGCGTCCAAGAGGCCCCTTGGTTCGACCAGTACATCCAGAAGTTTGAAACGGCGTTACAAGGGTGTACTGACCCTACTGACGACCATATCCGCAAAGTACTGAATGGCATCAGACCACCCAAGAAATACCACAAAGCGCTCTATTTCTTGAACATGTGCTTTGCCATTGCTCTGCTGGCGAAACACTTGCAGTACCCGATCCTGATTCTGGCGCTGTTCCGGTTTGCCGCCTGTAAGTACTTTGACAAAGTACACCAGCTGGGCGACCACTTGGAGGCATTACAGGGGATCTTATTGTTTGCCGTTTACCTGACGATGCGCCCCACCTACCCCGGGGTATGGTACACGTTGGGACTGGCGTTACGGCTCTGTGTCGACCTTGAGCTCCATAATGAACTTAACCTGAAGATCCACCAAGACCTCGACCCGTTCATTGTTGATAAACGGCGACGGCTCTTTTGGTGCACATACCTGTTGGACCGCCAAGTATGTTTTTATTTGAACCGTCCCGTGGGCATCCCCGATCAGAGTATCAACACCCCGTTTCCTTCCAAGAACGATGACGCCGAAATCGTCCCCTTGGAATGTGCTGCTAAAGCAAAGAAATTCTCTGGTCACCCTCTGTATAAACGCGTGGCGTGTCTGATGTTCAAAATCCGGCAAATCCAGCTGGAACTCCAACGGATCTTATACACTAATTGTGAGCTTCCACGTAAGTTTAAGTCGGTGGACGAATGGCGAGGGCTGATACTCCGCAGACTCCACGAGTGGCGCCAGCTGTGTCCCCGTCGTCCCGTGGAAATGAACTGTGACTTTAACACTCGGTTCTTTGACCTCAACTACTACCACGCTCTACTTAACCTTTACGGGCTCTCACCGAAGAACCACTGCTTGCTGACGGAGGACTTCTTACAGGTGCTGATGGCGGCCCGGGGCCTCATTGAAGTGTACCAGGAGCTTCTCGAGCTCAAACTGATCAACTTCACCTGGGCTGCCGTCCACAACTTGTTCATGGCGGGGCTGCTGTATTTGTTCCTGATCTACAACTGTGAGGAAGTACGCAAAGTCAACCCTATTCTCGAAGTGAAGAAAGTGACGCTGCAAGCCTTGAACATCCTCAATCTGCTAGTGGACCGCTGTGACGCCGCCATCACCTGTCGCGACATCTTCAAGAACTTAACCATGGTCATCATCAAGATCAAGTATAATGAGGTTGTCCACGGCAACACCAAGGCGGTGCTGAAGGAGATGATCCACAACATCGACTCCAACGCCAACTCGCTGTTGATGAAGCTTGTGGAGATCTTGAACCAGGAGAAACCCACACAACTGCCAGGCCCGCCGCTGGCCAACCCCGCAGTGCCAGAAGCGTTCCCCGAACGGTTATGGCGTGACGCTTACCCGCTCATGGTGCAATCGCAAGAACAAACGACATTTGACTGGATCCCGGCTCCCGACGACGGCCGCACCCCGATGACGGTGGACCTGCCTGCTCGCGCCCTGCTGATGGCTCAGACGCCGGCCAATAACAACAACAACAATGACGTTGGTGGCGGCGCTCCCAACATCCCCATCAACGAACTCGAAACGTTCTTCCAGGAATTGGAGAACGTGCTGCCGATGTCGCTGGGTCTGCGGCGCGATTCCGCCTACGAAGCCTTCCGCCACGATATCTATAACCTGCCACTGGGAGATAGCGACAAGCCGCAACTGCCTCACCCTCAGCAGCGTGAGTACCGCGAAGACCGCAAGGCGTTTGAGATGATGAGACAAATGCCCAACGAGATAATCTGGGACCAGTTCTTCACCAATCCGGGGCAGGGGCCAAGCAACATCAGCTTGAACCCGGGGTTTTTAACCGACAACTCTGATACTGTCAGCAACAACGGCTGAAGCCTGTATACTTTTTAGTCATGTATTATTACCCACCGGACCGGCTCCGGTGACCCTCAGTCATCTAATAGAAGGTATTATGAGAAGTATCCTGTAGTACTGATCTAAAGCAAACGTAATCATATCTTGCTTTGTGAGTTTTTCTCGAAGAATTGAGAGGTCGTTTCGCAACTGTGTGCTTTGACCAACCAAAATATGCAATGAGAAGCAAAAGGCGTCAACAAGTAATGATCTTGACCAGCAAGGACTCCCAATTTAACTCATGTGCTTGTTGTTAATAGCTTCGGATGTTGGTGATTACGATCATCCACTTTCTCCCTTTCTCTGCAAACTTTTGGAATTTCGCGTATATTTCAACTATACTGAAAATACGGGTTTTTACCATAGAATCAAACACTCGCAAAAAAAGAACAGTTCCCAATTGCCTTTCGTCACCTCCTAGTTGAAGAGGTGAGGTTTATGGTTTCATAAAGGCACAATGCTCATTATTTATTAATCGCTATCAATCTGTTTTGTTATTCTCTTAGTCGTTACACCATAATCTTATTTGCCAAAGTTTTTGTCATCATTATCGTCATTATCATCGTTATTCTCAGCAACGTCAAATCATTGTCATTTCAGCTTTCAGCCTCAACTTCAACGGCTTCGTCATGGCCAACCTCATTAGATTCTGCCTCCTCACCCTCACCCTCATCCTCATTCACAACCTCATCATCATCTTCATCATCATCTTCATCCTCGCTGCCATCGTTGCCGTATTCCGCAAACATTCCGTGTAAGCGGGAATAGTATTTGCGGTGCATACGACCTTCGCATTGCAATACGTACTCGTAGGACGTCTTAGGATAGTTGCCATGTGTCGCCAAAATCAAGCTAGCCAAGTTGTCAACGACGTCGAGGATAGGTTTCTTATCATCGAAAGTGTCGACAATTCTATCAAGCACAAAATCGAAAAGCATTGAACCCCGGTTTTTCGCATACTCTTCCACTTGTTTCGGGAACGCAAACCAGAGGGCAGCCACCACCGTGATTACGTCGTCGTAGAGGTAGCGACTATCTTGGTGAGGAACAATTTCAATGGCCCGAATGATCTTGACGCACTGCGAGCTATTCATCCGATGAAACTGTTTTGTCTTTGAGAGCGCCACCAACATCAGCATCAACGCGTCGGTGAGCGCCTGCGACTTGGTCCCATAGAGTCCGGCGGAGATGCCCGCAACGTACTTTGGAACGTCTTTTGGATCTGGATCCTCGTGCTTCCACTTCTTCGCCAATTGCAAGCACGCCTCCACCTTGGGCTCGGGCGCATTCGACATCAACTGCAAAAAGAGATAGGGAGGATATATCAACTCACCCAGTTGCTGCTCCTCTCCAAAATCGTTCGTCATTTCTTGTTTCACTTCAGTGTTGCTCATTGCTTTCTGGAGTTGAGAATTTTTGAGACCAAGAGGAGGGGAGTGGCAATATTTTTATAGAGGCCTCGTTTAGCGCACCCCTGACGAGTGCATCTGAGGATTCGCGATTGAAATTTCCTCAATGGGAGGGGAAAATGAGGATATAGCTCGAGAAGTTGTGATCCGATTTATAAACTGGAGTCAATAAAAGAATCACAAACGTCTGATCTTTCAATAGATTTCAAATTCACTGGCATTCATGGCGTATTTGATGGTAATTTCATCCTCAGTGGATGCACGTCACGTGACTTAGTCGATCCTTTCTGAAGTTTGTGTCGCCACGCGGTAATCCTCTTTCAAAAACTGTGACGCCTATACGAAGGCCGTCACGCTCGTTTTATCGATTATCAATGAGTAATGTAACTATATAGGTTCACAGAAAGTTAATTTTGGAAGCTCATTATGATACCACACTCGGGGTATGGAACATTACTCCTCGGTGATTATTGTTCATTAGCTAAAAATTCTCGTTGTAAGGACAATCGGTGGCTGAGTATGGACATTCGGAAATGAAGTTGTTTTTAACCAATGAGATGTAGTTACTGCATATCGATTCCGTAAAACCGTACAACAAATGGCTATAGCTTTACTGTAATCATTACACAGACTTGTACTTGATCTAATTAGACGTAGAATGGGATCGTAAATGGTGTGTTATACGCTTCACACGACCTAGGGCTTTAGGACTTGGCACGGCTTTTTTCGAGCTACCATAAACTGGCGAGCGCATGTCACACAAAAAAGACGGGATTGTCGGAGGGTCAATTCCGATGAGCTGACACGTGTGCAACATGTTGAGGATATTTCACCCCCTGTTGTCACCCTACTTGGTTGAGCCAATATGAATTTCGGTGCTGAGGCTTTGCAACAAGCCCAGGAGTATCTCCAAACTCTGGGACTCCCAGAAGAGTTCACCATGCAAGCCATGATGTATGTCCTGGCCAGACACAACCTGACGCCCTTTGAACGAGGGGGCACGTTCGAGGCTCCCATTACGCGAGCCTTGGGCAAGCCTCCAAACAAGGATTGCCTCCAGCCGTTTGGCTGTCTTGTTGAGTATAAGACACCAAAGGGAGCCACGCAGAAGGCGGTGTTCTTGGGCGTCGACATTGGCATGTTTGGTGAAAAGGATCCTCCGGCGTTCAATGTCTACGACCCCAAAACTAAGCGGGAGAAACAGGTGGCTAAGGTGGAATTCTTTCCCAACAAGTTCCCCATGCGTGATGGTTTTGATTGAATGATGGTACCACGACTATTTAGTGAGTTGACAATTACGAACACTCAAAGTAGATTTCTTTAGCCTTGGCTATCACACTGAAGAATTGAGTAAATGTCCAATCCTTTGTCGAGTTTTCGACTGAGTGACAATAGTTCACAATGTAGAGAGAACCTTGGTGTGAGCTTTCGAAAGTAGCCCACATGTCAAATAGCTTAGTTTTCCCTACAGAATTGTGAAACACATAATTCACTAAACTATATAAATCTCCAAAAAGTCATCTCTCAAGTTGTGCATTTGCAGTAAGTGCCCTATGGGGTACATACTGCCTGTCAGCGCGACCACCTGTGCCTTGCTGTATGATTAAATGCGCCCCCACCTGTCAGTGGCGGTCAGGGAAAGCGGCCGATGAGAGGACGTAATTCTCTGAGTGGTACGAGCAGTCAAGTGGGTACTCGCCATCAGACTCGACGTCCGTGGTTGATGGAGTCGTCGCGGCCGACGACAATGGCGAGGGAGGGGGCGATGCTGAGGTTCTCGGGTATGCTGGGGGTTTTGGGAGTGCTGTAAATTCAATGACGCCGTTTGGAAATTTAACTCGACGGGTACGCGAGCGAAACCGCCTGGAGCCATTGGTGGCGTCTGTGGCGGGCTTCCGTGATTGGTTGTTTGAGGGAGGCTTCGAGGCGCCTCCATTCCCATCAAACGGCAAGTGGTTTTCTTGATGGACTCTTAACTCACTGTGTTTGCGAAATGCCAGTCCACACCCCGGCAAGTAGCACTTGAAGGGGTAGGGGTCGCCGTGATACAGCAGATAAGCCGGCGTCCACACGTCAGCGTGGTAGCGCCGGTTGTGGTACCCAATCTCCTTGAACTCCACGGGCTTGCCACAGTACCGACAGTACCGGTGGCCCTTAGGCGGCGGCACTGTGTAGGGCGGAGGGGTGAATGGTGGCATTGAGGGAGAGGGAGTGGTGGGTGACGAAAACGGGGAGATTAGCGCTCAGGGCGAATAAAAATTACTACGGCCGGCACACAGACCAAGCTACACGACGCCGGCACCCCGTCGCTGTTAACATTCTTGCCGCACATAGACGACGTTACCTTCATGCCCCCTGCCATGAACGCGACGCCAAGGTCGCGTGACAAACAATGCCATTGCTTCGAGATTTCTTTAATGTGATTGGCGAAAGGCTTTTAAGGGGGTAGAAGGGTTCGGTTCTTCTGGTCATTAGGTCTACGCCAGCCTCATTGTCTTCTCAGGCCAGTAATTGCGGTCCCCTCGTTGTAAAGCGAGGCAGTGGCTCGGCGGGGAACGACTAACCTCGATAACAACCATGCGGGGAAGGGAAAATACGATTGAATGACAGCTAATTCAGCTAAGGATGATCTGGGAAACCAAAAGTTGAGATGATGGATTTCTCAGTGATTGGCCTGCAATGTGGCTGCTACCTCAACATGCATACACCTATCTTGTTTAGGTCTATATTCTCCTCTCCACCTCTTTTTCTCATCCCTCTCTTCCGTAAGTTGCCTTAGATGGCATGGTCCTAAGATCGCTATTGACGTAGATCAAGCGTAGTAGACCTTGCTGAGGTCATGGCTTACATCATGACGTTTTGACGCCGCTGCGGATTGTGCCTGCGTGGGGCTTAAGGCTAGCCCCCCAGTGCGAAAAGTTCCGTTCTCAAATACTCTCATTAGCCTGTTGTCAACACAACCAACAATGCCAGCCAGTGACCTGAAACAAACCAAATATCAGATGATTGCTGGATTTCCTTGATTTCTACGAAACAAGTCTACAAAAAGAGAATCCCCAGCTTGGCTGCTTTCCTTCCTCTCCCTCCCTCATCTCTCTCCCACTGCATGTCGTCAGTGCGCGTACCATAACAGCCAGCCCGCCGTGTTTACCCTTTCGCCAAATCGGGCAAGACGCACGTAATTAACACTATCATCGCCCTTGCCGCCGTCTTTCTCCACTTCATCCTTTCCCTAATACCCATCCACCGACGATGCCTCAACCTCAACGTCGTCCTCCCACCGACAGCGACGATGACGAGGACTACGAGCAGCTGATCGCCCGCATGCTCCAACGGAGACACGCCACCCACCCTTACGCCCAGGCCAGCACCGGCTCCGACCTGGACTCCTTCAACCTCCCCCAGATACCCCCGCCGCCGACTTATACTCATACCACGCCGGACGGCTACCTGAGGAGTACCCCAGATTACGATTTGGGCACGGCTTACCCTCAAAGACAGCCCCACGACGATGAGTTCTACCACCGTTTAGACAGCTCTCCGGGAAGAGAACCGCTGCCGGTGGCCATCGGTGAAGGTACCTACCACGATTTTGGTGAGCCTGACCACCTCGAACCTGATTTTGACGACGCATTTGTGCCTAACGTCTACGATGTCGACGACGATGAGGAACGCGAGTTCGACCGCCATATCGACTATACCAACATCGAGGGTGACGACTACGACCTTGCTACAGTGGAATTCCCACCTACACCGAAAGCTCTGATTAGTCACAAGTCGCTGATCCGTGGTCCTCCGCCACTGGAGTACCTGGTGAAAACTAAACGAGCCCCTCCTCCCTCCCTTAAAGATATCACTGAGGACCAAGAAACCATCTACGACGAACCGGTATACGAGGAAGAGTTCTACGAGAAGGATTACGAAAGCAGCCCCAGCTACGTCGAGGAGTACGAGGACGAGATCCCCAGCCACGCCCCGCTCCAATTTGGGGGAGCGCGAGGCGTCAACGGCCACTTGGTGCTTGATTGTCCCGTGGCTCTGGAGCTTTTGGCCAAGTACCAAGACTTTGACCCCGAATTGAAGAATGGCGGGCTCAAACGTGAGTTTGCGTTTATGAGATACACCGCCGTCACTTGCGGTCCTTCCAACTTCTACCGAGAAAACTACGTGCTCAGACCAGTGCACTACCCTGTACCTCGGCGGACAGAGCTTATGGTGGTGATCACGATGTATAACGAAGACGATATTCTCCTTGCCCGTACGCTCAAGGGGGTGTTTAAAAACATTAAGCATTTGGAGCTGCGCAAAGACCTGCTGATGTGGGGTAAAGACCTGTGGAAGAAAGTCGTTGTGTGTATTATCAGTGATGGTCGTTCCAAGATCAATAAGCGGGCCCAGGCCCTTTTGGCTGCGTTGGGGGTATACCAAGAGGGGCTCGCCAAGCTGAGAGTTGACGATAAGAAGGTGAAAGCTCACATCTACGAGTACACTACCCAAGTGGGGATTAGCAAAGTTGACGATACCGTTAAACTTACTACCACCAAGATCGTCCCCGTCCAGCTTGTGTTTTGCTTAAAAGAGAACAATGCCAAGAAGATCAACTCGCACCGGTGGGCATTCCAGGCCTTGGGCCAGGTGCTTCAACCAGAACAAGTGGTGCTTTTGGATGCCGGTACGCAACCGCTGGGTCGCTCGTTATACCATTTGTGGCAGGAGTTCGATAAAGACGCTCAAGTGGCCGGTGCCTGTGGTGAGATTAAGGCCCTGCTCAAAGCGAAACAAATCATCACTAACCCGTTAGTGTACGCGCAGAACTTTGAGTACAAAATGCTGAACATTCTCGATAAGCCTACCGAGCTGATCTTTGGTTTCATCTCGGTGCTTCCCGGGGCATTCTCCGCCTACCGCTACGTTGCTCTTCAAAACGATATCAACGGACGTGGGCCATTGGAGAAGTACTTTAAGGGTGAATTCCTCCATTCCAGTGGCGAGCTTGACCCCAATGACGATGAATACGAACTTAAACGGACGCAAATGCAGGAAGAAGCGGGTATCTTCACCTCCAACATGTACTTGGCCGAAGACAGAATCCTCTGTTTTGAGCTTGTTGCCAAACAAGGGTGTCTGTGGCTTTTGCGGTACGTGAAACTGGCCTCGGCCGAAACTGATGTTCCCGAACACCTTGCTGAATTCATCTTACAAAGAAGACGGTGGTTGAACGGTTCGTTCTTTGCTGCCATCTACGCGGTGGTCCACTTCTATAAGATCTGGAAGAGTTCCCATCTGTTTGGCCGTAAGTTCTGGCTCCACGTCGAGTTCATTTACCAGTTTATCAACTTGATTGTCTCGTGGTTTTCCCTTGGTCTGTTCTTTCTTGTGTTCCGCATTTTGTGTACCGGTCTAGAAGATCCGCTGCTTGGTTTTGGTGCTGCTAAAGTGCTTTCAGTGATCTTTCTATGGTTGTACGTGGCATCAGTGGTCACCACATTTGTGCTTGCCTTCGGTAATAAACCAAAAGGTACAGAAAAGTTCTACATTGTCATTGTGGTCTTCTTTGCCATATTGATGATATACATGATATTCGCCGCGGTGTTTATGGCGGTGCACTCCATCACCGAGCTTGTCAACCTGAATGATCATCTGGCAGCCCACTTCTTCTCCGACCTGTCATTCCGAGACCTTGTCGTCGCCACCGCCCTGACCTACGCCTTGTACTTCATTGCCCTGTTCATGTACCTTGAGCCGTGGCACATGTTCACCCTGTTTGCGCAGTACCTCCTTCTCAGTCCTTCCTACGTCAATGTGCTCAACATCTACGCCTTTTGTAACATTGACGACGTGCTGTGGGGGACTAAAGGTGACACCAAAGCCGCTGATTTGGGTCTGGCCCGCGTTACCGACTCCGGTTTGTTCGATGTGGCGATCCCGATCCGTCCTGAAGAAATCAACCAACTGTACCTTGACCAGCTTGAAATCATCAAGGCCCCTGAACCCAAACAGGAGACGAAGCCTGAAGCTACCGCTGAAGATTATTACGCGCTCGTGCGTTCGATGACAGTGTTAGTATGGATGTTCACTAATTTTGTCATCATTGCCGTCGTTCTTGAAGCAGCAGGCTTCCTGACGTTTGGCGAAGATGACCAGGTGGGACGCGCCAAGATCTTCTTGACGGTGATCTTATGGATCGTGGCGTTCATGGCGTTGTTCCGCTTCATTGGGTGCCTGCTCTATCTCATCCAGCGGATCAGTACCTGGTTTAAAGGACTGGACCGTCGCCACCCGGAAGACTTTGAGAACTACGAGTACGCTTACCCTGTGGAATATCCTAATGAATACGAGTACGCCGAGCCGGTACCGCCGCCTATGGAGGAATTAGAGCCCGAGCCGGAACCCCAATACCAGAACCCCCGGTCGACTCGGTGGTAGAAAACAATAGCGACTCTGGAGTCGCCTCACGACATTAATGCACATATCTATAGATAGTTTTGAATCATTATAATTAGATTACAATAATTCATCCTCCTGATGAGCCCGTGAAATTAGTGTGTACGCAAACCCTAGCAATGATGTTTTCCTCTATAACGTTTGATTTTGGTCTATGGTGTGGTATATACAGATTTAGCGGAACCACAGACGCTTGGCGGGTTCCGGTTGAGTAAAGTCTCGCGGCTGAGTCAAGACGGGGCCCGACCGCTGGCCCAAGCCAAAGTGTTGCAAGATGAATTCGACATCACCAAACTCGCCACGGTTGCCTTGCATGGCCACCGCAGGAATACCTGAGCTGGTGTGGTTAGTGACGACCTTACCGGTCAACACCTTCTCCGCCACTCTTTGCAAGTCGGCAATAGTGAGTTGCTCGATCTTCTCGATCATTTCGTCGACGGGGGTCACCTTGCCGTGGCATTGCACCTGACGACCCATATCTTCAAGTCTGGCGAGTCTCAGCTCGAAGCTCATGAGCAACAGCGACTTGAGCTGGTTTTTAGCCCGCAGAACCTCGCGTTGGTTGAGGGCACCCTTCTTGGCGTCCTTCTCGAGGAGAGCGGCAAGCTCAAAGCAGATGATTTGCGACATAATATGGGCGGCGTTGGGAGAGCACGAGAGTGTGATCCCAAAGAGACCCAGGCCGATGTACGAGTGGTTGAACGCCTGGCAGTTTTCGACAAACCCGTACTGGTTCAACACTCTGGTGTAGAGCCGCAGGAACATTCCCTTACCGGGACCACCAGCAGAAAACGACAGACCGCCGCCAAGGAGCTTCTGAAGCGTAGCCAACGCGTACAAGTCCTCGTCGAGTAACCCACCGGTTTCAAACCCGATTTGCATGTGGACTAACTCGGGCAAGTTAGCGTATAACGGAGGCTGGAAGGGAAGAGCGATCTCGCCACCAGTATAGTTGATTTCAGGAGAAGCGAAGTGTTCGGCCGTCGCCTTCCAGTCGCCAAACTGAGACTCGGCAAGCTTGACGGCGTCGGCGTGGTCGATACCCACCATCGCCACCGTGATGTTGTAAGGCTGGTAGAACTTTTGGTGGTAAGCCATCACTTCAGCCCGGCCGATTTCGGGGATACGTTCATGGGGACAGTATAACGGCAACCCAAGGGTGTTTTCGTGGTAAGCAGCGGCGTGGAGCACCTCAGGAAGTAAAGTTTCGTGCTTAGCCGCCAACTCGCCGCCTTCGTAGTCCACAGTCTGGAGGGTCTCCACAAGCTCTTCATCGGTGACGAGAGGGTCTCGCACGGTCTGGGCAATCGCCGCAAACATCTTATCGGCGTCGTGGTTGAACACCAGCGCCTGGTAGAACATCAGCTCTCTCTGGGCCAGACACATGAAGTTGCCCCCCAATTTCGAAAGGTTTTCAAGCATTTGTTTGCCCAGGGTCTTAGTCGTCAGTTTCCACGCTAAGCGGTCCCAGATGTGGGAGAGCCCCGACCGCTGGGGGTCTTCGTAGCGACTGCCGGCGTTGACGTAGGCGCCGAGGGCGGTGAAATGCCCCGGGGTGGGGTCGGTGACCACGGTGACGCCGTTCAGAAGCTTGGAGATCTCCACGGGAGACGCCTGGGTCGCAAGCGCCCGGCGGAGCACGCGGGAACCGGTCCGGGTCGAGGTCAGTCTGAGCATGGGTGGTGGTGCGAAGAGTGGCGCACCGAGATCGGTGGGGCTCAGGCTGGTAGAGCCAACGGGGGATAGATCGAATGAGGGGAAGAAATGAGAGATTTTCATGTTTCAACTAATGAGTTTGATGATGAATAAATGATAGATTGGAATGACTTTCTTATATTTCCATGATTTGTGTTAGGATGTTGATTCTATGTGCCTTACTACAACAACCCCTCTAAGGACGTTCTAGGGGTCTTCTACATCTTGATATTGGAATATTGTTAACGAGAAACTTGCGCTGGCTTTCTTTGATCTTAGCTATCTACTAGGTAGCGTCTTGCACTTGAGTGTTGTATGTTATACGCTGACGCCATTTGCGACTTTAAGAATAACTCAGCACAACTTTTAATTGATCAACCTTAAAGGGCTGCTCTAGGCTTCGGGGATCAAGTATATTGATTGACCATGATTATGAAGCACATGAAGGCGGCTTTTTTTAACTGGGTAAATCACGGAAATGATGTTTTTGACTACTTGATTTACATCTAAGCATTACAATTAATGTGGTACAGGGAATGGAGCTCTCTGACCCCAAAAAAGAATCGTGCTGCACATCAAATTCGACAAGACCCCTTACAAAACTCACCACTCTGCCCTCGAGCTGAGTCGAACATTGCAAAATTTTAATCCATCAAAGATATTCTATCGTGGTTTCAAGTATGTACATAGCATCATAAGACTGGAGCGGTGTCTTCAAGAATTTATCGTGGATACCAGTAAATTTCTATGGTTGCCCAATGATGAAGTCGGATCATTGGCCACACAACGCTTACAGCAATTCGATGTAACGTCACTAACAAATTTGAGCTGATTGATCTACTCCTTATACCGAACTATTGTGATTGAGTACGGTGGGTTATAGTTCAAAAAAATAAAATTAGCCATTTAACATGAAAAGGAATAGCTTCGAAGTTCAGTTGCTGCGAAATCATTGCCATTGCCCACAATGTTGAGACTCGTTACATTCGAACGCGTCATCCTCGATGTCTTGCATTTTACGGAGTAGGGGTGCATAGTGTAGCGACGTATTAATTCAATCAGCGGCAAACGCCGTAAAGAATTGCAGAATAGAAGTTTGCGCCAACAGCTTCGATTGCCGGCGATTAAATTGCGACCATGACACACAAATCCCCCAAAAAGTGGAGAAGTTGACCATAAAGTAGCTACTTGCGAAGATGCTATGATCTCACGTTACTTAGGGTTTTCTTCGATCGACTGCTAACCATCCCCCAAAAACGAGATGAGGCTCTCTGGATCTGTGTAATATGTTAATTTAGGGTCACAAGATCAAGTGAGGCTGAGGCTTCTTTACAAGCTGACGAAGCGAAACAGCTTGATTTGTAATGAGTTGAATATGAAAAATCCACGGCAGTAATCTTACTGCGCCTACGATAAAAAGCCTCCATCTAGAACCGTTTACCGGTAAACGGCTTTACCGGGCATAACCGGATTTAATCGGGCGCCTACGGAATTAACATGTACCCAAGAAGCACAGAAGGCAAGGATGAAAACAAATAGTTTCACCTCAACGTCTGACTGATGGGCATCTCTATCGACACCATGGATAGTGTCCGAAGGCACTGTAAAACCAGCCACGATCATGCAGACTCCCATTAGTTAGCTGATTTGGTCGGCGAGTGAACGCCGAGGCCACCATGTAAAACACATAGGCATTAGTTTGTGCATGATGTCGAGTTGACAACATTCGATTGCAGTCGTGATGGGAAGAAGAAATGCGGTAGATTGCGATTAAAACGATGCGGTTTTGTTCCAGTTTAGTTGGTGGTAGCGTATAAAGCTTCGTCTTCGATTCGACATGGTTTCCACGGTGTCCATTATATGAGAAAAAATTGTCTTTGTGATTCCGTTTTCGGTGTAAACACCGTTTGCAGGTTTAGCCTTGAGTACAAAGCAAACACTGCTTGAGTGCGCTCGCGATGACAGCCAAGTGGCTTTCACGCCCGGCTGAAACGGAACACAAAACAAAACCATTGATTTGGGAAAATGGTGGTATAGATATTCATATTCTCGATAGCGTTAGCTTTTACACGAGGTTTAGACCGTTCGTCCCCTCCTTTTTACGCGTTATCCTGGAACGATCGGCTCAACGCGGCGCGAGTGGACGGCGAATTACGTCATGCGCCGTTCCACTCTCTCATATAGATAACAAAAGTTTGCTGATATCCATGGTAGACTTGGATTCACGCTCGTCGTTCAGCTCTCACTCCACCGCCCTCCGCGACCCCGTCACCTACTCGAAACAGGGGTCGACCAAGGATGGCGAGGTCCTGGCGTACCGCGGCGAGCACGAGGAGACCGACAACGGGTTGCAACGCCAGCTGACGTTCTTGGAACGGTGCCAGACCCGGTTGTCGTTTTTCAACTCCAACTTGCGGCCCGTCCGCCGCAACATCGTCTCCCGATTCATCATGAACTACATCGTGATGGCGGTGTTCATGTTGTCGATTTTCTCGATCTACTGGGGGTCGATGTTCCACAAAACCGACCACCAAAGGTATCTTCGGATGTTGGTGTTGATTGAGGATACCGAGACCATCGACGGTATCCCCCCCATTTTCGGGGACCAACTCCAGAGGGTGTTGGCCACACCGCAGGCGAAGAAGATTGGCGAGTGGCACATTTACACCCCGGAAAACTTTACCTCAATCGAACCCAAACACGCCAATTCGCGGTCGGAAGCGGTGGAAACGTTGATTCACGACCAGCGGTACTGGGCGGCCCTCCACGTGAAGCCCAACGCCACTTATGAGCTTTACAAAGCCGTGGTCGCCGCGAATAAGAGTTACATCGCCGGTAACGAAACCTGGCGCAATGTCTACGAAACGGGTCGTGACTATGTCAATGTCCCCACTTACGTGGTGAAAAACTGCCAGTCGATTCAGGGGATGATGCTTGCCAACCAGCTGTCAATGACGAAGTCGCTATTTGATGCCATCCGGAATAAAGGGGAAGACGCCTCCAAAATCATGGAGGACGGGTGGGAGGTGATTTCGCAGCCACTCACGTTTGAGGTGTACGATCTTCGTCCCGTGACCGACAGTACCGTGCTTGCCCCGGCTCAGGTCGGGTTGATTTACATGGTGCTCGTAACGTTTTTCCAAATCAGTATGTTCCAAGAATTGCACACCACTGTGGGTAAGTCGGGGCTCAAACCGAGACACATCTTAATCTATCGACTTTGTTCGTCGCTTCTCTCGTACTTTTGGTTATCGCTCATGTACTCGTTGGTGTCGTTGGCTTTCCAAATCGACTTTACCAGAGCGTTTGGTCGGGCCGGGTTTGTCGTTTATTGGATGACTAACTGGATGGCCATGACCGCGGTGGGGACGATGAACGAGTTGGCGGCGCATATCTTCATCATGTTTGCCCCGTCGGTGCTTGGGTTCTGGTTGAATTTCTGGGTGATTGCCAATATTTCCCCCAGTTTCACCCCGATGGCGCTCACCGCCAATTTCTACCACTACGGTTATGCCATGCCCGTGTACAACGCATACGAGATTACCAAGTGTATTTTCTTCAATACCTACAGAGGCCACATGGGTAGATGCTACGGTGTTCTTGCCGCGTGGATTGTTGTTACCAATGTTGCATTGATGTTGATTATCCCCGTCTTCATGAGAAAAATGGCTGCCCGTGCGAAAGCTGAGGCCGCGAAAAACGCTAAACAAGCCGCCGAAAAGGAAAAGGCGACCAACGGGGATGCTTAGACTTGACAGTATTTATTACCCCTTACACTAATCATTTTTTCTGTCAATCAATAATCAGACACCACATTTTTCAAGTCTCAATCTTAAGCTACCACACAAATAGATAAATATTTGCTGAGAGCGAAAAAGTCAAGCGGTAACAATGCTGGGGTACTCGTATTAAATATGCTGTACACTAAGTTTCAAGTAGGCCCTCCGGGTGTTCTGGATGCTGTCTGTCCCGAAAGCGTTCGGTGGCTAAGGCGCGGACTCTGAGAAGGTAGCGGTGCATAACGCGCCACGCCACAACGGTTGGGGGGCTTAGCTTGGAGGGCTCGAATGGGTGCACTTTTGGTAGTAAAACCTTATAGTTTTCACGTGGGAATAAGGTAGAAAGCTATTAGGTACCCCTTGCTTGCAGTGGCCACCAGAGTGGGACTTTTCGCCATCAATAGAGGGGGTGGTTTAAACGTATGGTATTTATAAGAGTGCATATTATCCGCGGTAATCATCAAACTCTTCATGGTTGGAATTACAAAATTCGGGTTTAACACGACTTTTCTGAAGGTTTGAGCAATACACGCAAGTTCGGTGATTGGTATGGCAAGAACCCTCATCCAGTGTATGGCGCTGTCTATATAGTCGACCAATGGGGCCAACCCACCCATGTTGGGTGATGTGTATTTCGATGTCGTAGAGTTTGTCTTGATGTGGCAATGACTGAAAAGACGAATAAAGCCACAACCCGTGAAGAAGATACCACCTCAAGCTTCTTTCGTAGCCCTCAGTTGGGATTAAATGCCATATATGAATGTATTATGCTATAATAGTTAAACCTTCAGAGATCCAAAAGGTTTGTTTCGCTAGCATTAGCTGCCAGCTTGGATCCTTTGTGATTCGCTTGTGGCGGTGGCGATGGCAGTTGGCCGAATACGTCCATCAAGTCGACCAAGTTCTGTTCCTTCAGTGTCACCGTCGGTAAGGGAATAAACGGATGAGAGGTTTTGGCGGGTGATACTGAACGAGCGATCTCGAGCTCGTTGAGGACGTCACGATGATTATCATTGGTAACCATCATCGACACTGGACGCAGTTGGGGACGACTAGATGGCTGTAACGGAGCTGCTTGCGTTGACAATGGCTTGAATGATGTTGATGACGGCAGAGCCGCCTTCGGCGATAGTATTGAGTCCAACTTGAACGGGTCGGGTGATTGGGTAGCCAGCTTGGTGTTGTTTGATGTGGGAGACAAGACCGACGGAGCGATATTCCATGCGGGAGATGATAATGACGGAGCCTTAGCCGATGTGGGAGACAATACCGATGGAGGCTTAGCCGTTGTAGGCGACAATACAGACGCAGTCTTATTCGAAGTGGGCGACAATATCGACTGAGCCTTATCTGATGAAGGGGATAGTATTGTTGATGGCTTGTCTGGTGACAATACCGGTGTACCTCCTGCGTGCAGTGTTACTGTATTTGGCAGAGGAATCAACGGCGCCATGGGAAGGTTGTGGGCCACCAACACCTGCTTCTTTGGCTTCGAAGGGAGAGCAGGAGCAGCAGTGAAATCGGCAAAGTCGTCGGAGGGACGAGGGATGTTTGGCATTGGTTTGTGGGCTGAAGCAATATTTGCGGGTGACGGTTGTGATTCGGTGGTGGCCGGAGAGTTGGCAATGTTGACTGGTTGAGGCTCAGGAGTAGGCGTCAACGCCTTTTGGAAATCATCAAACTCGTCATCAGCAGCATTACCAGTCGTCTCTGGTTTCTTCTTTGAAGTGGAAAATAATTTGGTAAACGCCTGGATGGCTTTATCGCCAGGGTTGAGCTCAGATTCGGGCACGGCTTCGTCGTCGTCTTCTGGCGTCCCCGTCTCCAAAAACAGAGGCACCATTTCCGTCTCGGTGGGTTCACCCGTGGGAGTTTCTGCTTTCTTCTTGGATGATCCCCAGAAGTTAAGTTGGTTGAAGAATGCTGCAGCCCCGCCACCGGAGTTGCTGCCTTTATCGGTGGTGGTGAGCCCTTCACGTTCATATTCTTCTTCACGGAGTTTCAAGCGCAACAAGTGGTTCTCGTGGTCCTTACGTTTACGCTCGGAAATCTGGTGGGCCATGGCTTTGGTGAGTTGGAGCCGTTTCTTCTCGATACGAATACGCACAAACCGGTTGGCTTCCTGTTCGATCAAACGGGTAAGCTTTTCGAAAACCTGTTGCGAAAGCTTTGGATTCACCACCAAGTTCAGGATCCCCGGCGGCGCCTTGTCCTGTTGATGAGCGTCGACGTTATTGCCGAGGCTAGGGTCGATGACTCCCGTCTTGATCATATAGTCACGCTTAATCTGTTCGGCGTAGGCATCCGACGACGCCCACTTAAACAACTTGTTTGCCTTCAGCTGCTGTTTCTTCTTCAGCAGCCCCAGCGACACGCCCGCCCATGAATCTACCACCACTCGCTGCGACACCTGGATGTGCGAGTCCACCCAGCGGACAATGCTATTGGTGCCGTCTTCCTTGAGTAACTGAGGGGTATACCGCTGGAGGTCGTTGTAGTAGCGAGTAGCGTTAGGCTCATCCTGGAGAATGGCCTCAGGGTAAGTTTTAGTGATGGGTTTGGGGTAGTTCACTTTGAAGTCATTATCATCAAACAACTTCTTGGTTATGGCATGATCAAACTGCGGTGGCTTTCGTGGCAGTGTTGTCGGCGGTTTCGGTACTGGTTGAGGCGATAGCAGTTTTGTCTGAGCTTTTATCGGTGGGGACACTGATGGTTGTACCAGCCACTGTGGCTCGTCCCAGTCGTCGTCATCGTCGTCAATGTGAGCGGATTTAGTCTCATTCGCCCATTCTGAACCCTCCAGGGGTATGGAGTCGGCAGTCCAGGGCTGGGTATCAGTTTTAACGGCGGTTTCAGTGGTACTGGTTTCTGACGTCCACGGATTGGGAACGGATATGGGGAGGTCCACCGATGGTGATTTTGGTTCGGCGCCGAGCCAGGGGTTTTCCAACACACTGGTCTCGGGGGGTAGCAGGTCACCGGGCCCTAGTGGAGGCGTGGGGGACAGGGCCATGGGGTACACAAGAAGCGATCACGGAGGGGAATCTAACGCTTTGGGCAGAGCCGCGCGTGCGCCTCCGCCGTCGCGACCATCACCATCAACAACGTTAAGTAAGTCAGGTAATGATGCTGACATCGGTTTCAGCTGATGTAATGGAATTGTTCTTTTATTTCCATTTGCCTGGATTGTTGAGTCCATCTGTCAGCTTCATTGTATTGCTGTTCAAATGATTTAAGTGCACCATGAGTGCTTATAGAAGAGGGTATAATACCGTTTTATTTCAGGCTGAAGTAGAAGCACAAAGTCTGCTAGAATAACTATTACTCTTTGCTCTGTCATATTTGTTGACTCCTGAATTTCTTCCATTCAATTTTACTACACCGATCTCACTAACCGTACTTCCTTATCGTGCCTCATCCCGATGCCGCCCTACCTCACGCTCCGCTTCCCCCAGTACCCCCAGTGGACGGCGGTGGTGGCCAAGTTCACCCTGGTGCCTTCGTCAGTGCTTGAACAGGCTACCCAACGCGTGTTTGCTGGAGAAACCACCCTCGGCGTGCTCAACACCACTCTCCTTGTGCTGACCCGCCAGCTCGAGTACGCCATCTACAAGACCGTCCAGAACGAAGAGTTTGGCACCCGCAAGGCCAAGACGTTAGCCACCGAGATATTCGCCAATTTGCTGCCGGATAAGAACATTGGCGAGGCCCTCCGCCGGTTTGGTCTCAACACCGATTGCGATCAAGTGGTGACGGTGGCGCTTGTACGCGAAGGCGACAGTGTTGACGACCAGTACCAGAAGATGGCAGAGCTATTAGGAGGCCTACAACCAGTGGAGATTGTTGAGTCGGAGTGGTGGAGCCACGCTGACATGAAGAAAGTGAGAAAAGTGTATAAACTCAACGACGCGGTGGGGCTAGATTACGACGACCAGAAGAAGGTCACCGACTTGGTCATTGGCGCCTGTATCATGCGCACGGCGTAGTATCTCTCTCTCATATTAATATACGATTACTTAGCGATGCGGGGCCGCTTGTATGCAAAGTCAGCAAGACTACGCTTAGGCGTCGACTGCGAAGCTGACAATTTTGTCGACGTGGCCGTCATCGATGTCGTCGTCATCGATGTCGTCGACATTGACATTTTGGCTGATGTTAACTTCGAAGAGGTCATCTTGGTGGCGGTCATTTTGGTGGACACCTTCGACACATTGACGTTATCAGTATTCTTCACTTGGTTGAGTGACTTGGGAGCTAACGGCACCCGCTTTTTGTCCTGGCGAGGCCGTGACACCGGAGTTAAAGGGATGGCCACATCGTCCAGTGTACTCGACAGAAACCGGTCGCGGAGGTAGCTGAATAATTGCAGTCTTTCCGGTGACGACGACGTGCGCTCAGTGGTGGTCAAGGCTTCACTGTCAGACTCCGAAAGATCGTGTTTGGTCGGTGACAGCGTTACTGGCGGCGGTTTAAGCGGCAGCGACTCTAGCACTTGCCGTTTGGGAGTCTCCTCGAGCTCCATATCCACCTCAACCTCGGTGATTTCCTGTTCGAGCGAGGCGTACTCCTGACAGAGACTTTCGAGCGATCCCTCAGGCACGGTGGGCACGGTCATCGATGAAGTCACCCACAGTGTTTGCGACATCGTTGGGGTAGCGAGCGAAGGCATGGTGTCGGGGGTTTCCTGGGTGGCTTCGTCGACATCAGTGACCACTTCGTCGACGTCATCAGCTTCTGCCACCACCGACGAAATCTCGTTGGTTTCAGAAGACTTACCCAAAAGCTTACTGAAGAATGGACTCAGTTGTTGAGGGGCATCACGGCCGAGTAGACGACGAAGCCGTTGCGAAGTCGGCAGAGGCTTCAGCGGTGCCGCCGCCACTGGCGGCTTGGGAGTTGGCTTCACTACTGGCTTAGCCTCGGGCTTCTTTTCTTTGGATTGACCAAAGTAGTCTAGCACCAGTTTGCTATTGGTTGACGATTGACTCAGCAGTTGACTTGACGGCTGAGATGACGGCGATTCCACGCTCAAAAGACTCTGTTCTCGAGTTAAAAGCGGCTCACCGGTAGTGGGGTGAATTTTACCAGTACACATCTTTTGGTAATACGCTTGATCCTTGGTTTCCCCACAGCATCGTTCGAGGTCGTGGAGCATCGCTGCCACATCCATATCTTCAGGGTAAGAGTTAAGGGTTTCGAGAGTGTGGTTGCGAGGATGGTACACTTTCTGGAACTGGAATGCTAAGTCGGCTAGTTTCATCTCCTCGGCAAACGTATCAGGTATCAGCTTACCTTCAGCTCTGAGCGCTCGGAGGAGTCGATCAATTTCCGGGTACCGTTGTACGAGTTTGACTGCGGTAATCATCCCCACTTTGTCAATACCCTTAGTGTAATCACATCCCAGAAGCATAGCCACATACCGCCATTGACTGCTGTTAAACAGACCCAAGCCGGGCACGCTCTGAGCAATGCGTTTGCGGTCAACTTCGACACAACTGCCGTTATCTTTAAGCTTAGTGATGAGGAGGTTGGCGCCAAACACAAGCAAATCGGAGTCTTCCAGGAGAATACCGTCGACGATGCCGATCTTTTCCAAATAAACCATCTGCGGATCCGCTTCGTAAGGGGCGACAATGTACTCGATACCTAGGGTGTCGAGTTCCACCATCACCGTTTTCGCCATTTGACAGGTGACGCCCGCAGCTTTCATGTACTCCTTCCACGCCGCCTTGGAGTTACCCGCCTTCGCGTAGGCGTCGGCTTTGGCCTGAGCCAGTACCCGTTTCTCTCGCCGTTCGCGATTGGTCTCAGCTTTGGTAGGAAGGGCAGCGCCATCAAATACAAAGTACGGTTCGACGCCAAAGTAACGCAATAAGTCGACTTTCTTCATGATCAGCGTCACGTAACGGCGGGTGGGCTGGTTGGTGCAAAGCTCCTGGGCGCACGAAATGATGCCTCGGTGGAGCCACCCATAGGCATCGATGGCGAGGGTTTTGCCCCGGTATTTCTCGAGAGTGGTGTGTTCCTGAGCCGGGGCTAGCATGGGAAGAAGCCCTGAGACCCCCATAGTGTGTGTAGTGGGGAGTTAACCAGATATGGCAATCAAATCAGTAGTGAAAACCAAGGGAAAACCGGTGGTAAAAAATGCAAATGAATGGGATGAGTCGCTCGTCAGAGGACAATGCTAGATGCCAAAAGTGTGGTTGATTCCGGTAACAGTTAATGCGCCGAGGGATGGAGTAATGAGCTCCAGGGTTTTGTTATCGCTGCAGCAACGACGCCGGTGCAGGATCTCCCCAAAACGCGTATTACTAGTCGTGAGACGCGTACGCGTAGCGAGACGATCCCAAGTACGAATCGATGAGAAATCAATTGAAGGGGGTAATTCGTAAGCGACTACGATTACATTAATGGCGATTGGGTTATCAATTCCCATAACTAGTCAATGCGTTCATTTGGGAGTAGTTATAGACCTGAAGCGTGTGGAATGCTCAAACAATGGAAAAGAGTCGTGCAATTACCAATATATGGTTTTTTCGAATTTGACGAGAGTTGAGAATACCGCTTTTCTCACTAGTGCCTTGTCATGTGACCAGCGTTGGCGATTAAGAATTCTAACGTATTATTTAAATGCATCTATAAATTAAACCGTTACTTATCGTGTCTACACCGACTTCTGTCTAGCTGCTTCTTCCTCGGCCTCTCGCTTCAACTTGAGGGCTTTTTTACCCATCACTTTACCGAAAATGGGGAGCACCAAAGCCAATAAGATATTCGTCAACACCACCCACGCCACGAGGATCCCATAATTACGACCCATGTGGCCCTTATGGGTGTCAAAAAAGATCACTTTGATGATCTCATTGGCGTTATAAATGGGTAAACCGTACCCGTAGCGGTAAAAGTTAGCGGTGAGAGCCATCGGGGTAAACGTACACGACACGTTAATGATAACCCAGAAGATCAACCAGAACCCAAGACAGGGCGGGAACACCATGATGAGGACGTGGGCCATGATTTCGTTCATCCCACCCACGGCACCCATAGTAAGCCATATCGTCATCCAGTAGACGGGGAAACCGCCGCGACCAAATGCCTTAGTAAAGTCAATCTGGAAGGCTAACGAGATCAACGAGTACATGAGCGAAAGCCAGAAATAGGTGAGGAACGACCCCAAAAGCCGGTAGAGCAAATAGTGGGGTTTCTTCATCGGGTACCCGGCGATGGTTTTGTGAAAGTCAACGAAGAAGTTGAACTGGAAAAACGTGACGATAATCAAGAAAATCAACCCCACCTGTGCCGGTGCCATTACCTGTGGTTGGGTTAATGGTCGCAAGTCCTTCATTTCAAAGTTGAGCGATTGGGTGAGTACCTGCCACCCTTTATCCAAAATCTCTGAGGTGTTTTTGCCCTGTTGGCGAAGGATATCAATCAATTGACCGTTCATCTCTTTCTGATGAGCCAAGACCATCCGTTCGATAACCTGACTATTGGGAACCACGTAACTGGGGACATTGTTAAAATCACGTCCAGTCTCGTAAACAAGTTTCCAGGATCCTGTACCGGCATTATAGGAGGTGTTCGCATTTAACAATGCTTCATATAAATGGTGGGTGGCGTTAGCTTTAACGTGAATAGCTCCCCAAAACTTTTGTTTATGAACCAATTCCTCGACATCCGCTTGAGTATGGCCCCTAGAATGCTTAGGACGAATGTCACTAAAGTTCAGTGGGGTATACACCTGCCAATCACCGTAGTCGCGAGCTTCCAGCAGCGTCACAACGTCAATCACGCGGTTACCGAAAAGAGGAGGTACCCCATCGATAGTATCGACATCCTCCACCATCACTAGGAATTTCAAGTACTTCATGTGGTCGTCTCTGTGCATCATTGACCCCCAGTATATCGAGAAAATCCCCAACATCAACACCGCCATGATCACGTATATCAGGGCAAACTTCATCACCATGCGATTTCTCACTGGCTTCATTCTCGGATTGAAAAAGCCAAGCTGGGTCTGTACTCTCTCCAACGCTGACATGTGTGATCGTGTTGACTGGGCATCGTGGGCGTCGTTGTTAGCTTCACCACGGTAACTCTGAGTCGACAGGTGCGACGCCGAATCAGACTCCTTGGTCGCTGCGTCCGGCAGCAGCAGCAACATTTTTTTGGGGGAGTAAACTGCTGCTGGTGAACTGAAGAACGGGGAGTTGGCGATGCGGCTACCGCCGGGTGGTATAAATAATTGAGTATTTGTGATGCCCTGCATGCATCATCGGATCGTCATGCACGCTCGGACCGGGGTTTGGCTTCCCGGTCGCCAGGCGCATGGGTCTCGATCCGCGGGAAACCCACCGTGACTCGACGGAGTTACCGTGACGGCTGCACGTTGTCGTACTTTCGTCCGCTTCGTCTTGTGTAACCTCGGGGGACGCTTGCCTAGCACAGCCGCGACCCAAGATCTGCTTGTTCCCAATGAGAGCCGCCCATCGAGGAAACCCCGGGGTTTGGTCTGCTCGCCCCCCGACAACGTTTGCGAGGCGATAAGAAATGCGGGGGATATATAAACGCAATATTTTGCAATAGCATTGTCGAAATTGCCACGGGCATTGCCCACATGAAACGGGGGTATTCGCTTAACTCCATTTGCCGCTGGTGTGATTACTCCGGCAACTTTATGTATAATTCCGTGCTACAAAGAAGTTACTTTTTTGTATGTCTCACCGATCATCGGTCTGCAAGCTCATCTAAAACCTAACTATCGAAATGATCATTTATCACGCTATGCTACATGCGGTTGCTGCCTCCGATCGTCATCGAAAACTGTAACCCGTTTTTCACTCCCGAGGTGTCCGACGACCCGTATCGCCGGGCGACAAAGTAGCCCAAATCGAAGTTGGCGTAGTAGTCAAAGTACTTGAGGCCAAACCCAAGCGATACAGGCACCAGGGAGTCGTGCCAGACGTCGCTGCCGCAGTTACCGACGGAGGCACTACCGTATACCCGCAACGGGTGGGGCTCGTAGGAGACGTCACGGGGCCCGACAATTGAAGGAGTAGGCTCAATGAAGAACTTGGGGAGCTTGGCAAACACGGTGGCGGCAAATTGGTAGAATTGGGTGCCGCCATGAGGGTTGACACCGTTCTTGGTGAACCCTCTCAATGACGAAATGCCACCAAGGTAGAACCGGTCGGATATGTGGATGGGCGTCTCCGGGTTCAAGTTGTAGATGCCACCGACGTCGGCACTAAGCTTGGCAGTGATGTTGTTATTTCTCCACGATTGGTACAATTCGAGCCCCACCATCAGCTTGGCAAAAGTGGCGTACGACAGCGCCGCCGGCTGTTCCAGCGACTGCAGCACTTCGGAGTGGACAATTGCTTGGAAACCTCTCACGGGGAACACGTGCGAGAACGGGTTATGGTACTCAACGTCGGCAAGCTGAATGCGGTTAATCGCCAGTGTCTTCAAGTATTCACCGGCAAAGAACTTCAAATCGTCGTCAGCCTTGTCATCGATAGAGTGGAGGTTTCTCTTAGCAAGAGCCAAACCAGTGAGCACCAGGAGAGCGCGTCCTCGCTGGTACTGGACGCCAATGACCCCCAGCGCCAGGTTCTGCTTCAGCTGCTGCCACAGCTCGTTATTCTGCTGGGCGTGGCACACGTCAATCAAAAACTTAAACGCCGGGTTGTTGAGCAGCGCCATAAACGTCCCCAGCGACAACAAGTGGTCAAAGGGACGATAGGGGTTATAGTTGACGCCAATCTCGACAAGCTCGGCGTTGTCGTTGATGTTGTTGTTGCGGTAGTTCAAGTGCAAGTTCAAGTTGTCCTCCGAGTTGATATTCAAGAAGACTTCGCCGACATTGATGTTGATCAGTTGCAAATCAAAGATGACTTTAGTTGCGATCAGCGGCTCCTTATTATAGGACACCACCAGCAGCGGGAGTGCCGCTTTGAAATCAGAGTGGAGCGACGCTTTAACCGAGCGGAAAACATTGGTTTTCTCCAACTTATCGGTGGTGTCCTCGACGTGGCGGACGAGCAGGTTCAACGTGTAGTCCAGGTCGGCGAGAAGCGGCAGCAAGAGCTTGCGGTAGAAGTAGGGCAGGAACGCGTCGCCGCCATTGACCTCGACCGACGTCAAGTAAAGGGGGCGGCCGCCGGAGCGGGCCAACAATTCCTCGGTCTCCAACCGTGTCTGAAAGTCCGTGTCTGCCATTGGGCCTGCGATTGGTTCGCTCCGCGCGAAAAAGCACATCAAGCCGAGAGCCAAAGAGAAATGAAGCGAATTATATTAATGAGGGATATGAAACCAATTGATTGAGTAATTACGAGTTTTTCGTGATGGTCGATTTTCATTGTGATTGATTGGTTGGTAATTGAGTAAAATTGAGTCCTCTATATTCCCTCAATCCCTATATCAATAGTGGTTGTGGCACTGTCAATCGATTCAATTTCACTGTAAGTTGTAGTGTGATTAGAGAACTATCGATCTAGCATTGTCTGAAATGTTCACAATTACAAGAGTTGATAACTGCAACATGTCTCAGGTCCAAACCGAGGTATAAGTGATATCACTCATCACAAACAGTACTCGGCTATAACAGTCTACCAATAAACAATCAAAAGACTTACACTTACCACTGGATGCAATTGTACGATTACTTTACACATGCCTCTCTTTTTTGCCCTCTATCAGTCTATGGGCTATTTGTGTTCGACGACGGCGCCGTTGTGGGCCACCTCCAACAACTTATATTCACACTCGACACCGGCCTTCTTAAAGTGGTCCATCACCTTAGCAGCGATGTCGTCGAACCCTTCAGTGGCGAGACACAAGATGGTGGGCCCCGCACCCAGAAGACAGATACCACACAATCCGGGGTTCAGTTCGGGAGTAACCGTCTGTAACACTTCCGTGAGCCCGGGGATAAGCGTCAGCCGGTACGGCTGGTGGATCTTATCCTTCATCGCCTCGTAGATGAGGTCGTGGTTGACGGGTTCCTGGCACAACGCCGTCGTCAACACCGCGAGCCGCTGGAGGTTGAAAATGATATCCGGACGGGTGTACAGCTCTGGGAGCACTGCTCTCAGGTCGTCGGTGGACACTTCGAAGTTGGGGACGATACACACGGCCTTAATCTTCGGGTTCCACGGGTATTTGAGGTATTCACCAATCTTTTGCGGAGGCGGCTGGCGAACGATTTTATCAGTGGGAGTATCAGCTTTAGGCAAAATGTATTCCAAGGGGACCAGTTTCGCTTCCATTTCCTCGGGACTAAGCTGGCTAAGGTACAGACCAACAAAACCCCCCAACATGGCGGCAGCAATGTTATCCGGGTGTCTTTCAATCATCAACGCATAGTCCATCAATCTCTGCTTGTCCATACCCAACTGGCCAAGCTCATTTCCCAACATTATCCCGCCGACGATCGCCAGGGCCAGCGACCCGAGCCCGCGAGAAAGCGGCACCGGGTTGGTCACTTTGATCACGGTACCGGGCTCGAAGCGGTCGATCCCGTTGGCTCTCAACACGTACAACGCACACTGGGTGACCAAGTTCTTGTCCAGGGCCAACGGCACTTTTTCTGCCAACGACCCTTCATACTTCAACACGGCGCCGTAGGCATCGCTCAGAGTGTCAACGCTGGGATCGATGGTGACGTCGATGTCGAGGTAGAGATTGAGCCCCACCCCTAACACGTCAAACCCGGGACCAATGTTCGCCAGCAGCGCCGGCACTCTGATCAGGAACCGTCTCATCTGTTGATTTTTCACCTTAAAACGCGGAGAAACGAGTCAGCGTGAGTCAGCCTCTGAGGGGAGGTAGAAAGGAGGAAGCGAGGGGAAGGTTGGTGTTTGAGAGGATTCGAGAGGATTTATAGGTATATTTAACCATTTGAGATTCATCTAGAATATCATTAGCGTGGGTGTTTGTCGACGAGATGAGGTAATCATCGGCGGACTACGGGCACGCGATCGCCGGTACCGGGTTTTTCCGCCGCAAAATCGAGCCATGACCAAGCGCGACTTGACGAACCAAGTGATCGGTAAAAGCACGAGTCATTATGTTTGTAAAGCGAGGTAGACTATATTAGAGTTTTACTTTGAACTAGCTGCGTCGTGTATACATGTCAACAGTGGCCACCACTCTTGTAAGTGCATTTCTTGGCTAGGGATTCACTAGCCGACTCCTTTCTTAGATAGCCACCAATAGGTCAACAACGCCGAATCCGTGAGCCTGTCGTATACACGTGCTTACCGTTGATGCAGCATTCAAACATGTATACAATGGTTTGGCTCGTAACTACTTATTTTGTATCTCATCTGAGATATCAGAGTAAATCATTAGATGGAAATTGATCATATAAAGGTATCATTAGAATCGTTATTGTTAAGCTAGTCATTCTTGATTTCTGGGAACGTATCCCTGATTACTGGTCGCTGATACATTTTGGCCGTTGCAGAAATCATTAAGAAGGCTTCCACAATTGCAAAATGTCGGGGCGACACCATAAGCCCAACTTGCACAAACCCATCAGGGATGAACGCTGGTGGGGTGACGTCTTCATCGTCATTGTACTGCGGTATCAATTCACGTTTGAAGAACTCAATGTACTCGAGTTTCGCTGTATCCACGAAGTGAACCACCGCTGGGTCTTCAGCATCGATAATTCGTAGTTTCTCCAAGTTTTTGGGTACTGTGATTTCTAAAGAACTGGCGAATTCAATGCATAATGATTTGAGATCATCGCGTCGTTCAATATATGCACCATTCCACGGTACTTCCGTAGAAATAATCAAACTGTCCATCGCTTTGGGCATTTTGATGTCACGGTCACAAGTTAATTGTTGACGGGTATAGTTTTCGTTAAGTTCGGTGGCTGCGAATGATTGGTCAAGTAAGTCAAACTGCACAACATTGACTTCGTTCGCTGAAATCAATAGGTTCCTCAAGTGTATGTGATTTAGTTCAACGTACTCAAGATGGGCATCAATGGAAACATTGAATATGTCAAGATTTTGTAACTTCAAACGACGAAGTCGTGGAACCCGCTCTAACGGGAACGACGTCTGCATCAAGGTCAAAATTTCCACATTGGGAACATTGCATCTTAAGGGGGATACATTGTCCAATGTCAATTCAACAAGATTCGGTCAATTGATGCTCACCGATCCGTACGAGAACACGTTCAATTCCTTGAGAGTGGTAGAGTCAACCTCGGTGAAAACCTCCTCCAAGTCATTGGACAATCCAAAGTACTCGAGTTGAGAGGGAATGCCGTCGACGGGATCCCAGGAGTAAATGAACAACCTCACCAACTTGGAGGGCAAAACACTATGTCTCGTAAGGCGCTGGTCGTACTCCACGCACAAATCTTCTGCTTGTGGAAGTAAAGTCAAGTCACGTACCAAAATGCCATCTCCGTGGAACAATTTCAACTGGGCAAGCTGGGTAGTAGTGAGAAAGTCAGTGATTTCGCCTTCAATGGACGTGTCAAGCTTCACCTTCTGGAGATTGGGGCAGTAAATGTTTTTGAAATTCGGCTTAATAGGTTCTCTTTTAAACCCGTAGAGAATTGTAATTTCTCTCAACATTTCACAACGTGCATCGCCAGGAATACAAGGAACAGAAGCCGTCTCAATTTGAGACCAAGGAATGTCGAAAAATTTGTTACCAGCCACCTCCTCAAGGTTTTGAAGTGACGAAACATTAAAGGGAGTGACACGGTGGGGATGCCAACTTTTGAAGGAGACGAGCAGTAGCGGCAACTTGTCGGTGTAATCATAACCGCTATATTCGTCGGTGAATGAGGTAAGATTAATCAAATGCTTGAGACTGGGTGGAGCTTTGAATACACAAAGTCGGAGAGATAAGCTTTTAGTTGTGTCAGGAATTTCGTTAGCATCAATTTCAACAACGATCAATTGCAAAGCAACGACGTTTCCATTTAATCCCTTGAGATCGACGCGAAGGGGTGAATCACAGTGACCCTGTACCCTTAAAGACAACAGCTGTACTGGATTTGCTTGAGGTAGTTTTTGGTGAGCTCAAAAAGCCCAGCAGGACATTCAACGTAAATGTCACACGGTGGAAGATAAGCCAACAAGTCGAAGGAGATCTCAGTGGTATTGCTTTGAATAATATGTTCTAAACTCACTTTCACCACCCTTCCTCTGAAATATTTGGTTGTCTTTTGGCGGAAGTCGTTGAAACCAGGGAGACTGCTGAAGGCCTTAAACATCCGACTCACCGAGCGAATATCAAGAAACTTAAAGATTTCTTCGTAAACATCGATGGGGAGGTCGACAAACCGGCGAGGTGGCGGCTCCGTAGTGGCGTGCTGCATCGGTGGCTCGGCCATGAGTCAGTCGAAGAGTGGACCAGCGATGATGAGGGGTGACCTCATCACGTGCAACATTGTCAGCCCTTGGTATGTTGGAGTTTCCTCAACCTCGTCAATTCTTGCATGGCGCATTAGCGGTGGTAACACTTGGTTTGTATACAGGCGTAGACAAAAAGATAAACACTGCTTAAGTGAACCCAAAGTAGCAAGGAGTGAACTGAGTGGCGAGGAATAGGTAATAAACCTTACCCATGAGAAACGTGGTGTATCTTCATTGCGCTGGATCTTTCTTGAGCGCGTAGCGTGTTGTACCCCGTAAACACTAGCGTGTGCGGCGACTTTTGTGCAGGAAAATAGTACCTCATAGTGTTGATAATAGTTAACAAAGTACGAATAATTGTAGCATTTCAGCGGTGAAACTTCTCTTAGAATTATTTACCACCGTTTCCGTAAGAATATAGAATTACCTGACTCTACGTCAAATTGAAGCTTCTGCTTCTATCTTGTGCGATTTGACAGCTACAACGTAGATGAGCCCATCAAGTGATACTCAAAAGATCATCAACCATTGTTAGAATTGGCCATCTCAATTACATTTTTAATTGGTATATTTTTTTTATAGTTAATATGTTATGTTGCCATTGATGAAGACGATATACTCCAATCAAAAGCGATCTCACTATAAGGATGTGCACACTATGAAAGCTCGAGGATTTACAATTGAGCGTACATTTGTTGCTTCAAATCGTCAAAGGTGCCTCGAATAGTTCATTGAACATTGAATCGTCATATGTGCCTTTGCGCCTTATTATAGGGCCCATCAGGTTGGGTCGTCATTGCGCACCCCCACAAATGCACTTGGTCCATTATACATCACTCTCACTTCATCTCCAGATGCTTAAATTGGGTATATTGGCAAAATTCAATTACCAGACGTCTGATTTATTGGTGACTTTATGATGATAGGCTGATTTTTGGTTTTCGCTAACCGCATACCCTTGTCGACGCTGCTCGATCGTGTGGCGACGATGACCATGTAAGGAGTAGATGCATCACTTACGAACCGAAAGTTGGATTGATATATTCAAACGGAGCTTTGATTTCCCTATTTATTCCCACTATAATGCCGACTCACGGATGCATTGTTTTCGACTCTTATTGAGCTCATGATGACTTAATGATTTGGCTTCATAGACAATCCCAAGCTTGTTCGATATTTCGCTGATGCTTGTGTTGGCTCACGTGTGGTCAAGCATGTAAATGCACCATTTGCAAGGTAGGTCTATCGACCATTGGTTGTAGTCTTCGCCACAGCCAAAATAATCAACGGAAGGAAATATAATTGAAGCATCTTCTCGTACTACTTGAACACAGTTGGTGAATGGGTTAAGTGTGTTCTCCTTAGAAGTGATTGTGATCTCTTTCTAATATTCAGCTGCATTTACGTGGTGGTGGTACCTTAGACATGGAACGGGAAACCTTCCTAAATTAGCCACCTATCATCGGCCCTTTTCTTCCACCAACCTGATATATAAGTTCATATAGATTCCATGTTTTAGATCATCAACCTACAACATGAACTTCAAGGTCCTTGCTCTCGCTACCGTTGCCACCGTCGCCATGGCCGCCCCCGTCGCTGACGGCGCCGAAGTCGCTCAACCCAAGGCCAAGAGATGGTGGTGGATTGACTGGAGAATGTTCGAACCCATCGACTAAGCTTTTTAATAAACAATGCTATCATTTATAACAGTGTAGTTATCGAATCACGACTTGTGTGATGCTCATTTTGTTGTTTTGTTCACACAAATCATACCAACAAAAGGCACGATTATGCTGAGATTTGAGGCCAAATCAAAACATTAAGACGCTGCTAATGGATATATATTGAGTTGACATTTCTCCATTCAATGCTACTGGCTTCATGTCCCCCCCACTTAAGTTCGGTGATCTATCACCCTTAATGCACGGTTGTCCTGCATATAGCAGATTATCTTGCATATATCATAAACAGCAAACTCCCTCAAATTTGGTCCTACCGCAAAAAAAATGAAAGCCAAAGTAGCCGCAACTTCTACGAAGCCAACGAGCCCACTTTCGCGGAGTTGGCCCCTCAGACGGTGGCGATACGCCTCGTTGAAGGTGTTAAAAACGTGTTAAAAACTTCAAAAGCGTGACCGCAAAAACTTCAAAAACGCACCCTTCGCCCTGAATTTTCTTTGGAGCTAGACAAGTTAGACCATAGGTGTGCTAACAAATGTTACTCAAAAAAGCGCAACCAACAACATATATTGGCGACATCAAATGGCGTTCGAAAACGTTATGCCATTTTTCGAAGAATAAAAAATTTGAAACGCCACTTTTTTTTATAGGAAAATCCCAACTTTTCAAACTTCGAGATCCGATCTTTAATGTATCTAGATTGACTAAACTCGCCACGGCGATCATGATGATCGTAATCTTAACATCTCATGATGAAAACTCGTGGCGCGATGAAACCAGGAAAATCTACCAAGTTTACCTCAATCTCCGTGACCTGCATATAATGTGATGCCCGTCTAAGATACAAGCACGACCATATAAAATACCATGGCGATTAATGTTCCAAACAAAAGGCATTTTTTCATCAGGGACACCCACATAATAGTCTACTCACAGTTACAAATGGTTTACATCATATTTTGTCAAATTGAGAAACTTTGTACATAAATCTATTAAACCACCTCATTAGAGCACGCAGGTTTCCCGCTTTTCCCACAAGATGTCGGCGGGCTCCAACGGCAACGTCACCATCGACGCGTAGTCGACACCGGGCATCTTGCCGTCCTTCAACGTCCACTTGAGGTTGTAGACGTAAGTGGCCAAGATCGTCCCCAATTGCACGTAGGCAAACTGCTCACCGATACAGCGGTGTCTGCCACCGCCGAAGGGCAAGTACGGCGACAGCACCCCCTTGGAGATGGCGCCAAACCCGTAGTCGACCAGCTCGTCGTTGTCGTCACGAACCTTGGTGTCGTCCCACCGGTGAGGGTCAAACTTGTCGGCGTTAGGGAAGTAGCGTTCGCTAAGCATGGCGTAGCCAGGCGACACAAGCACGTGATGGCCCTTGGGCACGACGTAAGTGGTGCCGGGGACCACGAGGGGGTTCATCACTTTACGGAAGATCAGGTGCAACGGCATGTGCATTCTGAGGGTCTCCTTGATAGTGTTGTTGACCAAAGGCATCTTTTGCAAGTCTTCGTACAGCAAGTCGTTGAAATTGCCGCCGTTTTCGGCAAGCACCGAGGTCACTTCCTGGTACAATTCTTCCTGAAGATGGGGCTGTTCACCCAAGTGGAGCAAAAACCACGCCAGCGTCGCCGCCGACGTGTGTTGGCCGCCCATGAGCACCCCGATGAGCAAGTTGGCGATCTCCTGGTCCAGCATCTTAACGCCGTCCTTGTAGGTGGAGTGGGTCATTAACGAGTCGATCAAGTCACGCTTGGGGTCGATGTCGCCGGTTTGACGACGCTTGGTGATAAGACTCATATAAGTGCTAGAAATCTTCTGTTGAGCAGCATCACGCTTCCAGTACATCGGCAATGGCAAGTTGGGGAACACGAAGTTGATGGGGGTAAAACCCTTGTCGAGGTCCAGGTATAATTGGGCAAACAGTTCGTCGAAGCGTTCGCGCATCTCCTTCCCGAGCAACAGTCTCAGCGCGGTGAAGATGGTGATTTCCGGTTGCGATTGCATCACGTTGGCTTCGCCGTGGTCCTTCAGTTTCATGTTGAAAAAAGGAGCTTTAATAAAGTACAGCAACACTTCCTCCCTAATTTGAGGCACGTAGCGACGGAAAGAGTCGGTGGTAAGGGCAAACTTAGCGAACTTCTTTTGTTCCATTAATCTGTGGTTGGGGCAGTCATACACGACACCTTTACCAAACACAGGGGTCGTCAAGTGGGTATAAGCTTCTTCGGCACTGACGTCTTGGAGTTTCAGGTTAAGCACGAACTCGTGGCCTTTAGGACCCAAGTATACCGTCATCACTCTCCCCAACAACACGAACGAAAACACGTCACCGTACTTCTGGCGACAGTCTTCGAAGAACCCGTAGGGGTTCATCCCATAGGGGATGGCGGAGCCGAACCAGGGGATCCAGTGGAACACCATAGGGACGCGGTCTCGGCGGAGCGACGTGTTGAGCTGCCAGAGGAGGTTGAACACGAAGGGGATGCCGACGACAAGCAGGATCTGCTGGGCCAACAGCAACGCCACGAACGCCAGGTACGCCGCTTGGGCGTAGTCGATGAGAGCCATGGCGCAAAAGGGGGTAGCTTTGCTCGGTGATGGGGGGGGACAATATATATTTCACTCGTACCCATCGTTTAGCGGGCTAGAGTTATATGCAGGAAACGTGTCTCTAAATCAAAATCGCCAATTAAATGTAAACATTCAAGCGAAAACCCCAGATTTAAAGGATGAAAAATGACCACTGACTTACTCTATAATCACCATCATAACTGATCAAGGGCGTTTATGTAGTTGTTGTCGGTGTAAGGCTTTAGAGCTAGTCGTGATGGTATGGCCGTGTGAACGCGTTTGTTTTTCTGACTAAACGACGGCGCGAGAGTGGGTGGGTTTTTTCTCAGTTATGGGTTAAGGCCACGCGCGAATCACGCCACCTACGAAGAAGCCAGCGAAGACCGTGAAAGAGACGACACGAAAAATTGTGGGACGTTATTTACAGTTTGACAGACATCGCCAACGGTATCCCCTAATTAAATTAATCTAAAATTTCTTTTCTCGTGTCAGTGGTAGCTTCGGTAACCATTTTTGGATATTATTGCAGGGCTTTTGTACGGCTGAACTTTTCAACTGCCTAAGGTTAAAATTCCCATAAATGGAGCTTAAATCTAAATTAGCCTGGAGGCATTTCATTGTTTTGATGTAGTCGTTTGCCCTAATAATAAAGTGTCTCTCTCTCTCGCTGCCTTATGCTCGTTGCTTAACAACCGTATATGTAAGGGATGATGGAGGGGACAAAACAGCCGATCGCGACATTCATCTAAGATAGCATGGAACTCTAACTAGACAGGGACAATCACTCATTCACTATAATTGTATTAGTTGTTCTTTTAACCTTGATTTGGTAGTGTTATGGCAAATTCCGTTGAGCAAGCGATGACCATCGTATTCCTCGCTTTTATCCCCTTTTTTTTTGTCCCTATGGTTTTTTCTTCATTTCCTAAGGTCGGGGTTCGCAATTGTGGGGGATCCTCGGAGCGGGTGTAAATGCGATTATTTAATCCCGGGGTCTGGCTAAGCCACGCAAATGTCTACAACCTGAGAACATGGACATGATAAGCCACTTGGTCGTCTACGGCATTTCGCAATTGAAACAGAGATTCGTAATTGACAATGGCAGAGGCTTGTGATTGGCGCTAAAGGCGTATGTTTATCAGTAGAAACAGAGGACTAATTAAGACTCAGCGTATGATATAACCATCCTCTGGTTCTTTGTCTATAAGCAACATATAGACATATATAACCTTTAAAACAACTTTTAAAACTCTTCATCGAATAAAACCCACAAAAAAAAAATCAACATTAGTAGTAATAAATAAAACATCAAAGATAACCCAGAAATTATAACAAAAAGACCTCCTCGTTTTATGGGGCAATGTGGCTGATGTCGATCCCCATCATCTGCGCTTTGGCCATGAGCTGCTGCTGCTCGTACTTCATGCGCTCGTTTTTCAATTCGAGGAATTTGATGTATTCGACCAGCTTGGCGAGGATGGTGCCTTTGTTGAGTTTGCGTGCGGGTTCTAGACCTTCGAGGTCCTCGTCACCCAGGCCAGCGCCGTCGCAGTCGTCGCTGTCGCTATCGCTGTAGCTGCCGCCGCGGCCCCCGCGCGCCAGCGCCAGCATCTTCTTGGCCTTGCGGCGCGCGCACAGACGAAGCGCCGGCACCAGCATCTGTAACGCGTTGAACTTGTCGTTGATCTTGTTGCGGTAGCGCTGCTCGATGATGTTGTGGGCCAGCTTGACCCGGGGGCGGGGCAGCAGCAGCTTCGGCAGCAGCAGTTTCGGCAGCCGCGCCGGATCCAGGAGCGGCAGCTGGGCGCCAGTGCCGCCGCCGCTAGCGCTAGAGAAGCTGGCGCCGGCGCCAGGGTGAGCAGCGCCGCCCATCGGCACCGGCGGCGCCCCCGAGGCGCCGAGATCAGCGGTGTAATCACCATTGAAGTACCCGTTGGCGACGCCATTGGCAAGCGGGACCGCCGGCGCTGGGGGCGGCGCCATCCCCTGGCTCACCGGCATCATGCCGAAATCAAAGTCCATCGCCAACGACGCCTGGTTGGGAGTAGCACTGTCGTAGTAGCCGGGCGCCGTCCCCGATGGCGGCGGCGGCATCGGCGCCAGCGTCGAGTGGGGCAGCACGGGGGCGTCGCCGGGGAGGGGCTGGTCGCGGTCGAGGAGCGTCGTCAAAAACGCATTGTAGTCGTTGGCACGAAAAGGCATTGGCAGGCGACGCTTACAGTCCCGAGCCTAGCGGTGGCCCGGAGAGTCGCTATATATACTTGGCGCCTGTTAGTAATTAATTCTCGCGCGGGTAAGCTGAGCCGCACGCACCTCCCGATGCACTGTCCGCAAACCACAAAAAATAATCTGACAATGCCTAGGCCCCACGACCTTAAATTTGCGCCCTCCACCTGCCACTGGCAAACCCCGCGGCGGCGTCGTTTAAGGGGGTAGTTGCCGTAAATCTCACGCATGCCGTGCCTCGATAAAAAAAGTTAATTTTGCCTAGTTACGACCAAAGCAAACCCTCCGTTGGCCTCGCCGGCCTCGGTTTCTGTCACAGGCATCAGCCACCGGCGAGTTACAAACACCGGGTGCGAGTCACCCACGCATGGCGCACACCCTACATATTATCTTTGGTAGACGAAAAAATCATACGATCGATCATCCGACCGAAAAAAAAACGAGGGACCGTTGATGAGGAAGGGGGCCACGCACAACACACACCGAGGTAGTCACTGCTGGCGTGTACACCCACGCCACGCATGCACGGTGGCCCTAGCGTTTTAGAGTCGTTTTGGCCACAACGGCTGATTTGACATGGGAACTGGATAGGGGTACCCGAGGGCGTAAAATGAAATTCCAAGTTATACGTCCGAATGGGTAAGCTGTGGGGGGTTGGCAGGAGCCGCTAGCAGCAGTTGCCTCATGGGGTGGGTCAGCCCCGTGGCGGTAAACCCCGACAACTATTCCTTCCCGTTTACTACTATAAGAAAAAACGCTAACTTTGGCTCGGATCAATTCGACGCTTCCGATCGGATCCCTCCATAAGGCCGATTGAGTGGACCTGCCAGAGCGCGGCTTGTAATTACCTGTAGCGGCGCCAGGTGACCGAGGAAGGCTGATCCCATAATCGGAGTTACGGAAATAGTACACGCCCGAGTCACACTTGAGTCACGGCTCCACCTAACCCGTGGCCCCCTCAAACCGTCAGCACCGAAGCAATTTATGGAACGATTATACATGTGACAGTAACGCTAGCGAACGCAGACACATACCGACACTTTTTGACAATATCGACGCCGGCAAAAAAGCTTAATTTAAGCGAAAATGATAGGGGTCGGTGTCGCAATATCCCTGGTATCGCTAGCGAGCCACCACCGCTACACCATTGGCTTTTCTTTTCGGCATCTGGACCTTCCTTCCACTCACAAATTAAACTTTAGTGATCTACGCCAAAGAAACCTTTGCGCACTCGTAACGCGGGCTCCCCTCGTCTTTGTGCCACTGACTTACCCGCATGGGTAGCTGTACACCCCCAGGCAACCGCAGTCACTGGTGGGTTGGGCTCATCCCCCACGAGATACACTCTCACCTGCAGTCCGCAGCCCCCACGCCGACACTGGAGCTGCCGCGAGCCTCCGGGAGCCAATCGGTAGGCGTCAAACCAAGTTGGAAAGGAGAAAAAGGTCACGGCAGCCGAGACGTTATCATCGAGCGATTTCGGTAAATTCGTGTGAAAACGCCGAAACTGTCCGGAGGACGTGCCGACAATTTGGTTCGTCCACGACTTAGTAATCGTTTTTCCCCGCTTGGTTTGTTACGTGGGTGTGCCCCCGATCACGACGGCCTAGACTTGACTCAAAAAACCTAGTTATGGTTTCTTTGCGAGCAAATGTAGGACATATAGCCATCGTTGTCGCGGGCTCATGTGCGAATCTTCCAGTAGCGGGCGCGCTTATGTAACGCTCATCGCTCGATCTCCACACCCACTTCATTTACCAATCAACCATGCTGGATCTCCACCAGTTGTGTCTCCTCACACAACGGCCTATCACTTCAGAGTACTCCCAGAAGCTACGGAGTCTCCTCGAGTCGGGGATCCCCGCCACCTACACTCTAGAACAGGCGGCGGCTTATAACGCCGAAGAACAAGGTCTCGAGGCCCCGGAGACGTCTGGCGACACCACCCCGCTTCACATTTTGTGCAGCGCCTACCCTGAAGATGCTACGGCTGATGAAACCGCAGTGGTGCTTGAATTGATGGACATTCTTATGGAATACGGTGCAGGGTGGAACCACACCGATGGCGACAACCGCACCCCCGGGTGTGTGCTTGTCAACCGCAAATTGACTGATACCCCATTATATAAGCGGATGGTGAGTGCTGGTGTCCAAGCGGAGTTGTTATTGCGTAAAGTGAGTGAATACGATATGGAGGTGTTGAGTGACGATGAAGTCGCCCAATTAGAACTCCAACAAGCTGAGGAAACTGAACAACCAGAACCTGAAACCAAAGAAGAAACTGAGACCAAACAGCTGGAAACTAAGGTGGAACCCGAAGAGGACGATGGGCAGGATGCTCCGGATGCGCCGTCGCTCAACCAAACCCTGTACTTAAACACGAAGCTCGAGTACACCGACGACGCCTTGGTCACCGCCGAACGCAAGGACGGGGTGATGATGGCGTGGGAGACCCAGCTTATGGAGCTCGGCGCCAACCTGCTCTTCGCTCAGGCGGAACCCGATAACGCCGTCGTGCTCAATATCGGGTTCGGCATGGGCATCATCGACACCTTCATTCAACAGAAACAACCCAAAAAGCATTACATCTGCGAGGCCCACCCGGACGTCCTCGCCAAGATGAAACAAGACGGCTGGTACGCTAAGCCCAATGTCGTCGTGTTGGAGGGGAGATGGCAGGACAACTTGGATACGCTCTTGCTGGAGGGGGTATTTTTTGACGGCATATATTACGACACGTTCTCCGAGCACTACGCCGACATGCTTGAGCTTTACGACTACGTGGTTGGTCTCTTAAAGCCTCAGGGTGTATTCCTGTTCTTTAACGGGCTCGGGGCCGATCGCCAGGTGGTGTACGACGTGTACAAGGAGCTCGTCGACTTGGACTTGAGCAACTACGGGCTCACGTGCAAGTTTGAACCTGTGCCTGTCCCCGCCGAGAACATGGCCAACGTGTGGGATGAAGTCAAGCGCCTGTACTGGGCGTGCCCCACCTACTACCACCCCCAGGCCCTGTTTGCTGCATTTGAAGACGACACCATATAATAAATTGATGGCAGTTTTCGGAAAATACTCGTGCACCGACGATCGGGAAATTATGTGCACGAACATCGAGGGATGCCTCTACAGTGCTTGGCGGCAGTTAATTTACGACATAGGCTTATACAGTTTGAAACTTACGCTAATCAGACCACTAACGCCTCTCTATTTCCCCATTGGCCATTAAAAGCCTCACCCACGATGGAACTAGTAAGTTCGTTAACTCCGGCATAAAGGCGTCCTCGTCTATCACCGATGAAACGCACCTGTGAATCCCTAAAAATGCGGCCATAAAAACCTGCCCAGTATAAAAAACCGTGTTTGGAGCGTGGGCTTCATCCCCTGCCAAAATTTCACGTCACTACGGTTACCACTGTTGCCAGCATTTTCCCCACACAGCTAGCTGAATGGTGACGACACATGGCTTATAGTGACGACATCAGCTTTGATATCCCCTGCTGTAAGTCCTGCTGCTTGTAAGCCCTGCTGTACGCCATGCTGTACGCAACCTGCACTGATGTGAAGTAAAGAGCTGCTGGTGGTGCCGCTGGCTTTCATGCAGGCTCGATGAGGCGGTGGTGAACAGAGCCCTGTAAGCCAAGGGGAGAGAGCTGGACAATACGAACTCTGCACGTTATACATTTCTTGTCCTGCTGGAGACAATAGCCCTCGAAAGTTTAAACGTATGATCTCAGCTGACGCTGCCGTACATACATTTACATGTTTAGTGACGACAATTATACGGCGACACATCGTCGATACAATATCCCTAAAAACCGGCGACCAAGCAACCTACGTAAGCGGCGGTGTGTGTACAAAAAGCAGATGATTATGCGCATGGTTTCCGATTAAACGTAACTAAATTATTTGAAGATCTCTTTGAAAGATGCACGCGAAGTGACCCGACATATGCCAGTGCGATTATCCCCCTCGTTGACATTACAAGGGCGGTGGGTGGCTGCCATCATCAGATCGACACCTGCGTCGAGCGAGATGTCCCAGCAATGACGTCTGGGGAGGTGTTTGGAAGGCTCATTATGAAAATGACATGGCGGTGACGTGTCTCTTTCTCTTGGCACTCACTCGGAATTTGCCACTGGGTACTTGCATCAGTGATAGCAACTGAAAACTGGTAAATGCTGGTAATTTAGATTTCGATATTGCTGGAGCGTAATCAGTGGTGTAATTACGCCGTGGCTTCCTGGGGCTTTTTCTCTTCCCCGATCACACAGCCGAGCCCCATGAACGTTTCGTCCAATACTCGTGCAAACACATCGTTGATACGCCACCCACCAGCCAAATACTCCTTGTTCTTTGCCAATTCCAGAGCAAACGGATCGTAATAGCCATCGCCATCGGTGCCCGCCAACTTGTAAAGAGGGTGGGGGTCACGGTCACCACAGAAGGGAGTGAACGGCATCTTGGGAGTCTCTTTGCGTTCCACCAACGGGTTATTCTCGTTGAAGTTAGCCTCCAACTGTTGGTTGATCTGTTCAAGCTCACGTTTTCTGAGCTCGGTACGTTTGAGCGTCGCCGCCTGTTGTTGTCTAAGTAACTCTTCCAGAGTGTTCAGCGAATGGGAAAGCTTATCCAAAAGTTCTTGCTGTTGCTTGCGCTTGAACTCCAAGTCCTCCAACTCCATTTGCCGCTGGATCTTGAGCTTCTCCTGTTTGAGCTTCTCCACACTCTCCTGAAACTTAAGCACGTCAGCATTCTTTTTCAGTTCTCGCATCAGCTTCTCGAGAATAGCAATCTTGTTATCCTGTTCATATTTGGTGAGGGCGGCTTCAGTGGCCTCCACGTCGATGCCATGGGACAAATTGAATATAATATCTTCCACTTTCGTCAAATACTCGTCGTACGCCTGCGGCGTATCAAAATCCTCTTCTGTAGAGTTGTATATGGTGCACACCCGCTTGCGGATATCGATCTCTCGTTCGACCTTAATATCCTCAAATACCTGGTGTTTGAACCGATTCTTCCGGAGAATCTTTCCACACCCAGGGTACGGGCACGGCAGCGGCCCTAATGAGAAGATTCTGTCGACACACAGCTCACAGATCTTATGGTAGCATTCGGGGTTGATGAGAAACACCATGTTGGGAGAGAGGTACCGGTCTGTCCGGCAGATCGGACACATGTCCTTGCTTCCGTCGTCCTCAGCAATCATCGTTTCTCTCGTAGCCTGAGGTATTAGGGTGGATATTTGGTGGCGTCAAGTGAGGCAATGGTAAGTGATGGGGTCAACGCGGCGCGATAATGATGGATGCGAACGGTTGCCTAAGTAGACGATGGTCACACAAAAACCGATAGAAGTCTCTAAAATGGGAGCAAAAAAAAATCATGACTAAATTGAAGAATTTTTGTAAAAAGATCAGATTAGTCAGAAGGGCAAAAAAGATGATTCCGCCCGGGCTCGATCCGGGGACCTCATCCGTGTTAAGGATGCGCCATAACCAACTAGACTACGGAACCAGCTGTTGGCGGAATAAGCGACGTGGTTTAACAGATTTTACCAACAATGGGTAAACTCACCGATTCTTGGCATGATCAAGGTCTAGCTTGCTCATCTGAATCTCCTGGTGTTTAGCTATAATTTGACCTACTCCACAGTCCTTTTTTCCATAAACTTCACGACCCCTCAACTCGGCTATGCAGAGTCAGGCGACTGCCACCACCACCGCCGACGTACATTTTTCTTAGCCACACTCCATGTCGCCCACTTAGGAAACCAGTTCCGGCCAGATCTGATCGACATTAACCAGTCAGACACTTCCAATCTCAAATATTGCAACATATCGACCTCATTTCATTAACATTTTTCAATCGTATCTACTTGCCTCTCGGCTATCGATTGTCGCTAGTTTTTCTCACGGGGTAGCCGCAGCCGTGTGGAGACGCTCATCCGGCACGCGCAGGGTATACAAACAAACTTACACGAGCACTCCGAGATCGTTTTATAGCGTTCGCAAATTTGCCACCTCCGCAAAGGGATTCCATCACATTGGCTGATTGAGCCAGAGATATTGCTTTTTGGTGTTGTGTTGATTGAGAGTCTCTCTCTTTTTCATACCAGGGCATCAGTCATCTTTATCGCAACCATCATCGGCTTACTAAGGTCAAGCTCAGCCTAGCTTCAGCAACCACCGAAACAGCGTGTTGAGAGGTCATTGACGGCACCTGGATTGCCTTAGTCACAGCATGATCTTCGACGTCCCCTGTTTGAAGAGCCAGCTAGCGAAGACGGTGACCCCCATCGCCATCGTGTTGCTCCTAGGGTACTGTGATTTTGCCGTGGGGTGGGCGCTTGGCCATCAGGAAATATGGCGATATCACTCCCATGGCGTAGCGATTACGCTCTGGGTACTCGTTGGTTTCTGTCAGGTGATGGTGTTTATATACTGGGCCCTTATATTCATCATCGGTCCCGGAAAGCACCCCATACTACCATTATTTGACTTATTCGATACCGGTGACCCTCAATTGTGTCCTCTACCGGATATGTTCAATTGTGATGCCTCCGGATACCCGTTTTACGAGTCACTGATTAACTCCCTAGTGGTTCCGCGGTCGTTTTTCTCGAAAAACGTCCACTACCAGGTACTCAAATACGACCACTACTGTGTGTGGATCGGGATGGTGATTGGCGAGCTGAACTACATGTTCTTCCTAAAATTCATGCAGTGGTTCCTTACCAATTTTGTCATTATCCTCGTGATGACGATCAGATATACCCCCGCCAACGCTCGCCACGGGTTCAATTGGAATCTCCTAATTATCTACATCGGGCTGGCGTTCTGGATCATCATGTTGGTGGCCATGTTTGGCGTCCACCTCCGCTACGTGTCACTTGAGCTTACCACCCTCGATGAGCTTACCGTGAAGCAAATGCATCGGTGGGCTAAACACCGACGTGGTCGCGAAGAACTAGGTATACGCTACGTCAACGTCGCTCACGGCAACGACCGCAGAGTGGTCCAGTTCACCGCTGCTGATCGCATATACACTAAAGGGTTTAAACAGAATTGGATCAATATGGTGTTCAATGGTAACCGCAACCACGGCTACACCAAGCCATACTCCACTGCACGTCTCCTATTGGCTTGGGTAATAACATTCCTCCCCTTAGTGGACATCCCGGTGGTGTTTCTGAGTCGTCGCCGGCGACTGGACCCAGAGGCCACCGATAAACTTGCATATTACCACCAATATAGCCCGGAATACTCAGAAGAATTCCGAGCGTATTGCCGCAGGCAAATTGACCAAGGGATCGCTTACCGTCCCACCTACATGAAGATTGAGTCGCATTCTTCTCAAGAGTCTTTACCGTCACAAAATTAATACACAATTGCTAGCACACGGGACAAAATTACGCCAACACGTAAATTGATAATGTCATGGTTGATTAAATGATCGAAAGAAGGGCAAAAAGTAAGGGCTGTGCCGGCCCCAGGAATCGAACCTGGGTTTGTTCGGGGTTGTGTCGCCACAACGAACCGTACTAACCACTATACTAGACCGGCGGATTTTGCTTAATTTGGAATCGGCTTTTTGGTACGATGGTAGTTGTACTTACAAGAGCCCCACCAACGAATCTCAAGGATACATACCTTTTATTGTAATTTCAGCACTCTACTCATCCGTGTAAATGCAAAGTTTTGTCACTTTTCTTTTATTTTTGTTGTCAAATCGTCCATCGGGTTTAAATTTTTAGCATCACGCTCTAGCGCTACCCCACACATTTCTCCGCTCAAGATAAAATCGCGGCCGATGCAGCCGACCACCGTCGGATCCTGCTACCGAAAACGATGAATACACCATACTATTCAGGATATTCTCTTTACGATTTTATTACTATGGTAGTTATAGATCACACTCATTGCATTTCCTATTCTGATCAAGTCCAATTTGGTCAGTTAAAGTGGTCTCTCTCGGTTGATGGAAATCACCTGTATGCACTACCCCGACCCTCGGTTGTTCGGGAAACCACCATCACATATAAACTGACCGTCGTCCCCCCCCACACTTACCAACTCCAAAATATCCACCTTCATGGCCTTAATTCCTGAAACATCGCCCCACTACACCTACAGTCTCAAAACCGTGCTCGCCTGTCCCGCCCGCTACCCGCACACAGTGGAGCTCGACACCCCGTCAAACCACGCCGAAGACTACCAGCTCCGCATCTCCTACCGCAAGTACCGGACCACCCGCCAGCTTGACCCCTCGACCAAGCCGTTAAACCTTGCCTTCTGTCATGGAAACGGCATGAATAAAGGGCTTTGGCACTACCACATCGATAAGCTCTACCAGCAGTTCCCCCAGCTTAATGTGGTGATTGCCATTGATCAAGTCAACCATGGTGACCTGGTGCCTCATAACCGAGGTAAGATCGGTAGTGTATACAACTGGAACGACGGTGGTAAGGATGTGGCGAAGATTTTGACTGTAGACGAACAGGATGTGTTTTTACAACCAAATGCCGTCAACGTTTTGATTGGCCACAGCTTGGGAGGCTTTCAACTGCTTATGGCCACCAGTCGAGAACCTCAATTATTCGATTCTACAATTATCATCAACGGGGTGACGGAGCTGGGACAACGTTATAAAGACCTGATGAAGCGGCTGGTGAAGCTGTGGCTGGACGCCCAGCGGGTGGTGCTGGAGTTCGACACTAAAGGCAAAGACTGGTACGCCGAGGTGATGAAGTTTATGCAAAAACAACTGTTTTTCAAGCGGTTCCAGCCGACGGTATTGCACAATATGGTCTACGATGAGTACCTGGGAATCTATGACCAAAACCAAAGCTACGATCGCGTCGAATTGAAGACCAGTGCTCGTGCCCAATATACCGTATACAGAGATGGTCCCGATCTGATTTGGGAGTCGCTCCCCAAATATGAGCTGATTACGCTGAAAGTGTATGTGGTATTTTGCGATAAAGATCTTTTAACTCCCGAGGGGAGAGAGGACCTCATTCGCCGTTTACCTAACGCTGAACACGTATTGATTAAAGACCGCTACCACCTTTACAATGCTGAACAGCCTGATGAGTGTTTAGCCACGATTACCCCCTGGATTGAAGAGACTTATGCCAACGCTAAACCTAAATCAATCGACCCTAACAACTGTGGTCCTGGAGTCTCGGAGAGATTATACCAAAAGTATCTCAGTGAGTTTATCTCCAAGCTTTGAATGTGTGTTTTGTATACCCATTTATTATAGATGATAGAGTTATTATGAGATTTTCATTTTTTTCAAAATTGTTAGTTTTTTTCGTAATGGCAGCAATAAAGCGTCATGTTTCTATTGCGATTTCCGTCGCGTCTCACCATCCCCACACTACGCGTATCAATGACAATAACCCGGTCAAAACGGACTACTTCAGACGTGGTGACGGAAACCAAGGTGGTGGAATCACCAGTCAAACGAAAGAAAATACTGGTGACCACCACCACTAAGGTTACTACACTGAAAACGGCAAAGGCGCCCAAAATCCATATTGAGGACGCTCTCCGCCAACGGAACCCAGATATTTATACAGGGATATTACCCGAGGAGTTTGTCAATAGCCACAATGCTGAATTCATTGAAGGATGTCACCATGTGCTTAAGCAAGACCCTACCTTATATGCGGTGACGGTACACGCACCGTTCCCCAATTATAAGCCTGATGAGCCAAAGGCGACCGTCAATGATTACTGGTATTCATTAATACGACTGGTGATGGGCCAGCAAGTATCAGGGGCAGCGGCCAAGCTGGTGGCAGCCAAGTTTAGGGCGTTATTCCCTAAAGTAGAGGGTCCTACACCACAGGGGACTTTGAAATTTACTTTTGATGAACTTAAAGCTTCGGGGTTGAGCAATCAAAAGACGAAGTACGTTATCAGTATTTCTGAAGCGTTCAGTGATAGCAATCATCCGTTAAGTAAGATTGAATTTTACCAAAACGCGTCTGCTGATGAGCTTACTGCTGAGCTTATCAAATTAAAGGGTATCGCTGAATGGCTGGCGAAGATGTTTGAAGCGTTTACTCTTCGTCGATTACGTGTATTCGCTTATGAAGATTTAGGTGTTGCTCGGGGCATGGCTCGCTACTTAGAGAAACGGCCGGAAATTTTAAATGAAGTGAAACAGATTGTCCACGAGGATGAAGAGAAACGGGCTCGACTTAAGAAGAAACTGAAGTTTACTAATGGCAGCAATAGTAAGCGGGATTGGGTACCGTTACACGATGAATACGTGTGCGAAGTGGCCCGCAAGTTTGCCCCTTACGAAACGGTGTTCATGATGATCCTCTGGCGGCTCCTGCTGACCAACGTCGACGTCCTCTTATACTAAAACATTCCCGTGAAAATGATGCGATTTACAACTATACCCAAATTCCTTATTAATATAGACCTTATCAGTCATTGCCCAATTGCTTCAATCAACTCTGAAATTTCACCAATTTCACCATTCAGCACGATGATTCACGTTTTCGATGGATACGGTAAGGTTATCTCGAGCACAGCCTTCATCTGTGGGGAATGCCCTCCATACCGGGCTAAAGCAATACGGCGATGGCGGAATACGAGCCACCCATCGATACAATTACATCACTTAAAGGGTCAGAGATGGCTCTGACGTCAAGTGTGGCACAAGATCCACTTGCGGTGCGGCAAACAACAACCGACAGCGTATTCCCCCATGGGGTGTGCTGCTTCAATCGATATCCCGACGCCGCGAGGCCAGGCACGTCCCGCCGACCCCCGCTGATGGCTATTGTGTCGCGCACGACGCCGCCTTACCGCGGGAACCAGACAGACGCGCGATAAAACGATGATTGCGATATGAGAACGATATGAGAAACGATCGATTATGATTAGAGTAAATTGATAGAGAATAGTAATACGGAAATAATCAAGGAGAGACGGGTGGTGTTGCCGCTCAGAGGGTGGCGAGGGCCAGGGTGGTGTCGCCCGGGAGAGGTGGGAGAGGTTGTGGGGTTTGTTGGCAAAATCGCTCTCGCAGTGGTGGTGGCGAAATTTGTCGTGGTTGCGGTAACTGTCGATTTCGGGAATGACGGACAGTCGATGGCGATGGTGGTGTGGGGCGAGTGGTTAGGCGGTTCCGTGGGGGTGGGGCCAAAGTCGAGGTTTGCCGATACAAGAGACATGGTGGTTCACCAGATAGGATATAGTCATCGGGGTGCAAACCCCTAAGCTTTATAAGTTATGGAAAGCAGAGTAGTGGTCGGGAGCTGGCGCTAACGGCATCGCGCGAACATAGGCTCTGGCATGGCGACGATTGAATTTGGCTTTCCTGCATATAACCAGCAGAAAAAACAATGCACGCTGCTATTATGCTCTGCAAGTCGCTTTCACCGCAACCCAAACGGAAGCTTGCCCTTATATCCGGAGCAACGAGCCAGGCACGCCGACGCCACCCGACGCAACCACGGCACACACCAAGCGGCTATCACGGGAGCCTCGAGGCAAACACGGCTACCACCACCCCGTAGTCGTCAGCCGTAGCCGCACCACTATTTATAACCGATGAAAACCTATAGTGTCCTCCCCCCCTCTTTGCCGGCGATGAAGCGAGACACCCCTGGACGATGCTTTGCCCCTGGTGCTAGCCAGCAACCACCCGTCGGCATCGCCGGCGCCCGTCGGCGCCTTTACAGGTGCCAAACTCGAAACCCGATCGGGATAGGCTTCGAGATAAAAGCTTATTTTGAATGGGTCCAGAAACGAAACATAGACAGAGAATTAGGACCATCACAAAGAGCTGATCTGGTGGTGGTTACGGTAGAGAAGTTTCCTAGGGGTCGGACACTTCCAACTTGTTATTTCTTTCCCTATTTAATACACCTAGCCTCGGTCAATGTCCAATGTCAACAGCACTGCCTTCTTTTTTTGTGAGGGGGCCTGTGTACAGGAGGTTGTGTGCTCGTATAATCGATATGTCTATTTCTCACTATTTGGTGTTTCTTTATCATAAGAGGTAGTCACGTGACACAGCAAGCGTCATTGCCCATTTTTTTGGGGACAACGCCCCCATTTGCGAAAGTGCACTTCGCTGGGAGGAGGCGGTTTTTGTGGCCTCTTGTGCGTGGCGTGTGTTTATTTCGGGCGCCCTTTCAACAACGCCCCCGGGCTCCGCAACCAGTACTGCAAAAACATTCCCTCGCCGCCCCCTACTCGGCTACAACGCCCTCAGCGTCCCTTAAAGAATAGCAACATCCCCCATAGCCCTCAAATCACCCGAACCGGCCCCCTCACGCTCCAACCTCATCTCCCTATCCACCTCAGACACACACACCACCCCACAGCCTCGCACCCTCCCGTCCACGCTACTACCAGTGGATCACGCTTTCGTCGTTCCCCCCCTTACAGTTCATACCAAGCAGGCTTTTTTTAAACATCTGATACACCCACCCGCAAACCAAAGCTCAGCCACGACCTTGGCGCCTTTTCGACAACAAACAACAAAGCTACCACCCCATTACTGAAGGTGTGCCATGTCCCGCCGACATCTGCTTTCGCTGACGGGTCTGGGACGCCTGGGCCGGCTGCTGCTGACGATGTTGCTGGCCAACCCCACGCTGCGCCACGACCTCAGCACCGACGCCCTCTGCCATGTCGACGGCCGCTTCGCTCCCAAACATGCCAAGCGGACGCCGACGCTGTTCCTGATGCCCAACAAGAAACCCCAGCCTTATTGTTTTCCTAATGGCGAAGTGTTTCGCCCGAGAAACCAGCCCCATAAACGCCAACGACCGGGTAAAGTGCCCCGAGCCAACCTGATGACAAATGTACCTCTGGCTGGTCACCACCATCATCAAAATCATCACCAGATTAATAATCACTATTCCCACCATCTGGGGTACTCGCTGACTCCAGGCTCCTCCACACGGCTACCGCGCAACAACTCGTTCCTGCTGGCGAACACCTCATTTCTGCTGGCGAACACCACGTTTACCTCGAGAGATAACTTGATCAAAAGCATCCGCCTCCAGCGCAGCGACACCTACACCAACTTGGCCCCCGACCAAACGGGAGGCATGGCTATTGGTGGCAGCTTCCAGCACCCACCCCCGTTAGCGAAACTGGCGCTGGTGCCCCGCATGCAACCGACCAATATCCTCCGCATCGAAAGCTCGGACTCAATCGTCCAGATGTCTCACATGCTGCCGCTGCTCCAGCTGTTACCTGAAGGGCTGTCGATGCGCTACTCGCTGGCGCTGGTGCTGCTGGTGGAGGACCATCTGCCGGCGCTGAGCCACCTGCTCTCAATGAGACTGAACTCTAATACTCCCCTGACGTCGATCGATGGTGTTGAAGTGACCAAAGAGCTGGAACCGTTGTGTCCTTTACCTGAACACAAAGAGCCGTCGCTTGACCTTAGCCGCGATGCTAGACCTCACCTCCCCTATACGGTGCCTGCCACCGATGCCACGGCTAATACCACCATCGATAACACTTTTGTCGATGCGTTGGAGAGCATTCCGCTGCACACGATGGCGCTGCAGTCGCTGGTGGTGCTGGACGTCTGGCTGGAAGGCGAGGAAGTATCGGTGGTGCTGTCGCCTCACTCGACCACCGATACCGATAAACAGGCCACTACTCCCTCCACGCCGACGTTCGCGGCCCAGTTTGCCGCCCATCCGCCTCCGGTGCCGCAATCACACCCGCAGTTGCCACCGCTGCCTCGTTCACCTGACGCCGCTAAATTCCACTCGTTGCTTACTTCAAAGGCTAGTCAAGTATTTGAAAAGGATTTGTCGTCATCCGAAGACGCCGAACAAAAGATTATTGATGCTCTCCAGAATGATACCACAGTACCGCCGCGGGGTGATTTGGCCTTGTACCTGAAGCTGATGCAGTCGTTAGTGAGTTTTGATACTTTTGATGACGCTGCCCCTAAAGAAGCGTTAGCGCCGCAAACATCAGTATCAGCACCGGTACCGGCAGCAGTACCGATTGCGGAACAGCCTACGTCTCTGAATGATTCCGCTGATGAGTCTAACAAGAATGCTGGACATTCCCAGGCTCAACCGGAACCGGAGCCCAAGTCACCGCCTTCAAAGGCTAACATGCCTCGCTCACGACTGCTGTGGGGGCTTAACTTACTGGGTAAGCTGGGTAAGCAATTATCTCGCCTGAGTTCAAAGTCTAATTTGCGGTCAATGTTTCGCAAGATCTTTAGAAAAAGTTCTGATAAGGAGGCGATTAGCGAGGATCCACAGCCTTCGCCGCCAGCTCCTCAAACTCCGGTTCAGTCTCGGGTAAAACCGCAACCCACACCTAATGCTACCCAGCCTCAACAACCATCACCCGCGCAAACGCCATCTCGTGGTAAGCGGACGGTGGAGGTGGAACCTCCCATCAAGCCGGAGCTGTTAACGTTAACTCGGTTACCTCTGCTTGAGCCTCAGATCAGCGGCATGGATGATGTGCTTCGCGATATCGATGAGTACGGCTCGCTCCAACGCAATAAGCTGGTGAGACTGGTGCTGAGCCGCCACGACCCATTTGTGTTTGATGATGAACTCACGGAAGACCAAATCGCCGATCAAAAGGCGCGTGACAAGCTGCTGAGCATGGCAGCGCTGGACCCGCTGGACGCCAGTGACGCCGAAGATAGCTACGTCGACGAGAATATCCTTGCACTCCGTGAAGAGTACGCCACTAACAAAGTTGATCTGCTCATTGATTTCGGCAATATCTACTCCACCCACCGTGTTGACGGCCCTGTGGAGGTGATGGTAGTGCACCGCGACCAGCTTGACCAGGTATTCTCGAAGTTTGACGCCACCGGTCCTCACCGTCGTCGTCTTGGTAACCTCAAATACGTCCAACAGTTACTGGACTTTAATCTGGTAAAGATGACGGTGCGCAAGTTCGATGCTACGGTGGCGCCCACGGCCTCTGACGCTAATAAGACACCGCGGAAGATGCCGTCGTCGCTTAGATCGAACCGCAGCCGGCTGAACCCTCGCCGGGTGATGTTTGCCAATACCATCTCTGTCAACGAAACCTACAGCGCCGAAGCCTACCCCAGGGTGAACCGTCTGGTGACTCAGTACACGATCACCAACCCCACCGAGATTAGCCGCATCAAGCAAGAGCTCAATCAATACAAATGCGAGGAGATGTTGGTGCACGAGTTGAGTCAGGAAAACACCCACTTTTTCTATCCTTAGACTAAGTTAATTTCTCTCACTTGAAGGATGCTTAATAGACATTATAACCCCCCTTTCGAACCAATACACTAATACATGATAGAACAAATTGGGATCAACGTAGTTGAATCTTTGCTGCTACAACTAGTTCAATTCAGAAGTTTCTGCTGTTGAAATTTACTAGTATCCAAATATAGTTGTACTCCATGAATCAGGTTTCTCTGTGGATCGGAATGTCTGATTTATCTGGGGAATTGGATTGAGGCTTTCGGAGACACGTCAGACATCGACACAAACCGACAAAGTTTACAAAACGCAGCAACTACGCGACCCGAGCTCAAGAGTCGTGCTACCCCCCTTCAAACCCCTTGTAGGAAAAACCAAAATCACTATTTGAGTTAGATCCACATACTCTACTCCCCCACCAGATTACGTGCTTTGAGACCAAACCAGGCGATTGAAATTGCTTTTCAGGGTAACTTTCGTCGTATTGATTGCGTCATCTTCCAGATGAGACATCGTTTAATGCAAAGAGAGGTAGCTAGCAACCGTCACCTGTCGGCTAAATGTCGATTGCGTGCCTGTGGAATCCCGTTTGTTGAGTGGTTTTTTTTATTTTCCTTTTATCATTGCCGACAATAAGGTTTGATCCCAGGGCTAACCAACCCAGTGTTGCTTACTTGTACCGCACACACACACTCCACACAGTGCTGTTAGCCTCACAACCCCGGCCGGAAAATTAACTATAGGCTTTGTGTCACTTTCCCATGTTGTCAACGATATTGTTATGTGATATATTTCGGGTCATGATTGGAGAATTGATGAATTATGTAGGAGTTTACTGGGTGTGAAAGCAGTTCTAGACAATGACTATTGAGCTTTGTATTTCTACCTATTCCTGCTAGGAAGATACTGTCAAAACTTGTTAGTTGGTGATCATGGTTTACTCTTTAATTGGCAACAGTCGCAATTCACAACTATCACCTCTGACCACAATCAGACGAAATGAAGTATTAGACTTTAAGTCAACCCCATTTTGATCGATTAATATCATTCACTTCAGCTTTGACTGCATATCGTCTCAATCTTCAGTAATCCTTTAAGGGTGATTAACTCAACTTTGTCGAGCTAAACATGCGGTCAATTTCATTGATGCTTTCGGCTTCGGGTTCCTGCTTTTCCACTCGGCGACTCGGCTGCATTACCCCGCCACCAAACATAAATCCCGGCGCCACTTTGCGCTGGCTATCCAGTAGCCACTTAGTAAACTGTTGAGCCTCAGCACTCTGTTTCCCCAAACCAGCCACCTTCAGCTGGAGCAGATCAATGTGGGCTTGCCATCGCTCCAATTCCTGGGCGTCAACATTGATTTTCGGTGGTACCAGCTGCTGAAGATTAGGGAGGAGCTTGTGGTAGTTGTGGTTGAGGGTGACCGGTTTTGGGGGTTGGAACGCCGGGTTCTTGAGTAACGGGATCTGCTTAAGAAGCTCGTCCGCTAATAGTTAGCATCATTGCAATTTTGTTATATCCAGGTCGTGTAGTTGTCGCTGTATACTCACCTTTATCGGTGTCGTCCATGGTGGTGCGAGTGCGGTGAAAGCGCACTGATAACACTCTTGGATAAGAGAAAGTCGAAATTGAATGGATTGTACTCTATAATTATATATTGGAGAACATAACAGTATTGAGACTTGAAATTAGTTATCAAACGACGATAAGTCCAAAACATAACAAATCCAATTTCATACCCTTCATCATTAACATAATCTTTCCAATATACTTCTCATATCTCTCACACAGTCTGGATATTTACATCGCCTTACTATCATTACCTTCATTAATCTATAAAGCGCTAATTGTCCTTGTAATGACGCACCAAAATATACGCGTTCTCTTGTTTCAAGTTCAGCAACGACCGGTAGCCGCCCAGCAAACACATCAACAACCCACCGAAGGAAATGTACACCGACATCTTGTCGTCGCCCAGGTTCTCGTCGAACTTGTACACGGTGCCGTACATCACGTAGTCGTAGTCGTCGGCGAGCGAGCGCTCGTTGCCCTTGGGAGGTCTCCACGACCCGTTCAGCGTCATCGTCAGCAGCTCGTTGCCCAACAGCGACGCCAACGCAATGGTGAGCGAGTCGTTGGCCTTGACGGGGAACAACTCGCTGTTGATGTCCAACGTGATCTTGATGTCCTGCAGCGTCAGCAGCGACCCCGTGATTCTCGCAACCCGGGTGTAACGGCCGGGGTCGACGGTCTCGACGACGAACATGTCTTCAAAGAGGATCCCCGACATGGTTTGGTGGTGGTGGTGGTGGTGAAAAAGGGTGTGTGGGTGTGGTGAGGCGTTTGCGATGGGCGGTCTTGAAAAACTGCGACTCCAGCGTGTGCGGCTTTTCCGATGAGTTCCGGCATCGGTAATTTTACCGACAGTCGCTAGTGACGGCAGTGCCGTGAAACGCGAGCACTTTACGAGCGAAGCACGATGGTTTTGTGCGGTGACCCTTCTTGACAACGGCACCCTCGTGTTTCAGCCAGCCCCCCTCGCGCCAGCCAGCAACACGACCTGGTGGAACCAGCACCGGGGTTTCCGATTTAGTGATCCGTATTCCCTAGAGGTTAGATAGTGCCAGCGGATCGGCGAAGGCACCGATATTGTACCGGTTTTTCCCTCATCCCTGCAGGCTGTTTAAGCCAGCGCTACCCCTGCCAGCCCCTTTGACACGTCTGCCTCAGTTGCTTTCCGCCTACGCCTTTGGGATCACGTGTGTTTACCTTTGGCCATTTTTAGAAACATTATTCGCACAAAGAATTTTTCTACAGCAGCGTTTTTCTGGCATAGCCTTGTCAACCATTATTGCCAGGAGCTGGGATCGTGGCGAATACACCGTTTGAGTCGACAGCAGCAGCATTTTACTTGAAAAACAAACTCCACCTTGATTGATGTCCACCCGCACCGCCGACGAGAAGACCGAAGTGCAACCGCGTAAGCACCAGGTGCTGACGCTCAAAGTGGTGATCCTGCTCTGTCTCGGGGCGTTTTTGCTTGGGGGGTTTCTGGTGGTGTGTTTAAACACCAGGAACGTCAACATCAAGCTTCCCAAGTTGGGGGGTTGCCACGAACACAAGCTCGCCCCGGAAAGACTGTATTTCTACGACGACTACTTTGAGACCACCTACGCCGAGTATGCCACCGAGTTGTTGAAAAGAGACGATAACACCGACAAGACGGACGACAAAACTACCGATAAAAAGGACGATAAGACCACCGATAAAAAGGACGATAAGACCACCGACAAGAAGGATGACAAGACTACCGATAAAAAGGACGACAAAACCACGGATAAAAAGGACGACAAAACCACGGATAAAAAGGACGACAAAACTACCGATAAAAAGGATGACAAAACTACCGACAAGCCCACGGCTACCGACGAGAAAAAGGACGACAACACCGACAAGACCGACGCCACCGATTCGCCGAAAGGGGTGGTGACCAAGACCCGGCTGAAAGTCCAGATTACCGTCGTCAAGTCCAACCTGAGACCGTCCGACATGCCCAGCGAGTCTGAATCGTCATCGAAGGGCCCCACAAAGCCCTTGGACCAAGCCGGGGTGCAGTTTGCCTTGGCGCTTGCGGGGATCGTCATGCTCAACATGCTTGCGATTTGCATCCACCATGTGTACCATGTGGCCTCCGACACCAGTAAAAGTTACCGCAACGTCGAGCAAGACATCTCCCCCTTTTAATGATCAGGTTAATTTGACTTTGGGTTCCATTTTGGTTAAGGTTTTACAAGTAATTTCATTTCTCAATAGATCATCTTTGCAATTTGTCTTTACCCATCCTCGGGTGAAAATCGTATACGACGTAACTACACCCGTGCATATGCATCGAATACATTTAGACCAGCAGCTCATAGTAGCTGAAGGCGAGGGTTTTGTATTTGGCAAAAGCTGTTAATTGGAGATGGTCTCACGTTCTTTACTTATAATTCGTGGTCTGGTTTATGTAGATTGATGAACGAAGGCATTTAACTTCCGAACTTGATGAAGCTCGAATCCAGTTCGAGGTAATGTCGATATAGTAACAAACAATTCGTTAAATACTACCTTTATTGATCATCACCTGGGATAGCTACGGTGATTAGATGTGGCGCAATATCTTTGTCGTGCAATTTGCGATTGGACGATACGAGATGCCAAATTCCGAGAAAATGTCCATAATTCCACCAACAGAACTATCGTGTACTCACGTTAGTACTACTCTTGTTCTCTCTGGCCTTCTAATATACACCAAATTTCATTCAGTAACTTCACATTTTACGATAATTCGATCAACCTTAATGGTTACCGAACCCTAGTAGTTAACCTCTATTTTGGAAGACCTTGATGGTTATATTGACAGGAATATATATAGTGGGTAGCTCACGTCCAACTAGTTTTCATCAACCCTCTGAGAAGAACATGTTCCCTTGCCTAGCGGGTTAGCCCTCGAATTGAGTTGCTTTGTTTGGATGATTCCGATTTCAAAGACATCATTGGGGAAGTGACCCAAAGGCAAACGCTAGGGACTAACTAGGGGCCATTTCAATCAGAGGGTGCTGACGGAGGATGTGAGGGTGAGTTCTAGGTGGGAACTACATGGTCGAATTTCTGAAAAGTACGTTTATCTAGACCTGTCCAGATATACACACAACATGGGGGCTTTAGCACGGATGGATTACTTGTAGGTGTCCAACACGTATCTACCAACAATCTCACCCTTTTCCATCTTCTTGTAAATTTCAGGCAATTCCGACAACCCGGCGATGTGGATGGGGTAGTCGATGAGGCCACGGGCGAAGAAGTCGATGGCTTCGGCGGAGTCGGCTCTGTTACCGACGTACGAACCGACGATTTCCACCGACTTGACGACGGTGTCCAACACGTTGGCGGTGACCTTGGCGTTGGGGGGTAACCCGACGAGGACGACGGTACCCTTCTTGCGGACGTAGTCCAACGATTGTTGCATGGCTTGTTCGGAAACCGACACGTTGATCACACCGTGGGGGCCACCACCGGTGATGTCCTTGACGGCCGCAGAGACGTCCTTGGTCTTGGTGAAGTCGACAAAGGCTTCGGCGCCGAGCTTGCGGGCGGCTTGTTCCTTTTCGGCACCCCCGTCGATACCGACGACCCGGAGACCCATGGCCTTGGCGTATTGCACGGCAAGCGAACCGAGACCACCACCGGCACCGGAAATGGCGACCCATTGGCCGGGCTTCAAGCCGGCGGTCTTAAGCGCCTTGTACACGGTGATACCGGCACACAAGATGGGGGCGACCTTGAACAAGTCGACGTCCTTAGGGATTCTCGCCGCTTGCACGGCGTCAGCGGTGGCGTATTGCTGGAACGAACCGTCGTGGGTGTAACCAGACAAGTCGGCGTGGTCACAGTTGGACTCGTTACCGTTTTCACAGTATTCACACGAGAGACACAGCCCGTTCAACCACTTGATCCCGGCGTAGTCGCCGATCTCCCACCCCTTGACGTTTTCACCCATGGCAACAACGACACCAGCCCCTTCGTGACCACCGACAAGCGACCCGGTGGTGGCAATCTTGGTGTCGATGGGCCAGTCACCCAACCACGCGTGCAAGTCAGTGTGGCACACCCCCGAGGCCTTGACGTTGATCAACAATTCGTTAGGCTTGGGCTTAGGCACGGGGATGTCCTTGTATTCCAAAGGGCCGCCGTGTTCGGTGAAGATGATCGCCTTTTGGGTCTTAGGGATCTCGGGGGCGGTGGCCAACATTCTGTAGCGCAGAGCCAAGGGACGGTAGGTCAGAGTGGCGACTCTGGCGCGAGCCATGTTTCTGATGGAGTTGGAAAGCATTGTAGAAAAGAGGGATGGATTGCTTGTGGCGATCACCGTGGCATTGAGTCGCTTTTATAGTTTTTTTTTCCTTTTACTGCTGGGGTAAGAAGTGTTTCGACATCGCGACCCGAGATGTGTGGGGTAAATGCTAATCGCCGACACTCCACCACGAGCCAGGGGCCAAGAATTCGCAAGAGGCAGTGAACCAGTAAATCAAATTTAAAAGTTTTCTGGGGTAGCCGGGCCATTGAGTCACCCTAGTAGTTTAGTTTACTCGCCATGTCTATCATCATTGCGTACTCTTTTTCTTTTCGATTGCTAGCGTTTCTCAAAGATAGAGTTAGCTCACGAAACAAGGCCGCGACCACACTATAATCGGTTTCATGCAGGAGAATGTGGGACATACAGAGCGATCACGACCGCCCTGCGAAAGTAGCGCCATTTGCTCGCAGGCCAACGGCGCACAAACTGTCACCACACTCATGCAGACACTGATCGGGTGATTTCTATTAAGTGATACTGTTCGGGATATTGTCCACCAATCGCTTACCCAACCTTGTTTAGCCAGAGTGATATGCTTAGATGTATGTGTTATCTCGAGCACAGGCATTTCTATGCATATTGCTTAATGCCCTCGGTGTTTGGCACCCCACCAGGCCTATTGCCAACACCGTAAGCTCCGGGGAGTGCGTGAACATTAGAGTATGGGTCATTGTACCAGAACAATAACAATCACGATGGAATTTAAGGGGCACCGCGGGGGTTCCCTCACTGTACCATTCATTAAACAAAGATTTACATAGATCCGATCGTTGTTAGTATTGGTGCTATTCGTGAAAAGGCTTCAAATGCTGGGGGACCCGCCTTAGTGGGAGGCATAGGTACGAATGCGATGCTCCATTGTCTCGGGTGCACATACTGCTACCCAGAGCGGGGAGTTCGGGGATAGTTTATAACGTCTACTACCGAGATGTCGCCGCTCCGGAATTGCGGATGTCACACAGCCCAGCATAAACTCCGAACGAAGGTGGCGCATACAGATCATTGGTCCACTAATCACCTATCCGTCGAGGGGTTAGGGAGGGGACACTTGTGCCACTTTGCTTACATCCGAGCAGCGACATCTACTTACCCTTACCCCAGCTTCTCGGATTTGCCCGCATATCCGCACTCTGGTGAATCTCTCACCGCTGCTCCAACCAACCATAAAATTAGAATTCTAAATAGATAAGAAGTGGCATTTTTACGTTGTTACTCAAAATTTGACTATCACCTGATGGTACGGACAGTAATACTTAAAAATGTACGACTGAATTTACCTTCTTCTAACAAGGCGAGGCCAGGGCGTGTAAAGCAGTGCGCTCGGCGTTAACATCGCACTAAATTCCATTTGTCACGTTGCAAAGCTAGGGTCTAGGTGCCGCGCACACGGGGCAAGTGACCACGTAGAATTAAACTTTGGCGAACAAAGAGAGATCGGTACGTGACTCGTTTTTCCAAATATTTCCTCTTTTGTACTATATTTTGGATACAGAGCAATCCCTCTCGCCAAAAAGGTGACTCCATTGTGCGGGTCTTCAGTATTTGTACTCCCTCTTGATTACATCAAAAAAAAAAAAAAACACCAGTTATTAAGCGAATTATGCCCTGATGTTTGGTTTGGATGTCTAATCGAGTTAATTTTGTGTTTGTTGATAAACATTATCCAATAGTATTGACAATCTGCCATTGCGTAAGATTTAAATAAGTCTACTCCGTTTGAGAACGAGAAGCTTATTCGCAGAGACCATCGAATCTTGAGTCAACACCTAAACTCATTTGAGAAATCTTAATATGCAGTCATATATTGTGAGTTGTGATGTAAATAAAGCATGTTTACTTTTTATCACACAAGTCCGGTTGGGCACGTGGACACAGTTCTTATCTCTTTCATCATTCATATTAATTATCAGCGGATACTATATCTATAACCTCATATTTATACAAGTAGGAAGAAATCTCGAAGAATGTTAAATGGAGGGGGTGAAAACCTTGTGAAGGCTTCGCATCAATTGGGTAACGAAACTAACAGAATACTATTATGAGGGGAGGCTTTGTGTGAGTGGCCACGAACTCAGTACTGGAAGTTGAACAAGTTGCTCATCTCGTCGAGACCACTGGCTTCGCCCATCCCCAGCTGGAGGTTCATGTTGAGGAACTGTTGGTCAACAAAGTTCGGCATAGACAGCCCTGCGGGGGTTTGCGACTGGATCGCCTCACCGCCAGTTCCACCAAGGTACACATTGCTGCCAATGACGTTGGCATCGCCTTGGTCTTCCATAGCCGCTGGCAGATGGTCGGCAGTCAGCGGCATCAGCACCCGAATATCGGGGAACAATTGTGTGGGCTCGAAATTCTCGAAGAAGTTGGGGTTGCTCGGCACCGTCTCTGTCACCAACGAAATGTCGGGGAACAGGTGCGTCAGCAGCGTCGGCAGCTTGCGTTGCGGGCCGCTGGGATCCAGTTCCAGCCCGCCCACTTGTGGTTTGATTTGTTGTACCAACGAGGCAAAGTCTTCATCGGGCTTGGGCTCGTCGTACACCAGTGTGCGGTACGGGTTTTGGTGGGCAGGATCAGGAGTCATCAGCGTCGGCAGCACCAGTTGAGGGCCAAGTTGGGGCCCATTGTCTTCTTCCTCGTAATTGCCACCTTTACGTTCAGCCAGGATCTCGGCGCTCACGTTGTGGTCAATAAGCTTCTTCCGCTTAAATTTATCATCCGCATACTTGTCGAACAAGTTCATAAGCACCCGGGCGATCGGCCAGTACTTGGCCAACTCACGGAGCACTGCTCGCAGAACGTAAAGCAGGTCCAGCGCCGTCAGCGCGATCACTTGGTTGGTCAGGTCGACGTGGTAGATGAGCATCATCAACGCCGAAAACGCAATATATATATACATCACCGGCACGTACCGGATCTGGTCCAGGTCAAGCAAGATTTTCAGCACGATCAGAATCATCCGCGCCGCCTGGAACAGAATCCCCCACAGAGGATACTTGTAGTTATTCGGGTTCGACAGCAGCATCTGCGCCATGCGGACAAGGTTCAGCCGGTGGATCAAAAACAACCGGTTGTAGTATTGAGCGTTGAGCAAACAGCACCAGAACAGCTGCGACTCCGGGTCATTCAAATTGAATACAAGCTGTTTCGGCAAGTTGGTGAACCAAATCCCCATCAACATATCGCAATGTTGGATGATGCTGAACTTATTTTTGCGTTTAAGTTGGGCCAGCTTCACCAGGTATTGGTGTTTGATGATGATCCCGGTAATCTCGGCAAGCTTCACCAAGTGGATAAAGTAAAGTGCTTGCGTCTCATTCACCGGGTACGGCAGCGTGTAGTCATCTTCATCTTCGTTAAAGTCTTCAAGGGTGAGCATGGGAACATCACAATCATTCAAGTCGATCACCAGTGGTCGGCCAAAAGCGATGGCAACGTTGCGGTCTTTTTCAAAAAGGCACCACCAGATGCGTCGCCAGATCTTCTTCTCCGAGGCGGTCAACCGGTCGTTATTGGACACATCGCGGTGGAAGCCAAACCCTTGAGCTAAGCCGACGGCGACTCTCGTCCAGTAGTATGAGTTCTTGGTGACGTCTTCGGGGCCTTCCCAGTACAGACCAATGAGAATAAGCGTCTGCACAATCAGCACCGGGTCCGACTCGTAACTGGTCTCGTATAACGCCTTCGCCCGCCGGAAAAGCGTAAGCAGCACTAAGTCGTTCAGCCCCTTAGAGTCCAACACCGCCGGGTTCTTCAGCACCCGGCACCCAAGCAAAAGCACCGCTTGCATAAGCATAAGCAGTGGCAGGTCATCGGGGTCGTTAAACCGCCGCATAAAGTCGGTACGATTAATCACCGGCATAAGCGGATGGACGTGTTCAAAGTACAGGTTGATCAAGTCGGCAGCGAGTTCCCGCAGCGGCAAGAGGAATGCCCCACGCAATTTGAGGATCTCGAGCTCGACCGAGTCCAAATTAGTCGCCAGGCCCACCGACTTTAAGAGGACGTCGTCGGTTAAAGTAACGTGGTTTTCGCCTGGCTGGCGTGCCACCAGCCCGACACTGGTGGCGCCCAAGAAGGTGAGGGCGGTCTTGCCCCGGTAGCTGTTGCTGCTGTAATGGGGCTCTTCGTCGTCGTCGTCCTCGCGCTTGCGCTTGCCGTGGGTGACTTCGTGGTGGTAGTCCAGCAGAAGCAGGGGCGGCACCAGCACCTGGGAGATGTTGAGGATTGCGTCGTTGTTCACCGCCAGATGGTCCAAGAGGGGCAGGCTGTACTTGTGTGACGGCAGCGGCACCAGCGGCGTCGCCGGCGCCGGGGTGGTCGTGCGCTCGACCTCCTTGCGCTTGGAGTGGCCCCGGCGCTTGGCTTCAGGGAGGACACACTCACAGCCAAAAGTGATACAATTGGTACACGGAATGTGCATTTCGGCGTCACAACGAACCTTACGGGACCGGCACACCGCGCACGCCCGCAGCCCGCGCGGCCGCTTGTACTTGATGGTGAACGCCTTGGCTCTCTTGGGCGCGTCGCCGTCCTCAGTCTTCACGCCAGCGGCCATGGTGTCTGTCGGGGGGGTTATCTTGGGGAGGGCCGTTGTAGACGTGGACGTGCGACTCGACCTTAAAGTGGGGTTTTTTCCCTCTGGGTGCGACTCCGCGGTAACCTTGTGCACGCGCACGCACCCAGCGGGAGAGAGGGGGGCGCCACTGTGTGAGTCTAATTCCCATTTCTGCGTCTCGACCACGTCAGCACGATGACGACGGGCACCTGTCAACGGCGGGTGGCGTGGCCACACCACAACAATAGGTGGGGATAGGGCCGTTTAGAGTTTGGGCGGTAACCGTTTACCCGATGGAGGCATATATCTGGTCTCACATACCTGGGGAAACAACAATAGCCCGGGATTGGTTACGTTCCACTGAGCGCATAAAACCGACAACCCCAGCGTGTCGGTCGACATCGATCCCATATCGCGACAATAGGGGCTAAAATTAATAAAGGAAATAACAGACAGAGAGGGACCGCTGGTTAAGAGCGACAATACGACAAACCAGGCAAGGAAGAAGGATATATCGGGTGGTGGCGAAGGTCATGTGACATTCATTTTCTCATAGTTTTTGGTTTTTCTTTATTTAATTTAGTGAAGAATTAGGCAGTGGAAAGGAGGTGGGGCAGAAACAACAGAGCTATTGTTTATACTTGATATATCGGCCTTGGCAATAGGTGGGGCCTAGCGCTTCGCAAACTGGTTTGAAAAAAAACTATGTGCAGGTAGAAACCCCCCTGGGGTGGTGAACGCGACGCTTTGGGAGTCAGACGTGTGACTCACCCACAACATAGGCATTTGTCACCAACTCTGGTAATCTAATGACAATTATGCTATTGTGGAGGAAAACTCTTGCTTGTCGATAACCCTTGCCACATCTGCGGGTGTCATCGATGGCGGCCTAGCATAATATTTGCGGACCCACATTCCGATCAACCCAGGATCCAGTCCTGGAGTGGCAAAACGCCACAAAAATAGCCGTTACACCGTTGCTGCCCCAAACGTATATCTATATCGTATTGGACCACCTACCAAAACTGGCAATGCTATCGCAATCCTCGAATGTTTAGCCTTTCACCCGGAGGGTAACGGCAACTAAGAGCGAGCACTTATTTTCTCTCGCATAGTTTTGTGCCTCAAATGAGGCGATGGTCGAACCCGACGCTAGACTGCGGTTGTCAGCTAGTGTTTTCGAAGTTGTTTATAAGCACTATTGTTGTCATTATTCCCTCGTCACCCAAAGGGTAACTACATACGACATGCAGCCAACCTACGCATCGCTACTAACTGAAAGCTAACGCTGATAACAATTCCCCAAATTCACAAGAAAGCAAGTTGTTCAGACGTGGGTTTGGTAAAGATGGCCAACCAAAACAGCCAGCAATTTTTTTGCAGCAGCGAGGACAAATCGAGAGGCCACCACCGGGGCTCATCCTGAGTGGTTTTCCTGCTTAGGTTTTCGCATCGCCCATAACCCCTGCGATGCCCCCTCAAAAATGCGATGACCCTGCAGAACAATTGCAGGGGTGCCCGCGACTAGATGCCGACTTCTTTTATCCGTCGAAGTCACGCTTTGTCGGCGACCACGGCTCCATGTCGGCCAAAATCCCAACGGACCCTGTTGACGTCATACGACGGAAACACGAGTCTTACTGGCCTTTATTGCATTTTGGCGGTTAAGAGAACTTCGGAACTTTTGTCGCTAAGCTTAAAGATAAATTTTCGTTTAATTAAGTTTAAAGGAGCGTATCCATTGTGAAAATATGCCCCAAAACCCCACCCGTGGTCAAGTGGCGCTGAGGACAATGCTGTCAATGAGATGATATTTTACTGAACCCAGGATGAATTCTGGGAGGGATTGTCACTGTCTATGGTTTGTCCCCCTCGCGAGACTTGTGTCCCAGAGGAGACGGATACAGGGGGAATTGAGGCAGCAGCACCACTCTCAGGTCCAGTGGGGTGAGGTAGGGCGTTGGTTGAGGCGGCGTCGATTGCACCACTTGTCCGTAATAATACGGATGAGGTGGGAAATACGCCACCGGAGGCGGCATCGCGTAGCTTTGGGTCAGCAGCAGTTGTTGCGGCGGCGGCATCGAATAGCTCTGGGCCAGCAGCTGCTGGGTAGCCCCGTACTGCTGTGGTTGTGCTTGAAACGGTTGCTGCAATTGAGTCTGCGCCTGAGGCGGCGGCAGTACTTTCCCCTGGGGCATGGACGGATTGCTTGTAGCATACTGCTGCTGCTGGTGTTGATGCTGATGCTGCTGAGTAGCATATGGTTGGGAACCATAAGATTGTTGAGAGTATCCTGGCAGTTGCATGTTCAGAGGCAGTCCGTAAGAGTGCATTTGTTGCGGGGTAATTTTTACCTGGCCGTAGTGATGGCTTTGATACGGCAGCGGTTGTTGCAGCAGCAGTGCCTGTTGGCCCATGGGGCTTAATCGCGGCATCGACGCCATCGCCGACATTGACGAAGCTTGAGTCGGGATAGTTGGAGCTGCGTAGGGGTAGTACTGTGGCATCAGCGTGTAAGGGTTACTGTAGTAGCCTCCTTGACCTGGTGGCCACTGCATTGGCGGCGTCGGCGGTGTGGGCGCAATCATTCTTTGCTTCTTTTTACGACTTTTTGGCTCGACAAACTTACAAGTGGACCCCAGTGGCGCACAGTTCAGACACGGGATCCGCTCCTGGGCGTCGCACCTGATCTTTCGTATCCGACATGAGATGCACGCGCGAGTGCTCCGCAGCTTTTTGACCTTTTGCGGCTTGTCCCCCATCTGTGGTGTGGTGGGCGGTGGGGCAATCAAGTCGAGCATCCCTCAAGGGAAGGTGAAGTTGGGGGAAATGGGGAAATAGGGTGGTGAAAAGGGTTTCGGAAGCGATGGAAAAGATCACCAACAAGCAACCGGGGTATGTAGTTGAAAACTGGGGAGGTGGGAAGGAGGGAAGGGCAGCCACAAGGTCTCAGCGACAACGGCGGAAGCGAAGGCTCGAGGGTACGGGGGGAGGGGAGGAGGAGGTCAACCAACGACAGCCGCGGCAACGGGGAGCTTTGCAACTTAAAAGGTTCTTTTCGTCAAAGGGGCGTTAACGGCGGCACATCTGGTGCTTATAAATGCCACCGCCGATCATGGTGACCTCCCCTGTCGCCCTGCCTTCGGTTGCGCGTGATAATATCTTCCGCCCGCCAGATAATATCTGCCTGACGCCGACGCACACCCCAATTTATTTTGCGCTGGCGAGGCGGCGAGTTACTCCGGTGCCGAGTCGCCCAGGCTAACGGGGCTTTCCCGAGGGGGAGGGCCCCGGGCCCCCCACCCAGGCCGAGAAGCACCTGCTCCAGCGCCCCAGCCGATGCCGCCAGCAGCGTGTCCGTGACCCCCACAACCTTTATACGGTGCGGAGTGAGGTAAACCAAACAGGTCATACGAGGTACCACGGTTTATGTCTGAACGTCCCACTAGACGTTCGTAGCGACCGTTGGTTCCTGGCTAATTCAGGCCACCTGTGGCATCGAGTATTTGGAGGTTATAGGTTATAGCCGCAGGTGCCAGCGCAGGTACTGACTATGGGCTGGATGCCGCCCCATCGGGGACACATACGACCCTAAGCGCAGCCGCCTCGGGCCTGCGGGTAACCCGTATTTAGGCCAGCGGGTCATTTACGTCAGCCGATAGCGTCACTCATTAGACGATTATCATAACACCACCCACCCAGCTGCCAGAAGCTTATTATCAGTCATGGGGCTTCGCCAGCAGAATCAGAGAAAACGAGATACCTGTGAAGATAACCCTAGCTCTGGTGTCGCTCTGGTGTAGCCTATCGCCCCGAGTCTGACACGGTCGTCTATTTCCGAGGCTTCGTCTATTCGTTTAGTAAGGGAATTGACGTAGGTGTCGTCCTCGGTAACCACAGCAGAAGGGCACTTTGTGAAGACAACCACCTTCCGAATCTCCGATGGACCATCGTGCCTGATTTTCTCGGGCCTTACTCTACCTAATCTGCCAAAATGGATTACTGTGGAGGTGCTGGTTAGAAGCGCAAACGGAGCAATCGTTGACGGTTAAGGTTGGTGCATTGGAAACTGCCGCGGGTAAATTATTTCTGTTGACGACCAGGCTCGATGGTGCCTGTCATTGTCACAGACGACTATGGTGGCTCGCGGCTGGTTTTGGCTACGACCATGACGGGTTAGGGATCGCCTCGTCTTCGTCTTCTCTTCCCAATCCTCTCTCTCACAAGATGTAAAACTTTTCGTGGTTGTACCAGATTGGCCCATAAAGTGGGGTCATGCTTCGACTCCAAATTAAGTCGATGTCGGCCCCGGTTTGGCCGAACTAGGTTTGAGAGAAAGGAAAACCCTTGAAGCTAGGTACTATCTGCCTTGATACTGGCCGGCATGATAGATATGGAACCCTGCTAACGATCTGTACCGGTGAACCTAAGTTGATTTTGTTTCGTAGTAGACATTATCGCTGTCATCGAACTGATCGGTTAGTTTCGATTTAGCTACATCGTGTAGCTTAGGCAAAGAAGATTTACTAATTGCTGCCCAGGGGGTCGGCTCGGCGGTTATCGATGACTAAATGAGAGTACTGGACAACTTGATGACAAAAAGTACTGAAGAAACACACACTACAAGAACTATGACCAGAATTACTTCAATCTGATGTAAGGTTTCCGTTTACATTCTGCAAACAAGAGTTGGCTCAACTTAGGTTTGAAAAATCACCACCACGTGTCTTCGATATGGCGATCAATCAAGCCAAAGAACAAAGAGGATGACAGCCAATGCTGTTTGTTGGATACATCCATCGACAATCGATGTTTTCTCGTAGTCAGAGATAGATTCGTCATTCCAACAATGACCCAAGTAACTCACAGTATGACCGACCCATTGACCATTCATTCAGCTTCATAACCTGCCTTTCAGTACCGTTAACACTTTCATCAACACCGAAAAATCTCATCTGTCTTGACACACGTCATTCATTATTCGTTTAGGGACCAATTCACGCGTTGTCATCCATCACTCTATCAACCATCTCGCGATCACTGGATATCGCGCGATTGCTATGGGCCACCTCAACGATGCCCTCACTCTAGCCGCGTCAGTGACGTGTGCCTACCTTGCCTATGCCCTCTATTGGGACAAAAAGCCCCAACTAGCGAAGCTTCCCCCTCCTGCTGCTGACGTCGCCGACCTTATCGGCAACACCGAGGTGGTGGAAATCAAGTCACTTTCCCGCTACACCAAGTGTCGGATATACGCCAAACTTGAACTCAATAACCCTGGTGGCAGTGCTAAAGATAGAGTGGCGCTTGCTATTATCAGAGCTCACGAACAAACGGGTCAATTAGCTCCTAATCGTGGCGATGTCATCTTCGAAGGTACCCTGGGGTCTACCGGAATTTCCATCGCCATGCTTGCTAATGCTTTAGGATACAAAGCTCACATTTGCTTGCCCAATGATACTCTGCCCCAGAAGATCGCTTTACTCGAAAGTTATGGCGCTGAAGTGGAACCGGTGCCGCCAGCACTGATTGTTGACCCTAACCAGTATACTAATGCTGCTGCCGCTGCTGCCAAAGCAATTAATAACAATCCCGATGATCCTCGGCGGGCAATCTTTGCCGACCAGTTTGAATCCGATTATAACTGGCGGGTCCATTATGCCACTACCGGCCCGGAAATCGCATTACAGGTGCCGCTGGTGGACGTATTTGTGCTGGGACTGGGTACCGGGGGTACTATTGCTGGTGTAGGACGCTACCTTAAGCACCACCATAACCCTCGTACCACTGTAGTCCTCGCTGACCCTCAAGGTTCAGGTCTTGCCAATCGCGTCAATTATGGCGTCATGTACGACACTGTCGAACGCGAAGGCACTCGTCGCCGTCACCAAGTGGACACTGTGGTGGAAGGCATTGGTTTGAACCGGCTCACCCACAACTTTAGCCTTGCCGAACCGATCATTGACGACGCGGTGCGGGTTAAAGACGAAGCGGCAGTGGCGATGGCGAAGTGGTTATGCACTAACGATGGCTTCTTTTGGGGTCTGCTGAGTTGCGTCAACGCCGTCGCCGCCGTGGAAACCGCGTTGCGTTTGGGACCGGGCCACACCATCGTCACCATCGCCTGCGACCTGGGGTCTCGCCACTTGTCGAAGTTCTATCGCGATGCCGCCAAGGCCAACCCCACTCTGGTTGCCGACATCCTCGACCTCAACAAATAACCGCATACCCAGCCGTATACGATCGTCATCATCATACCTACATATACAATCATTACATATACATAAAGTTATAGTCCCGAAATGATCGTAACCAGTCGTAAATGGAAATTGAGAAAGTGTTGTCAGGCGGTGGCCAGGGGGTGATGCTCCCCAGAGACGGTGTCCCATTACCCAATTTGGTTGTCGTCCGCCTCTTTGACGATCCCGCCTCAGGAACGGCGTCTGAGACACCCCCGCCTCGAATAGCTGTACCAAAGTGAATCCAGCCGTCGTTACTAGTGTTTTGGGGCTTTAATCCCTCGAACATGCTTTAGCGACGTTGGCTGGTGCCGTTTGCGGGGAGAATGGCGGCCACCCAAACTCTATTGTTCCTTGCTAGGAGTCGCCTGTACCTGCACTGAGGTCAGGGCCCAAGGCGGTGGGCGACATTGCTCGGTCCAGGCACGTCGCCACCAGTTGACGATGGACGTCGTTTGTGTCGTGATCGTCGCCCGTTTACCAGGGGCACCCCAGGGGTGTATATCAGTTGGTGATTTACTAGTCGCAAGTTGATAACTGGCAAGAAATAATATTCAAGAGTAGCTAGTATCCAGAAAAACAAAGCACGCGGGACGATGCGCGTGTTTTGCTACGCGAATAATTCGGGGAAGTTGATGTCAGCCGCCATCCATCATCGTAAACGTCATGTCAAATACAGTGTGCCTGAGGCGATGGGCACTTTTAGTCAGGCATGACAGTAGACATCCACTCCCATCACACCAGTCCATCGCACTTGGGCATGGGCTCTGTTTTAGTATTTCATACTTAGTCATAATAGCTCGCTACTCCTTCCTATTTATCGAAGGTAACCTAGCATCTCATCTAAGCCGCTAATTATCGGGAGGTCGCGGCACACCAATTAGCCGAAAACGAGCAGCAAAGCTCAATTGACAATGGGATATCAGCGTCGGACACCCCAAAAAAATTTTAATAGCTACCACGCAATGCATTTTCCTGCTAACAGTATCATCAGTGCTCAATTTGGAGAGTCGCCACCGAGCATTCCTTGATGAAATTCTTATTAATCCTCCACTAAATATTTCCAACTGGTAGATATAAAGAACCGGTCGGAGTTGGTCCCAATCCGGGTGACTACTTCATCTGTGATGATCGCGGGGGAGGGTCTCAAAGCGCAACAATGCCCTTTTTGCCGACGGTAATCCGTTGCCAATGCCTTACAATCTGCTCGTGGCTGAAAGCAGACTATGCAGAACCTAAATTCTACTCACCATACTAAATTTGGCGTATACGATATTGATTTAGGAAACTGCGTCACTGCAGTTATGGGCCCCTGCCTGACACTGCTAAAAAATAGAAAATTACAGCGCACCAGTGGAAAAATATTGTGCCGGCCCCAGGAATCGAACCTGGGTTTGTTCGGGGTTGTGTCGCCACAACGAACCGTACTAACCACTATACTAGACCGGCTGATATTTTTTTGATAGCTAACATGTACTAGAAGTGTGAGGATTTCAATTGTATTTTGGTCGCCAAAAGTACCTATAATGCTATTAAATCACTTTCCATCACTTGGAATAAAGTTTCCAAGAGCTTCAGTATTGAGCCGCATCGATGGGTGGGCGCGGTGACTGGTTTTGGAAGTGGAGCCAGCCCACATCACGTGACGTGGCTGGCTGGTAACTGAGCGCTACTAGGATTTTTCTTACCCGCGCCTTCAGAGCTCCTTACGATGGGCTGGTCAAGTCGATAAACTGGGAAAGAGAACCCGCAGTTGGATTTCCCTCATAGCAAAGTCAACTGGCAACCATCTAACTTAAGGTTCCCTAAACTAAAACTTGACTACACTTAGCATTCCGTAGTCTTTACTAACTCCAACTAGTTTGACTATCCAAAGATCGACGCCGTTGACATTAAATGCTTCAACCGCTACCAAGGCCAATCGATTTACGTGGATCACCCCCAGATCACTTGCGCGAGCATGCATGAAATCAAATCAGTTTTCTCCCCCTTGATTTCTACCTGATCTAGCCTAAAGCAAGCCACGACTTAGCCCCTTCGTTTCTCCATCGTTACCATAACCATGGCCAAACGGATTGATATTCCCATTATCAAATTACTCGAGTAGCACTTTTGTATTGTATTGCAATCAAATCAATAAGTCTTCATTTGTGATTTACTCAAACCAACCTCTTCATCTTCACATAAGGTTACTCTAATCTTCAATCATCGGATCAGGATGGGATCAAGAGGCGTTCTGCAAGGCTGACTGCCTCAGTGCAGATCAGCATCAGAAATGTGTGGGCGCATGAAGCAGCGCGAAAAGAGCTATAGAGCTGCTACCAAAACTACGAAAATGAATGGAATACCAGGTGAACTGGATGGTTAAATTCATCAGAATGAGTGCTGTGTTAATCAATTCTCCACTAGTGACTATTTCATGCCAGTTTGCCGTCGTTAGACTTAATTTTCGACTCATGGTACCAGTTGGCAACAGGTTCATGCGAAGTCCACCACGGGCCCTAAGAGGACAAATTCCAGCCATCTCATGAAAAAGGGATGGGGGAAGATATAAGAAGCGGACCCCGGTAGCTTTTGCACCACCTCCCCCCCTATACTCCGATGAAGTTTTCCCAATATCTTGTGCCTCTTCTCAATGCCTTTTACGATGGCTACCCTCAAAAGCGTGAAGCTGATGGCAGATCTACCGTCTACCAGACGTTAGAGCCGATCACTACTACTATCAAGGGTGTTACTAAGACAGTTCAATTCACTCTGACCCATGTGCTTGACTCCACTCCTACTGCTGCTGCTCCTGAACCTGCTACCATCACCGTGTTCACCCCTCCTGCTGCCGCTACTGACAACAACGATAACAACAACGCTGGCGATAACAATAACAACAACAACAACAACAACTCTGGTGACTTCGGTGTGCAAGTAGACAACAGTGGCGACTCACCCTTGCAAGGCCAAAACATCAAGAAGGTTGACGCCCACCCTCAAGTGTTTCTGGTTGGTGGCAACGATGGTTCCGACTTGAGATTGAAGCTCAATGGTGATGGTTCTTTAGTCGACCAAGTTGGTCGTGGTGTGTTCATTGGTACTAATGGTGATTTCGGTAACGTGTCGCCTTGGGGTAGTGTCCCTGGTACCACCGGTTTCTCGATCCAAGACGGTAAGTTAGCCTACCAAAACAATAAGGACTTTTACGCTTGTCCCTCTGGCGAAAACCAATATTCGCTCGCCGTTAGCGGCTGGAATGGTTGCACTACCATCCAATTGAAGGTGTTCTAATGACTGCAACCTTCTTTTGATATTTTCGTGCCAAATTAGCTTTTTTATGAGGAAAGACTCTAGTGGATAGACAACATTCATGGTGTTGATTCGAGCGCGGATGACCTCCTCAGTTATGACTATAATGATAGAATAATGATAGATGTATTTTAAATAAACAATTGTAAGAGCTTGTTTGGAGTCGGGTATTGGTATCACTAAAATTACTGAGGTAGTGCATCCACATTCTGGGTCAGTTGAAGCCTCTGCCCGTAATTCGCAAAAGTTCTACAAATTTTCAGAATTTGTGAATTTAGATCACGAAGAAATACGCGGATTGCCATTCATTTGAAAACGTCAAGACATCATGCTTCTGGATGGAAGGTTGAGCTCGCAGATGTAGTAGTAGCAGCTGTCTAATAGGAAAAACATGTTACTGTCGCAAGCTGCCGCTAGTCATACTTTTCTATGAACTTGAACAGTCATCATGAAATGAAATGAGGTCCACCCGAATCTGAGAGAATTGACTCTCTGAAGTTAGCGCAAATCACCACTAAAATTAGCCTAACGACCGACACTAACTATCATGGTGCATATGAAATTTATGGCAACATATACCTGAGCACAACGAGCCGATTAATGAGAGAGGCACGTGATACACTCTACCGGTTGACGGGAATAAAGATGATTCCAAGGACCTGTCTTTGTCCATTCCACCACCTCCATGCTAGATGCATTAGAAGTGCAACACTACAAAGTACGTGAATAATTTTGGTTTGTTATCTCCCCTGCGGGGAAACCTAACTTTTATTATTACGTACGTCTATGTAGTATATTATACCCACCGATTGCCAGATAGGAATTTCAATTGAGGCGATTTCCCCCGATCGAGTCCTTGAGCTCAAAGCCAGCTTAACATCTGTGCGATAGCATGGCTATATCCGATCGTAAGAAGTTAGTAAGAAGGGGTGTTTCGTTCAACACGTCACCTTCAAGGGGTGTTTTTCCAACAAGTCATCCCGGAGGGGCGTTGTTCCGTGAAGTTGAGTTCTTCTTTCAGGGACGCTGCAGTCAGGAGTCGAGTAAGTCAAAGTTAGTAGCCCTTATTAAAGTCAGTTGTCTTCATCGATGGATAAAATGTGTGTGATTGTGTCAGGCATCAGTGGTAGTTTGGTGGAGGTGGTGTGGATGATAACCGTATACCAGCGAGATGCGAGTATTTATATCCAGAGGGACAAGCAGCCCTGCTCACCAGTCGACGGAGAGACTAGGGGGCTGTTATCCTTAACAATGGTTCCTGAACATAAGCTGAGGCAGAGTCAATCGGAAAACGCTCCCCGCTTTCGCCATCGTCGCCCTGAGTCAGCTCACCACTCTGATGGCCATGCGTTTGTGGCGATCTCGAAAACAACGATCGACGATCCTCTATGCAGCTAGCCATAACCACCCCAAAGAGATTTTGACGTATTTTCCCTTTATGGTTTTTGCCTCAGAACCTGTATAAGTACCATGACATAGTGTAGGGGGCGGGGTTAGAATGTTCATAGAGAAATCCCGCAACGCCCATTGTCGTCAACACAATGCTGGCTGTTTTTCCGTTTTGGTGAGGGCTTGAACCACTCGTCGCACGCCTTACCGTCGGAATGACAACCATTGAGGCGCTCTTCTTGCAGGTGCTCTTCACGATGGGGTCACGGCCCCACGAACAATGACTCCGTAAATTAGTTTGATGGATGATGTGCAGAGCCAATCAACCAGTCAGCAACCAATTGAGGCAGGCTTTCAGAGCCCATTTCATTTCGCTCATCCTTTGTCGAGGGTGACGAGATATGAATTTGATGCGAGTCGATCGTCTAACGAAAATAGTAAACAAAGAGCGCGCCTGGCACGGCTGATGCGCACTCGTAGTTCAGGTTGGAAGACGTTGGCGAATATTCCTACGATATGGCTCACTAATGCGTTAGTCATTGACTACAAAACAAGAGATTCCAAAGACAGCCTTTATTTAGCAAAAAGGTATCGGGTGAGCAAACAAGAAGCAGCCCATTTGAGACTAATCCTCGCCCCTTTTCATCACACTACAACTCTCATAATATTCATATCTTCATCCATTCGGTAGTCACTATAAACTATAAATCAGTTTCTGCTGAGCTATTAGTGGCAGCACAGCTTGCAACCGCAGTCACATTTAGCTCCACCACATTGTTGGCAGGAGCAGGCAGCAGCACAGCCAGCATTAGATTTGCAGCCATCAGCACAGTTTGACGAGCAGTGGCACGCCAGAGCACAATTGTTGGTGCACGAGGCGTCGCAAGCAAAGTTGATCATTTCGGTTCTTATAATTGTAGTTGTCATTGTGATTTCATCTTTTCGGCATTAGGTTGTGGCCTATTTATATTAGTTGAGATGTTTCTGCCGTTTGCGTGGTTTGTGCCCCACTGCATGTGGGTCACGGCTGAGGTGTATTCGCCTCTCAAAGTCGTAAACCCACATATATTGGCATCGAAGATTATCGAATTCATCTGTGGGGTTCCTTCCTCTTGGGCGCCTCTACATACATTAGTAGAACTCGCAAATGACACGACGTAAGATGGGGGACTAATCCTCATTAGCTGACCACAACCAACCAACACGTCTAGACTTTATTTTCATTTTGATTGGTTCCGGGTGTTGCCCCATATTAGCTCAAGATTTCACTAATCGTTCTGATCATCAACTCTAGGGGTAGCACGGCTTTCTGATCATGTCATCAGCAAAAATCACGCGATCATGCAGAGAAATAGAGCGCCAAATAACACACTCCGACTAATTGGAAAATTAGAGCCTCGACTTCTCATTATATTCTAAATTTCGAGTGTATATGAAACATGGAATGTCCGAATTCGAAAAAAATCTCAATTACTCTTTACCTATAGAAAGAAAATAACGTTTCGAACAGCACTTATTCAACAAGATTCATAGAAAAACTTGAATTTAATGTGCAATACCCGATATCATCAACGAATGTCAAAAATATGAAAATCTTTTTAATACGGTTAAACTTGGAAAAGCCGATTTATCAAAAGTGCATACAAGCCGGTCTAGTATAGTGGTTAGTACGGTTCGTTGTGGCGACACAACCCCGAACAAACCCAGGTTCGATTCCTGGGGCCGGCACATGTTTTTGATTTTTAGGCTTGATGCCAGTTGTTGGATTAACAATTATCTAATCTTTTTCTTTTATGGGATAATGAGAATATTGGTTTTTAAATTCATGCTTGAGCTTAGATAATGATAACCGAAATTTATTGAAAACTAATCCTATTTATGTAATCCCGATTGACAAAGCAGCAGCAGCTTATTGACGATTTACTTTCTTTCGTAGCTTCTTCTCCACTTGTCGTCAACTTCCTTCAAGTAGTAAGTACCTTCGGACAAGTGATCGATGGAACCAGTGGGGGTGAACAGCTTTTGAAGGTGAGCCTTTTCTCTGAGCTCGATGGCTTCCAAGTACTTTTGAGGAGGTTGGATGGTGCGGCCTTCGCCCAACTTGTGGTCGAAGTCGAGCTTCTTGGTGATGTAGCTGATGTCGTCAACGACCTTGACCGACAAGAGGGTCGAGGCAAGACCCGAACCGTAAGAGAAGATACCGATGCGCTTACCTTGGACGGCTTCGGAACCGACGTAGTAAAGCAACGACGACAAGCCGACCCAGCACGAGGCGGTGTACATGTTACCGGTGTTGGTGGCAACGGTCAAAGCCGGTTGCACCCGTTGTTTTGTCTTTTCCTTAGCGAGAGTGACGAAGGTCTTTTCAAGCGACTTGTCCAACAACAGTTGGTCGTAGGTCAACTTGGAGAGGGCAGCCTTGGTTTCGTCGTCCAAGTCGAATGCGGAGGGGTTGGCAAGGTAGTCGTTGTACAACATACGGGCGTACGACTTGGTCACCAACTTGCAAGTGGGGACGTGGAACGCGTTGTAGTCGAAGTGGTCGATGCCAACGGTGGCCAGTTCCTTGGTGACCTTCTTCGAGTAGTTGCGGTAGCAGTGGTCGATGGCCTTGACGTAGCACGCCAACGAGAAGTGGCCGTCGACGGTGGGGTATTCCGAGGTGAAGTCGGGCTTGTAGAAGTCGTAGGCGTGTTCCATGAACGAACCGCGGGTGGATTCGAACACGATGGGGGCGTCGGGACCGATCAACATGGCGATAGCACCGGCACCACCGGTGGGACGGGCAGCACCCTTGTCGTAGATGGCGATGTCACCGGCGACCACGAGGGCATCGCGGCCGTCCCACGACGACAGTTCGACCCAGTTGACGGCATTGATCACCGCCGAGGTACCCCCGTAACAGGCGTTGATGGTGTCAACACCCTCGATGTCGTTGTTGTCGCCAAACAATTGCATCAACACCAGCTTCACCAGCTTCAGCTTGTCCAAGAGGGTTTCGGTACCGACTTCCAAGCGGCCGATCGAGTTGGGGTCGACGTTGTAGTTCTTCAACAACCGCAGCACCACCGTCAACGCAAACGAGTAGATGTCCTCGCGGTCGTTGACGAACGCCATGTTGGTCTGGCCGAGGCCGATGGTGTATTTGCCGGCAGGGATGCCGTCAAACTTCTCCAACTCTTCCTGCGACACGGCCTGGGTGGGCACGTAGACTTCAATCGCCTTGATCCCGATGTTTTGTGGTCTGGTCATGGGGTTAGTGGTACGAGATCAATGGGTATTCGTCCGACGTTATATAAATTTTCGTCGTACCCATGCAACATGGCTCTAATTATGTGCAGGCGACGTGTTTGAAAAAAACCCAGCGAGTGAGGGTCCGAACCTCAAGCGGGGCTGGTTTCGGGTCAAGGCTGGGCTAGCGACGAACTTCAGCATTAGCCATATTACGTGCTATATTTTGTATTTGGATTTTAAAGTTCAACATAAAGTTATTCAACTGTTATCTGGTGGCAAATAGGCACTGCCTCTAAGGCGGAAGGTTTCATGATTTCTTTTGCGATTACGTGGGGCTGGGAGCGAAAAGAAACTCTGCGACGCGGGGCTCTTAGCGACACCCCCCGAAAACCGTGCCATCATCACTTACGCGTAGTCCGCACCCGCGATGCGATCGCCACTTTAACAGGGGCAACAACAGTGATGGCGACGATGACACAAAAGATGACTTTTCTTGTAGTGTTTGAAGCGGAACTGTTGTGATTCTGGTGACTCAATATTGTCTATTAATTGATTAAAAAGCGGGGCTGTGGCGATAGTTGCGCGGAACACGTTTTAAGTGCGCTCGTATAGCCGTCGTCGTATAGAGATATAACAAGGAGAATTTAGGGAGACTTCCCCCACAAATGAAGATCGGTTAAAAACAACCAAGCTTGGGCCGATCCCACAAAGATGTATCAACAACCAGCCGATAAGATAAGATTTCATTGTTTTGTACCTACCCACAAAATAGTTTAAAGTATTCTTCACTTCTTCGAAGGAGAAACGGATAAGAATTCAAGAGAGCTATATGTCTACTCGAATCATGGTTGGCAAGGGAATCTATTCCATTGGCTGATAATTGTCTGACGTTCATGGCTTTAAAATGACACTCTTCGTTATGAGCTCTCCATTGTTTGTACCTTCCTATCAGCGTAAGCAAAACCTTGCCTATCAACTTCCTAGCAACCGTCAGATGTCACTAGTCTTTTAATGATTCCAGCAATTGGCCTTAACCCTTATTAGTAGTCCTCTCTATTTCTCCTCTATATTCACTACCATCAGGGTTAAGCTCGCACTGCGAATAAGTCCGAGCATCGATCGCTTACAAATCATCCCACCATGGTTCCCGTAGGCGGGCTTGCCCAGACATCAAAACGCCTCATCAAAGTGGCGGGGCGGGACGCCACCAAGTTCCTCAATGGCCTCGTCACCTCACGGTTCCTCCCCGACATCAAGAAGAAGAAACAGCACACGATCTCCGCCGTGGATGACGCCCACGCCGACCTCGCCCTGGTCGTCGATATCCATACCAATTGGGGGCTCATGCACGAGGATATCTATGATCCGATGAACCACATCACCATTTCTCGTGACGGTATCAATCTGATGTTCCTCACGTCGAAAGGGCGTGTGGTCACTGACCTGTTCATCTACGTACTGCCGTTTGCTGGCAATGAGCTGGTATTGAGCCAACACCCTGAATACCTTGTCGAGGTGGATGAGGCCATGGTCAAACGGCTCATGCTGTTGTTGAAACTCCACAAATTGGGCGCCAAAGTCACCATAGAGGAGACTCCTTATCTCAGTTATTATTACTACCACGACTCATTTGAATTTGACCAGTGGCTTGATCAAGTCCAGGATGCCTACTTCACTTCCACTACCCCTGCAGAAGGTCTTCAAAATGCTAATTCGTTTATAAAGTCGGAGTTATTCTCGACTAAGGCGCAAAGCTTAATTACGGGGTTTGCGTTTGATAACCGTATCCCTAACTTCGGTGTCAAAATCGTCACCACCGAACCTGTGGATGAAGTGTTTTCATCGGAAAACTTCCTGTTTGAACAAACTAAAGTTGACGAAATAGACGTTACCCGTCGTCGTTACGTAAACGGTCTTTTTGAGGTTGGCGATGCCCCCGTTGGCACTACCCTCTTGCCCTTTGAAACCAACTTGGACTATATGAATGGCTTATCGTTGGAGAAAGGGTGTTACGTGGGACAAGAGCTTACCATCCGCACGTATAACAACGGTATCATCCGTAAACGGGTGGTTCCAATCCAATTCCACCCGGCAAACGAAGAATTAGAAGGCACTTTAGAGGCTCCTGAGCTCGAAATCGGTGGTGCCGTACTGGATTTCGCCGCTACCATTCCTGCGGAATCCGATGTCATCGCCGCCGTTGAAGAACCTGAGAGTGCGCCAGCGACACCAGTGGCGGCGTCACCATTCGGCACTAGTCTGAAACCAGTGAGAAAGCGCAAATCTCTGAATGGGAAAGTGTTATCCACTCGAGACAATTTAGGGTTTGCCCTCATGAACTTAAATGACTTGGAAAAGACCCACGAGTATAAGGTTGACGTCGACGGTACCACCATGGGGGCTACCGCGTTCATTCCACAATGGTGGCCTCAGGAAGAGCCATAGATTTATATCTGCACATAGCAATCACATATTACCCCAGAGCATCAGCAAGTCGCACAAACGTTTGTAGTACCACTTTCGGATTAGGCCCCACTCGTGACGCCCACATCTTAATCCGTCCATCATTGGATATACTCACAAGCCGACTAATTACACGGTACATTCGTAGTCTGTCTAAGTTCAAATGAATCGTTTGTTTGAGATAATTGTGGATTCGTTGAGAACAAGGTCTTTCTTCGTCGTCGCCCTCAGTGCGTTCAAGCAAGCTTTTAAGAGTTTCCTGAGGCACTTTAAACACCATCATGTTCAATCGAGAGTTGATTTTACCGTTCTCTCGGTGGTAAGCAAGCTCAAGGTCGCCAAACTCTGCTACCGCTGATAGCACCACCATATGGTCGACCATAGCTCTCATTTGCTGAGGGGTAAGCGACCACGGTTCAATAAGGTAATTGACCCCGTTCCTCCATCGCTGGATATGCTTTAAAACAAATTTTGTCGCCACTGTCATTCGTGTAAATACGCGGTGGATGTTATTGCGAGTAACGAACACGATCACCAATGGAGTGAGGAATCGACTCTGGAATTCAAGCACAGTGACTATCGCCTCATCACCATCCACAAGTAATTCATCTTTCCGGGCACGAGTCTTGAGATCCTCGTACACATCCTTCCACGTTTTGATAGATGCGGCCTCGGCGGATTCGGGAGTATACCAGCTAAACACCAACCGCGATACTTCTTCACGGTAGTATTCGAGTTCGGCTTTGCCAAATGACCCCAGCGACGATACGGGTGCGTTGGCCAGGAATAGACGGTAGGTGCCGTTGGTATACACCAATCGAGACATCACGCGTAGGAGACACGCGACTGTCGCGCACCATCGCGTTAATCAACACAATGAAAGTAGAATGCGTTAATGAGTGTAGTGCAACAGAATTAAGAGCTATTAGGTTCTAACAAAATGGAATATCAAATGCCGTTGCTCTTAGTTAAGGCAGTCAATTATAGTTGTAAAAATATAACACCTTGAGGTGGAAAAATGAAGTCTCCGGTACAGGGAATCGAACCCTGATTTGCTCGGTGAAAGCGAACCGTGATAGCCATTACACCATACCGGACTTGATGAAATTTTATTATTTCAGAGTGCAGTCTATGAGGCCGTTCCAAGGCCAATTCTAGCCTTCTTATTGTTCGTTCTCAGTGAAAACGCACTTGAAAGTCTGTTTCCGTCTTGTAGTCAACATTAATTTTATCATATTTACCGGTGGTTCCAAAGTTTCTGCATCATGGACTCACCAATAACGTTTCTATATTTCAACAAAGCTAGCCAGTTCCTTATAGAGTATTCCATGAAGGCTTTTTTACAACTATATGTCAAGGCAGAGATGTAATCGAAATAGTCGTTTTTTCAATCTCAAATTATAGACATTCAATGTTCAGGATATGTAAAAGTACTCACGCCGATGATATCAGTTTTGTGGACCAATACGCTACATTATCTTTTTTAAGACTAGTTCGGTTATCAACTTCGAAATAATCAAAGGCTAAAACTGAATACAGCACACAAACTCACAACTCGCTCAAAATAAATTAATTTCATGATATTAAACTCGCAATTGAATGATATATAAACTATCAACTCGACTCAAATTTGCACGGAAAGTTGCTCAATTTGGGCTCGGAGAGCATCAATGGATTTCCCTTCCTCATCTAACCACAGGTGGAGACGCTTGACGTGCTTAGCATTCTCATAAGTAGTAGTCAATTGGTCTGATGACCTGTTATTGAGCAGATCAAGAACGTTGCGAACCTCAGTACTGAGCAGTTCCACCAGAGCAGTCAACTTGGAATTGTCACTGCCGATTTCCGAGGTGTACTTGTTGATCTCTGCGAACCATTGCTTCTCTTGTTGTGAAAGTGGAAGTTGTTGGGTTGCCGTCGCCCGTCTCACGTTGTCAAATAAGCGATCCTTGAGTTGCTTGTACCTTTCGAGTAACTCCTCTTGGCGTAAGCAAACAGCCTCAACCCTTTCTTTAGTGGCACCAATATCTTGGCTGGGCGAAATTTTGTTAAGGGTCGCCAACTGTTTGTGAAGCTTATCAATTTCGATGGTAAGAATGTGATGAAGTTGAATGGCCACCTGGTTGAATTTAGCCGTCGCGGTAACCGCAGCTTCCAGGGCAATACTGGTGGCTTCAAGCGGCTTGTGGCCTATAAGATGTTGATGAATGTCAACTCCCACAATCTTTCGACGGATGTCAGGGACGTTTTCCAACGCTTTGACGCCAGCAATCAACTCAGTGATTGTGGTGTCTGGAGTGGAGGCGACCTTCGGCTGTGGCTTAGTATTTGGAAGTGAGTCATTGATCAAACGCTTTTGAGGCTTCTCCAAGACAATCTCGTGGATGGTGAGTTGCCCGGTGTTCCCATGAACCACTGCTACCACCAACCCCGTGCGCATCACTGTGTCTGAAACTACTGCGAGACCATCAATGCCTGCAGTGGTGTCAAGCACCTTATATTCACTCTTGTAGCTAGCAACGTCGACCTGCTCGTTGGATGCTAGTTGCCACGTGAACTTGCGCATCCAGTCGTCAATATCAGCTTCCACAACACCATTTGGTCTTCTAAACCAAATACGCCCTTGAATGGCAGACGAAGTAACAATCCGCGCGTCACCAGACACCGCCACCGGTTCGGAGACCACGGTGGAGAGTTGCCAGTACTCGTCGATCCAGTAGCTGATTTCTTGTTTGAATAGCTCTAGCTTCTGATCAACTACAGCACTGGAGTTGATGAAGCCAAAACCCCGACGAGGCCGGCGGTAGGCCACGACGTTAGCGTCCAACGACGGGCGCGGCCCGGATGGGCGTTTCACTTTGAGATGGTCATCATTATCATTAGGCTCGTTCCAAACACAAACGAGGGGGGCAAGTTGGGCGAGGTAGGTGCAATGGTTTTTGCCCTGTTTCTGACTGAGAGCAGCCAAGAATGCATACTCTGAGTTATCGTAGATCGCTTCAATATCATAGAAGTTTTCCCCTTCAATGTGAGCGATGGGACCCTGGATGATTGGCTTCGAGGCGGGGTCAATCGGCGACTGAAGCCGCACTTGAGGCGGCGAACCTGGGTATAACGTCTCTGAAACGACACCAGGACGTTGAGAGTCGGTAAGCAATTGCTGGAAAAACGCCTGTTGTCTGATAACTGATTTTTTCAAATAGCTATCAGTGGTAGATGTGGGGAACTGCTCGGTGATGTCACCCACAACGTCCACGGCATCAGCATACGCCTGTTCCAACGCCTTGGCTGTGGTCACAATCGTGGTGTTAGGCGGGAGGAACGGGTAGATGGCAAAAACAGATCCCAGTTCTGTTAAGATGTAGAGGGTGAGGGCACCTGTCAAATTTGTCTTCGAGCCAAAACCAATCAGCACTGCCCGGTGTGACTCAAGACGGGGTTCTTGTTTCAAGTCCACTTGGAGGACTGGTTTCGACAGCACACGGAGGTCAAACACACTCACCTTCTGGTCTTCAGTTAAAGTGACAAACACGCCATCACCGGCGATAAGCGGGTGCCAAATAAACTTGACAAGCGGAGACTCAAGTTTAGTTTCGAATACCAGCACGGGGATCTCTGCTGCGGCTTTGCCATCGGCATCTGGTACCACCAGCGGGAGGGATTCAGGAAGATGGAATAATTGCACCGTCGACATGCCGTAAACGGCAAGCAAGGTACCTCTGCGGTTTAAAGAAATGCCCTCAATTTGAAATAATGTCAGTGACGGAGCATCGCTCACCAAAAGGTTGTATTTAGACACACCACTTCCCAAAGTACAACACCGAACCATCAGCCGTTTGGCGTAGAACACGTCTCGCGAGTTGCGTACCGCCACCCGGCTGTAGCCGCCAGTGGTGGTGGCAGCAGGCTCCTCGTCAATGGTGGCCCATAACGGCGTGAAGATGGCCTGGTGGCGCAAATCGTCAACCACGGCGTCCATGAGATGGGTGAGGGAGTGCGCGGTGATGATGAATGAGCGTGGTAAACACACTTAGGAGACTCACGCAAAACGCAGTAATTCAGACAAAAAAGAATACATACATCAAAATGTATTTATGTTGAAGCCATTGGTCAACATATAATGTACAGTTGGAGGCGTTTGAGCGAACCCAGTGTTGAAAACCCATAATTCATGTCAGACATTCAACATCAGTTTTCCGTTCTAGGGCGTGTAGCTCAGTTGGTAGAGCGTTCGCTTAGCATGCGAAAGGTCTTGGGTTCGATTCCCAACTCGTCCATTTTTGCCTTTAGAACCTTCAATTTTTTCAAACAACGTTTAAACTTCTTTTTGTGATGGCCACATAGTCACTAGTTTTTCAGTGTCATTTTCATCCACTTTTCTAGTCAATTGATCATCTCGTCTATTGATCGTCTACATACATTCACCAGGCTCGTCAACAGATCCACCGCGCACCTATGGGCAAGCAATACATCTCCACGGTTCTGGCGGCTCAGGCCCACAAGCTGGACATTACGGGAGTGGCGATCACCAACAAATATACCATCACCGTTTCATCGGACGGCTATGCCAATTTCTGGGACAACAAACAGGTCGACGTCCACGACCCTAACGACCATGTGGTGAAGCAAGACATCGGCTCTAAAGGGCTCCATCACGTCGCCTGTCTTGAGAAAACGCTCGGGGGTCTGGGAGTGAAAGTGGTTGTGGTGGCATTCACCGGGTTCGATGGCCTGACAAAGCTTTTCTACTACACTGGCGATGACATCTCCACCTGGACCGAGATCGACTCGCTGCGATTCGCCACGCTGACGTGGGTGCCGGCATTCTACAATAACCCTGTGGGCAATCGAGATTCGCTTCTCGTGTCTTTGGTCAATGGCCAGGTTTCGATTAACGATGTGGAGTACGAAGTCACTGACGATGGCAAATTGACGGGGGTGAAAATCACCGACACCGGCGCGTTCAACCCAAACCTTGGCAGTTTCCCAATCTCGCTTGCGGTGCTGGCCACGGAAGACCCGGTGTTCGCTGTCGGCTACACCAACGGCGATGTGCTTTTGTGTGAGTTAGCTAAGAAGAAGATCATCTATTCGTTGCATTCGAGTGATTTGAAATTGCAGGGTGACAAGCTGAGTTCCGTCCCCAGAGTGCTTGAATTCTCCCCTGGTGGCATGATCTTGGCAGTTGGTCGCGATATTGAACTGGCGGGTACGATTTCCTTGTACGACGTTGTTTACGGGGAAAACATTGGGCTGCTTACAGTTCCCTCCCACTCGAACAACACCGGTATTGGCGGGTTTGCTCATGAAGGATGGATCCTTGGCTTGTCCTTCAACGGTACCGGGGAGTTCTTAGCCTCTTGCGGTTACGATAAAGTAATCAGAGTGTGGAACGTTGACACTAAGGAACGTGAAGCTACCATCACGGTGTCGATCACTGACCTTGAAGATACCGAGCATGACGAAAATACCGACGTTAGTGTTGTTTCGGGTGTGCGCTTCATTAACAAGGGGATTCGTGGCGGTGCTGGTGGCGATGCCAACGATGGTCTTGTGGCCATTAGTTTCGACCGCGGTGTCAGATGGTATCGTGAAGCTGGTGGCATTTGAGGATAGTTTGTCGCATGTACGTGTAGTTTTATGGTACTGAGTCTAGTTAGGGAATGCATATAGTAATGAGTTCAACCTGAATTCTAATCGCAGTGAATTTGATAAGTGACCCACGACAACAGCTTGATGGGAGATGCAGTATTAAACTATTAAGTTGATTATATTCCAGTATTTAAGTTGCTCAAAGTAAGCTGTTGATCACTTATAGTTGCCATTCGACTGGGATGAATGGATTCTTCACAGACTAAGGTGAAAATGGCTTCGACATACCTGCCCAACATTAATGAAGCTTTGTTGGTACCTAGGTTTAGGCTGGCTGATCAAGCGAATTTAGCCCAACTCTCGGTACACAAACCTCAGCATTGATGCTATTTTGCAATATCGTCGGCTTACTCAATTTTGAATGACCATGTGCCCGCCTCGATCTCATTAGATCGAGACTGTGCTAAACATCCTTAGTGGGCTGTTAACATTTGATTCGCTACCTTGGCAAGACTGCCAACGTAGTTAAGCCTTTTTCAAAGTCGATAATCAAGTAACAAGTAGAATGGCTGAAAGTAGCACACTAGCTTAAACCAGATTTTGAGGGAAGTCTTGCTGGACTTGCCTGACCTTATTTCTTATTGCGGTTCCGCATCCCTCGAAGTTAACATCAGCAGTCTCCTTTCATTGAAATTGTGCACGCAATCATTGCACAAGCCAGCCCCAAATGTCCGAGCCTGAACCTTTGGTGGTTAGTGGTGACTTGTTTGGCAAGGTATTCCAGTTCCCACTCGAAGCGTTGGTGGGTCGCCTCTCCACTTGTATCCAAAAGAGCCACGACGACTTCTGCAGTCGCATCATCGACTACCTCTACGACGAGTGGAGCGGCAAGGCTGCCGAAGACATGACCAATGTCAATGAACAGCAAGCGTTTTGGGTGGAAAACGTCCTTCTCAAGGAGGAAATGGTCATGGTGTCGTCGGAGATCTTTCACCAGCTTGAGCGACAATTTGGAGACGAATTGCATGGCTTCAGCATTTCCATCGCCAGACATTACGAGGGCCATGTCAACTTGCTTACGAGCGATGAATTCACGGCGGCATTGAACTTGCCACAGCCCCGCCCTCGACAGAACACTCTGGACACCCAATGGAAGGTCCTCTTTGCCGTGAGAAAGTGCCGCAACGCCAACTTGAACGCGTTAATGAAATCAGGCATTCTTTTCAGCCAGACCTCCCAAGACCTCACCATCGATCGCGGGATGTGGCAAGTAATCAATGCCAGTACGTCGGACTTTTACCGTAAAATTGAGACGGCGTTGAATGATGCCGAGAGTACTGTCGTTGCTCAAATCAATGCAACGTGGGAGGACGATAGTATTCTGGCGCACATGGACCGTTTAAACATTACTCAAGGTTGATATGTGAGATAGTTGGAAGGTTAGTGCGCTCTACTCAAATCAAACACAGAGAGATATTTCCTGGAGAAATTCAATTTAAATGTCATTCACTTATTAGTAGTCTATCGTTCATAGTATTTACTCTGCAATGTCTTAATTTCAAACTTATTGCTTTTAGATATCATTTGTGGGGGAGCCTCACTACAGGTCTCACTCATCACGGTTTAAGCCGCTCTCCATTACTTCATACATCCGATCACAGCACCCTACGCCAAGGTCTATAACAGCAGATCCCAAACTTGTTTACACTTTATACCTTACAAATCATCCATTCTTGGTACCCGTTGACTGAAAATACCCACCCTCTGACTGCTCAAGATGCCGGCGATGCTGACGGCGCTTAACTATAGCAAGGACCGCAAAGTCGGTGAGGGTACCTATGCCGTGGTCTACCTCGGTAAACAGGTAAACACCGACCGCAAGATTGCTGTCAAGGAGATTAAGACCGGTCTCTTTAAAGATGGCCTCGATATGCTGGCTATTCGTGAAGTCAAGTACCTCCAAGAACTCCGCCACCCCAACGTCATCGAGCTTATTGACGTGTTTTCCGCCCACAACAACTTGAACCTTGTGCTTGAGTTTCTTCCCTGTGACCTCGAAGTGTTGATTAAAGACCATAGCGTCACTTTTAGTGCTGGCGACATTAAGCTGTGGCTCCTTATGACCCTTCGAGGTGTGCACCACTGCCACCGCAATTTCATTCTCCACCGAGACCTTAAGCCGAATAACTTGTTGCTTGCTCCTGACGGCCAGTTGAAGATTGCCGATTTTGGGCTTGCCCGGCTGTTGGGTAATATCAACGAGGACTTGACGCTGAACGTGGTGACGCGGTGGTACCGTGCTCCCGAGTTACTATTCGGTGCTAAACATTATACTGGGGCGATCGATGTGTGGGCAGTGGGGATTATCTTTGCTGAGCTCATGATCCGTGCCCCTTACCTTCCAGGGCAAGACGATGTCGACCAGATGGACGTTACCTTCCGTGCTCTTGGCACTCCTACTGAACAGACGTGGCCTAACGTCAGCAGTCTCCGCTTGTACGACTCGCTTAAAGTGTACCCTCCTCCCTCTCGCCAGGAATTGAGGCTTCGATTCAGTGCTGCTACCGAAGAGGCATTGGATCTCATGATGATGATGACTCAGCTTGATCCCAGTCGACGGTGTACTACGGAACAGGCGTTGCAGCACAAATATTTTACTGATAGTCCCGAACCTACACCACCGGAGAAGCTCCCTCTGAAGCGAACTCCACTGGACGAACCCGACTCCAAACGAAGAAAAGTCGAATGAGAACTAATTGGAATGAGAAAAACAGATGCATTAATGGTACATAGCCTTGACGTAATCGGCAATGGCCCACGCCAGAGTGAGCCCCGGACTCTCGATCCCGATTAAGTTGACGAAGCCAGGGAAGCCTTCTTCTTCCTTAATATAGAAATCAACGAACCCTTGGCGACTATCATGCTGCAGTTTTAGTTTTGGCCGTACGCCACTGTAGGCAGGAGCAAGCTCTGATTTTTGGATGGAAGGGAAATAGGTACGAATAGCGTCAACAGCAGCATCGAGGTTGGCGGCACTGGGAGTGTAGTCGATGGCATTAGCGTCGGCAGTATGGAGCCATTCAAGGTCAGGACCAAACCGAATCTGGCCACCAAGGTCAAAGGTAAGGTGAGTGCCTAACAGTACGGCGTTGGGCTTAGGACAAGGGTAGATCAAATGGTCAGTGATTTTACCCATGGGCTGCGAGGAGGTATAACTAAAGTAGTTACCTTTAGCGAAATATGAGCCAAAGTGACGTTCGGGAGGTAGAAGCATATTGGCGATGCTAGCGGCGTGGAGACCGCCCAGATTGACGACGTTTTCCGCGGTAATGGTGAAGTCAGCCCCTTCGACTTCATCGTGTACTTCCAACAGATATTCATTCTGAGAGTATTCAATGTCGGTAACGGTAGCGTTAAGACCCAAAGTACCTTCGTTATTGGAAAATTGCTGTTCAAAGAATGTACAATAGTCGTGAGCACTGATGATACCTGTGGTGGGAGATTCAAGCACAGCGGCACCCACATGGATGTGGGGGTACTTTTGCACTTCCCGTTTCAGCTTAAACTCCACTGGAACCCCTAATGCCACGCAATTGGTGTACAATTTGTCCAAATACTGGGCCTCACCTTCATCTTGAGCTACCACCCATTTGCCACACTGGCGCAACGGTACGCGCCAATTCTGTTGGCTATAGATCTTCTGCTTACCCTCAATACACAATTTAGCTTTCAATGAGTCCTTAGGGTAGTAGATACCGGCGTGGATCACCTCGGAGTTACGCAGGGTCGTCTCGTGGCCGACGGCGGAATTTCTGTCGATAATAATCACCCGGTTTCCTGGAACTTGCTGGAGTTCAGCACCAATGGCAAGGCCAACGATGCCGGCTCCAATGACAGCATGGGAGAAGTCAGCGTGACAAGTAGCCAGGGTGGAGAGACACCGTCTAATCATTTGACGTGAGATCGCTCAGGTCACGTGGAGATAAACCTGGGGAAGCCATTGATTGAAAAAGAGCATTAAATGGAAGATAGCATTACATTCGAATTTGAAACAGAGTCAATGGTTTTTGACTATTAAATGGCTAGTATGTGTCTGATATGAATTTTTCACTCGGTTTCTTTAGATGGTCGGGGTACGGTTGATGTATTAATTCCGTGGCCTTTTTTAATTGAACTATGACGATAATAGTCGATAATCAACGTCTTAAATGTGCTTGGATGGTGTTCAAGACTAGTTTAATTAAAGAGCGTGGCTCGTATTTGATGTATGGTTTCATGTACTCTACTGCTCTCGTAATTTACGTTACATTGGCAGTCTCAACTGTACGACGACGGAAGATGCCGTCAGTAGACTTTTGTCCACAGAGATCAATTAGCATGACGTATTCACTGTAAATCACAAGTAGTTGTTACAAACAATCTGAGACACCATGCTTTTCTAGTGACATTTTTACGACTAATGGCACATAGCCGGTCCGACCGAATAACCACTTAAAGCATGCAGTGTTTGCTTTGGTGACTAACCGCTAAAACCGAATTTTGTCAATGCCAACACGGTCGTATATTGCGCTTTTCCCATAACCATTTCGGTACTGCTCAAACTAGCGGGTATTACTAGTAATACGGTTGACGCATCGTCAGCCAATTTTTAATTAAACCACAATTCATCTTCACAACGAACGAAAGCTTCAGCCAAATATGCTTACAATTAGCGCTTCGGACAATAACCGCCCCACGTTCGTATCGGTACGGCTAACGGTTTTCGCACCGGCCGATAAGACAGTAACTGATGGGGGTTTTACGGTTACTCTCATGCCAGCGGCTAACAATGGCGCCGGGCGCTAATAACAATGGCCCCAGGGTGATTAGCGGGGTGCCGCTAGCGCCAGACCGTTTGTTCCCCTCCCCTCTCCCAAAATGTTAGTAAAAGCGTAGTTAACCACCTGCACATAGATGAGCAAATAAAGCCGCATCACCCGATTCGGCACGGGCGCAGGACGCCAGCCATTAGGCGGTAGCACTGGCCTACGGCATCAAGTACAGATTTTGTGATTTACTGGGCATACTGCTACCGGTCACTTTTCTCTATATCGGTGCCCACCTTCCCCCCATCACCGGTGTCTCCGAACCCAAACCCTCGCCTCTCGAGCTCACGGGCATGATCCTTATCGACGGCGCCAAGTACCTGTGTCTCCTGTGTGTCCGAGGCCATCGGCTGACGGCGTGTGTCCACCACGAAGGGCGCCCCTTGGTTAAAGTCAAGGGCAAGGGGCGCCCTGCCTACGACGCGCAAATTGAGCTGGACCAGCGGGTGGTGGTGTTTTCTGAGCAGGCAGAAGTGGACGAAGATGACGCTAACATCGTTAGAGTGACTCACCATCTGGCTAAACAGGTATTGGATGTCAATACCAACCAGATCATTGGGCCCTACGTGGAGAATGCGAAGACGTTCAAGCCGTTGGTGCACGCTAACCTGTTTATCAATACGCTGTGTGGATGTTCTATAACGGGCAAGGTGAAGAAGCTGTGTGGATGCAGTCGCCAGAAGGTGAATAAGAAACGCATTCTTGAGAAGTACATTACACGGAAACAGGCGGCTCAGCCTACTTTGGAGTTCCAGGCACCGATACTCAAACAGGATGCCCAGTTTGATATGGCATCCGCTGATACTTCAGGAACCTCGTTAACCCCAGTCACTACCCATACCCCCTTACAAAACTCAACCAACCCGCTTAATCTGCTACCGACGAACCAACCGCTGGAGTGGATCGCCGTCCACCCGTGTCTGTGTGACGATAGTTGTCAGTGTCCTGGGTGCCAGGTACACAACATCCCCTGGCAGTTCCCCGAGCCGCCTCAACCTCAAGCGGAGCCTCAGTTTGATCTCCCTGACCCTTACTCAGTGATCACCACTCCTGGTTCCGATATCTTGGGTCCAATGTCCGATTCCCCTACTTGCTGCTGTCCTAACGATGCCTGTGATTGTACCAATTGTGAGACCCACGGCATCATCAACGGGTTCAAATTGGACGACATTTTGGACATGAGCTTCCCCCAGCTGCTGATCGACCACATCTTGGCCCAGATCCCGCTGCCGGGTTTCGCTCCCGAGCGGCTGTGTCTGCTGCTGGGGCTGGTCCCTACGCTGTCGCCGGCACCTTCAGAGCTGTCGCCGGCCCCCACCAAGCTGAAGTCGTGCTGCCACTCCCGATAGCGTTGTGCTGTCACCCTGGGTAGCGTCATGCTGCCACCCCTGATTAACGCCTGGTAGCTGCCTACTCCCTTGTACATAGCTTTGGCAGCTACGGCGTTGACAGCGTCTTCTTGTGTTGCCAGCATTGATATCATTGGTCGCCACTAAAAGCACAGGTGGCCCTGGTCCTGATTCTCGGACCTGACAAATCACCCCGATAAGACCGCGCTTACGACAACGCGGCTGTATTTAAGCACCCTCGAATCCATCCAGTTTCCGCCGGGTAAATTTGGGATCACATGGATACTGTGTTCACACGACAAAGTAAGCGGTGCCAGCGCTGCTGGTGTGGCCACCAGAACTGGAACAAGAAGTTGTGTGGCAACCACCAGCACCGCACCTGTAATAATTGCCAAGGATGTGCCTTTTGAGAAATAAGTTTTTTTTTGGGTTAGGTATTTAGGATTAATTGTATATTTCAGAGTCATCACCGTGATTGTAGTGAAAAGTCTGGGTGTGGCCCCGCCACCGTGACAGTGGTGCTTCCCTTCACCTCGTTCCCCCTTGACAACCGCGGGGTCATCGGTGGGCGTGAGTCAGTGACGAGCTTATGAGGCATAATTACGTATTATAAATCTCTGTAGGAATTTATTCGATCAATGCCATTGTTACCTCGAGGCATTGATGCCACTAAACGCGCTTGGCTTATCAGTTGGGTGATCTGATGAGGACGCGTTTTGCAATCGAGCATCCTGGCTGACAAAAGACGTGATCACGCTAATGTCTGAGAATGGTGGCTTTGGCGTTCCCAAGAGATAAGGAAAGTCCGACGAAAATTGCCAATTCTGGTGGCCAATAGGGAACTGACAGAGGCAAATACCAAGAGGCTGTCTCTAACCAACTGGTACGAAAATTCTACATGTTGTTTTTACTTGTGAAATCTGTTACGTTGGGGTTGGATTAGCCTCTCACCTTAAATCGTGATTATAGTCATCCTTTTTGCAGCACGGGTGTATTTCGCGCGATTGAGTTCATCTATAGCGAGCGACGAATTTTTCATTGGCGCGACGATGGCTCGCGACTCGAATAAACACTCTCAACAGCCATGGCGCACTAAGCATTCAACCAACGCTAATTAAGACCGTCCCTAACGTGATATTTTTCACACCCATCCTAATCACAGGATTCACCTTGATAATCTCACCTATCTCTCTGTTTCACTGGCCTTGCTCCAACCCTGTTTGTGCGCACGATACCATCTTCGCGCCCCACTCACCTTCGTCGAGCGTCCCAACCATGAGTGCCGCCGACCTTCTGTTCTACACCAGGGACGACGAGAAGAAGGGCCAGCTGTTGGACGTGCCGATCAAGGATGGCAATATCGTCACCATCAACTTGGTCGACGAGCTCGCCGACGACCCCAGCGAGCTCACGGGCTTCCTCCTGCTGGAAAACTCCGCCCGCAAACACTGGCTTGCCATCGCCTCTGCCTACTGTGCCAACCACAAGTTGACCGAGGCGAAGCAGGTGGTCGACGAAGCGGCTCAGCAGCCGGCATTCTCCGATGACGACCGTGCCGCCATCGATATTTACCGTGGGTGGTTGGAGCTTAAATTCGCCGAACACGCCGTCGGCAAGGCTCGTTTTGACCACTATAACGAAGCACAAGCAGTGTTTGACCATTTACCTCGTGAGGTTCAGGCTAAAGCGCCGGCGACGTTGTTACAAGCACAAATCTACCTTGGGCGTGACCGGCTCGACGATGCCCGTCCTCTCTACGATCAAGTACTCAAACGCGACCCGTCAAACTGCATTGCCTTGATGGGTAAAGCTCACATCGCGATGGCGAAGCAAAACTACCAAATTGCTCTCAAATTGCTTCAACAAGTGCTCATGATCAAACCGACGATGCGCCCGGACCCGAGAGTGGCGATCGGGGTGTGCTTCTGGCTCCTTAATGACCACAAGATGGCGGTAAAGCTGTGGGAACGCCTGGTAAAGTTGTACCCAGACGATAGCCACCGCGCTAGAGTACTTCTAGAATTGTCGAAGCTTAATGATACCTTCACCAAGCTGGTCACCGATGAAGACTTCATCAAAAACTATACCGAATCCATCACCAATTTTGGTGAGCTTCAGACTGCTAATGACTACGTGCCGGCTCTAGTATTGGCTCTGTACTTCTTCCTGAAGCGTGACTTTGACACCGTGAGAAACGTGGTGCTCCAAATTGGGGAAAAGATCATTGGTGAACCGTTGGGCGATAGCGACAGTGCCCGTTTTCGAGCCGCCAAGACCTCCAAGTTCGAGCTGGTGGTGCTTTCCCAGTGTGCTCTCTGGTTGGCTCGCTGTGAGTTCGCTGAAGGTAACTTTACCCTGGCGCAAAAGCACTTTGGTGAGCTGATCAAGCTCAACGATAACTTGCAGGCCAAGCTCGGGCTTGGGCTGGCCCAATTGAACCGGGGGCTGGTGGAAGACGCCATCATGACCTACGAGCTGATTTTGAAGACGAACTCTAAGTGCTTGGAAGTTGTATACCTCCTAGGGGTGTTGTACTCGCAGCTGAAGAGTAAGCGGAAACACGAGTTGGCGGTGCAGCTGCTTGAGAGATACGTGCGGCTTGCTTCCTCGGCTGACTTCAAAGAACCAGTCATGGTCAACGCATTCCTTGTGCTCGCTCAGCTTTACGAATCTAAGGATATTGGCCAACTGTTGAAATATCTCCAACGGGCGATTGAGACTCAGGCCAAGATCGAGCGCGATGTTCCCGTGGAAGTGTATAACAATATTGGTGTCTACCACTTCCTTCGGAAAAACTTCGACGAAGCCACTAAAGTATTTGCTCTGGCATTGGATAAGACTACCGGTCCGTTTACTAGTGAGGACGGCGATGTTCTCGCTGATCTTCCGGGCGACTTGGAAGTCACTATTAAGTTCAACCGGGCTCGTTCGCTTGAAGTGAGCGACCAGGCCGCCGCCATCGAAGTGTACAAGCAATTGGAGCAAGAGTGTAGTCACTACGTCAGTTCGAAGTTGCGTCTCTTGTTCTTGGACTGCATTGCCACTCACTCCAAGTCGTACGCGGAAATTAAGACCGAGCTTGATGAGCTCCTCGCTGCTAATGCTCTGGACCTTGAGATCAGATCGTTCTACGGGTGGTTCGCCAAGAACTTCGGTAAGAAGGTGGGGCTCAAAGCTGATGCTGACAACGCCTTCCACCGCGATACTCTTGTCACCTACGAATCGCATGACTGCTATGCCCTCATCTCGTTGGCTAACATCTACTGCATCATGGCCCGCGATGCCAAGAGCGACGACTCCAAGCGCCGCAACTACTATCTGCGGGCGGCTGAGCTCTATATCAAGGTGTTGAGTATCGACCCTAAGGATGTGTATGCTGCTCAGGGGCTTGCCATCACCTACATTGAAAACAAAGAGACCAGCAAGGGGTTGGACGTGCTCTCGAAGATTAGGGATTCGCTCAACGACATCACCGTCTACTTGAACCTTGGCCACGCTCTTTTGGAAGCGAAAAACTTTGCCAAGGCCATTGAGAACTACGAAGTGGCTCTCGGCCGGTTTACGGACGGTAAGGACACCAAGATCTTGTCGTTTTTGGGTCGGGCGTGGTACCTCCGGGGACAACAGGAAAAGCATTTACCGTTCCTCAAACGGGCCAAGGAGTACACCGAAAAGGCGCTCGCCAACGTCGGCGAACTGGGGCTGGCGCTGATCCAATTCAACTTGGCGTTTGTTGACTTCCAGATCGCTGAGTTCATCACTAAGCAACCGGCGAACCAATGTGACGTGGAAGAAATCGAGCAGGCGATGCGCGACTTGGAGCAGGCAATCGAGCAGCTTCGCCAGTTGGCTGGTCAGGACGACGACCACCACGTGCCTTACCCTAAGGCAGACCTTGCCGCCCGGGCCAATTTGGGGCTGACAGCACTTTTGCCGCGGTTGCAGACCTGTCTCGACGAGACTAAGCTGAGCATTGAAGCAATGACGTCACGGATTGAGGAGGCCAAGCGTATACGGGAGGAAGAAGCCGCCCGTAAACGTAAGGAGGAAGAAGAGCAGGCGGCGTTGGCGAAGCAGAAGGAAGAAGAACGGGCACGCGAGCGTGCCAAGGAGCTTGACCAATCGCACATCTGGGCCGAGGAGTTCCGCGCGGCTAATGTCGATGTCGTGCCGCTGGACAATGACGATGATGGCGATGCCGCGGATGCTAAGCCCGAAAAGCAAAAGAAAACTAAGGGGACCAAGCGGAAGGCCAACGGCGGTCGCCGCAAGAAGAAGGTTTTGAGTGACGACGAGGAAAGCTCGGCCCAGGATACCGACCCCGAGGCTGATGAACCGGAATCGAAAAAGCGCAAGACCTTGTCTAATGCCCGCGTCGAAGACTCTGATGAGGACCTCGGCGACATTGACAACGATTTGTTTTAGTAACTTGTAATATAATATCTCGTATTCAAAAGCTAGTGTTTAACGGTTATGATTATTATGGCATCCACCACTTTTTATTTGGTGATGGTTTATATGGATGTGAGGTGGGTTTGCTTTAAGGCCTGCGGAGGAAACTCTTTTAGGAAGTCAACAACGATGTGCACGCAGATGAAAGTGCTGCATTGGCTGGATTGGCGAGGTGTGCCAGTCTTCAACTATGAGGACGTTAATCATGCAATCAAGCCCCGGTGTATGCCAATCGCAACCAGGGTCAACGATATGGCAGTAAGATGACTATTACTGGGAGACTGAGGAGAACTAACTGACTTCATTACTTACCATCACTAGCAACATATGAATACGAGTCCATTAAATATATAATGCTTATGAATCTATATACCTCAAGCTATCTATCACTTGATGTATAATCCAACCATGGCGTATACACCAAGAGAAAAAGAGCCTATGTGACGATTGTCAAAATCTAAGAGTTCCTAAACTAGTATACTGGTGCCCCGGACCAGCGTCCCACCCACCTCCACTCACAAACACTACATTTGCAAGTGGAAGCCGGCACCACCCTCTCCAGCAACCTCCCCCTCTGGCTACTACTAGATCCCCAGGGTGGCCAGCCCTGATAGTGGGGAAAATAGCTTCACCAAAGAGCATTTGCTCGCAACTATCTTAGCGCTCGGCGTTCACGTATTGACCACTGAACTGCAATAGAACAAGTGACAACACAATCATAGCATCTAAATTTATATCAACAAAGGAGGATAATGACGGGAACCTCGTGAGCGACGTCCCAGGATATCACGCGTAGGAGTTATCAGCCACTGACTCCTGTGAGAATATCTCGTCACCAAACCACAGCCACGACACTCGGGAGCCGTCACCCCCCCCCCCCCCCCCCC